TCGTGTGGCAGCCGTAGTCGGGCCTGCACTGATCGCAGGAGCTGTTATGCTCTCAGTAGGGGCAGAATCAGTTGCAGAGGTGGCGGCGCAAGAAGGGCTAGGGGAGCTTGAAGAGTCGGAGGAGCTTCCGGAGCCAATCTCTGTAGTATTAGGGCCCTCCTCCACATAGATGCCAGACCAAAACCAGTCCTCCGCCGCATTGTCGGACTCACTACCAGAAAGACACAGCTGGCCGACATACCAGTCAGTGAAGTTGGATAATATAGAGACACTAACCGGTATAATCATCTGAGTTAAGGGCTCAGAACTATTGAATATCTATAGACTAATCTTCTAGGAGTCGAAGTTAATATTATAAAGAAAGTTATACTATTTATCAGTCTCCAGCTAAGCTAATTAATATATTTGGCTGTCTATATTCTAGCTTAGAGTATTATCAGTAAAATAGCTTTATATTTACCGAGTTCAGTATTTAGATTATAGTATTAGACTAGAATAGTATTAATTTATAGACAGTATTAGAGTATAGAATAGCTATAGTAATACCATATTATCTATAGGCTATTATTATTAATAATAGTATTGCCAGACTACTTATTATTATAAGTCTATAATTAGCTGCTATAACTATTTATTAAGCTATTTCTTATTTTTCTTCTATCTTTTTCTTATTAATATATCTATAGTTAGTTAATTCTGTACTTTTATATCTATTTCTTTTATATTAAGGCCAATTCTCTTTTACTTTACTACTATCTTAAGTAAGATCTTGGTAGTAATTTTAATAATAGTTTTTATTTTTAATACTATAGCAATTAATACTACGGACGGGGGATGATTCGGCGGAGCCGACGGGGGAAGTTGTTTAGGAAGAAGAGGGGGAAGAAAGAGAAAGTATCGATGGATATAGAGTGTCAATGTCAAGACTGATCCTACTAATCTCATCTCGACTTGGCACTGAACTGTTTGGCTTGGGAGATAGATCTGAAGTTTTTCTTTTCATATCTTCGTGCAATGTCGAAATACCTCCAATGACGGTTGGGATGCTGGGAAAGCAGCTTCATTAAGGCGGTTGAAGGAAATCGTGACAAGACTCAGAGGTATATTATTAGCAAGTGACTATATCTCCATGAAGGATAGTATGTATTCTGGTGTGTAGTTAGAAGACCAGGCACAGGCTATGAGCATATAACTAATGGAACCAATGAAAGAGTGTGTAAGCCAAATATAGTCTCAGTGCTTATAGAGGCTAAATAATAGATACTTTGAACCCTTTTTAGAGGACTTGCGAATACGGTGGTGAACGACTGCTGACGGTTTGGTTTTCAGGATGGAATTTACCGCCGGATGATGATTGGGGCCACGGGATTGGACTGGTTGCCTCACAATAATCATCAAAGGGCGTAGGTTTATTGTTTTATGATAGGGTTAGAGGTTTATGAAAATTGAAGTTCTGATTTAGATATTAGATTGGGTGAGGTTAGGGGTGGATTCGACAAGCAACGGGTAATCATAGTTATTACACGCCAATATGCAACGTATCCCACAGCTTCCTACTGTATGCAGTCTCGTAATTCTCGTCATTGATAATCCCGCGAGTTCATTTCATTGAGGTAAAGTATTCTACGGCTTTCTGAGGAGGTTCATGCTTTGTGAAGAAGCTTTGGAGAAAGTCCGATCTTTCTACCTCACGCTTGGTCGTAAGCCAATAATAGCTCCATCTCAGATTAGACACCAAACTTAAGGAAATCCAAGGATCATGGGGGTCGTATCCCTCACGGGATTAGTAACACATAGATACTCTATAGTTTACTTGATCGAGCCTTGGTTCACAACAGATTGGAACAATCATGGTCGTGATTTATTTTAGAGCTGTAGAAATACAGGAAGTATACACCTTAGGTACGTTCTCGTTTCGTATGAAACGGCTAGTCCACGGAACAAGGTCTTAAATATTGCACTAACCGGACTTAAACGATTTATCTTGGAACATAGGGCTGTCTGAGCCTTAGGTCGAACTCTGCCTGAGGAACCATGACTGCTTTATTCACCAGTGATCAGATCGCACAACACTGAAATCTCACAGTTCCTGTATAATAGAATTCTTTCTTTTTTTCTTTCTTTCTTCTCTACGTTTGATGTTTCGTTAGATCACCACGTTAGAAATGATACAATTTTCCAATGTGTATAGGATCGAATGAATCCCAACTGTGATTCGTATTTTACCAATCAGTTATTCCGGGCGAGATTAGTTCTGCAAATAGCCAAAGGGGCTGAGCTGTCCAGTACGTGGCCCTTACTTTCAGCCACCTTGTTGTGATACAAGTCTTTAATATTCTCACAAACCATCCAAATTCTTTTTCGGTTGACAAGTCCAGGAACGTAATCAACCGTTTCCTTCTTATATTGGCCCTGCTCTTCAAGTTCCGCAATTGCCTTGGATAGCCTAGCCTCCAGCTTCTGCGACCTAAATGGATTAATATCATGGATTTCCCAGAGCCAAGGCAGGTCAGTTTCCAAACTTCTTCTTGGAAGGCGGACCGTGTGCATTGACCATGACGCAGCTTTAAGAGCCAAGACAGACGCCATGGGAAGCAGGTCGAATATTTGAACCCGTAATTCCTGGGGAAGAGTGTCAAATATATCGTGGCTCACGGCCATTTTGGGGGGCCGAGAGGTGTCCGTTTTGTCTTTCACCATGACTTGAAGTTTGTCCAGATATTTACTTAGCCAAGGGATCTCCACTGGGTTTGTCACCAGAAGCTAGAGTAATACTACGTAAGTAGAGGCTGAAACAAGACTTTCCAAAAATGTGTAATTACCTCTTCGCCCTTTCTGGATTCCCAATATTGATCACGGAGTGGTATGGGCTCTCCGTAATCTAGCAGCAGCACGCGATAAGCATTTTCATGGACCAGCTCCTCAAAGAGAGAATAGAGGATGTCTCCATTCAATATTTTATTCTTGAAACATCTTAGGAGAATTTCCTCGTAGCACGCCTTATGAAAAGGAAAAACAGGTTTGTCTTTGTGATTCCCCATATAGTCCCAGTATCTAGGAATGATCAGCATAGCAGCAAAACATAATAACCGGGGGTTTGAAGGATTTATGGGATAACGTTGCACATACGCGCAGAAGAAATACGGCGGCTCCTCGTCCGGATCAGTGGGAACATTTGGATCTGCAATGTTAGACTGCAAAGCCAGGCTGATAATACATCAAAACAAACCTTGGCCTGCGTAAGCGTAGATTGCATCCTTAATAAAGTTAGATTAGAAAACCTGTCTGTACGCTCCAGTCAAACGGTAGCTTACTGCATCATCATGGTAACCCTCGCCAGTCAGAAAGGACCTATTCTCCTTGTTAGGAGAATCGGACAACCCTGGAAACTAATATATTACTAACTTTCTTTCTGCAGCAACGTGCGGGTTGAGGCCCAGTGCGCGGACATGCTCAAGCCAGCTTAAATCACTATCTCCAATAACCTCTCCTCTATAGGTGCAATCGGCGTCATCGTCAGAATCAATTGAGATCCACCCCCGGCCGGAGAAGGTTGATCCACATATGGCACAGTAAACATGGAACCCCATTTTCTGCAATGGCGCTTCAGCAGACGATGTAGTTTGAAAGCTAAATTAATGTGACGGTTTAGAAACATATTATGAACTAACCTATGTGGTGAAATATTAGCCGAAGCTGAGGCCACCTGTGGGGGCTGAGACCTAAGTACTACTAGGGGCTGTTGAAGGCTGGCCGCTACGAAACAGTACATATCTCAGTACTGCCATTTTGCTAACTACATACGACCACAGGGTGTGGAGAACAGGGCTACCCGTTCGCTTAGCCGTCCGTACTTGAGCCACACGCCGGCCGGTTAGTAATCGGGTGGGTGACTACCAGCGAATCCTGGCTATTGGTATATCCGTGTTCACCTGTACTTTTTGATTTATTGGATTTAATTCCCTTACCGCTTTACCTTTACTCGCTTTATCCTTATTTATCTGAACCTTACTTTAACCCTATTAAAACTTACTCATTAATCCTGCCTTGACTTGACCAACTAATATATTCTTTTTATCTATCTCCCTATTTATTTAATTCAAGATAATAGTGTGATTCCCACTAGGAGTCACCTAACCCGCTCGACCAAAAGGCTCACAATTGAATCCTGAACAAGGATTCAATCGGTTAGGTGATATATATATAGGGTAGTCAGAACTACATTACTATATTTTTTAAATTATATAATACATCTACAATCTTTTAAATAATGATAAACTGAATATTAGTATTATATATAGAAGTATTCTATATAGTGTGATCTTGAATACGACGGGGTTACTAGAGAGGAGAGCTACAACTGGTAGAGGAATCTTATAGCTCCACTTGGAAGGGACTTAGCGTAGCTACCCTTAATGTTTATAAAGGCCATAGCTATCCCCCAGACCTACGAAAGGTCGGCAACTCTCTACCTCTCATAGCATACCGCTACTTGCAATCACAAAGATATAATTTATAGAAAACTATAATCTATTATTTAAGAAAGACTAGTTTAAGACTATAAATACTCTAATTAAACTATTTCAATATCTTTCAAGTAGAAATACTAAGATAAAGATCTTATAAATCTCTATAAATGGTTTGCTTAACAACGCAAAAGTCTACACGCCTATGTAGAATACACGGGACCTTGCTTAAGTCAAAATCTGTGGTCTTGAAATCTCCCTTTGGAGGACCGTTCCGAGAAGGGCAGCAGGGTAGTTATGAATTTCAGGAGACCTCAGACGGAACCTTAGCTCGTTTTATCGAATGAGCATAACGAGGAGACTATCCTGATATTGTTGGAAGTGAACCCCAGCCAATACCATCGAACCCCGATATCCCCTCTCCAGGCTGCACTGATGGTGGAGATCAGGTTGCCTCGGCTCCCGACCATGAGAGTTCCCTTTCAATCGTTATATGTATTTTCTGGCGGTTATGCGATCCCTCAACTTAAGCGCCTAGCTTTTGACAAGCTTACAGCTTGCTTCGTCACTATAGGAAACCCGGACACATTGGATCGTCTAGCCTTCAGGAAGCTTCATTTAAATGATAAACTACGGGATTGGTTAGCGGAATATGCTTCGTACCGCATATCCCAGTTGAGGACTCAGCCATCGTTCCACAACCTCCTTCAGAAAACTCCGTGTTTGGGTTCACACATGATGCTGTCGCTAAATGAGTTTGTTTTATTAAGCTATCGGCATATTGTTCAGGCTGACCAAGGGTCACAAGAGGCACTTTACACCAGGTCCAACGTCTCGAATCGGCTGTCGGGCGTGGAATGTCGGAAGTCAGAGAGCCTCGTCGTAATGCCGTCATTCTTCCCGCCTTACAATTCCACATGTACTTGGTCTTCCAGGAGCTACTCACGACGACCTGAACTCACATACCGAATTCTCCAAAAGGGAAGCAAACATGCGCCTCTTTTGGATAACGGTATTGTGCCTCAGGCTTTGAATGTCCGAACCATCGCCCAAGTGACTCGATGCAAATTACTTTCAGTGGAGAACGTCAAATGCAAGAAAAGAACCTTCTAAGGAAGTCCGTGTCTGTATTTTAATTCGCAAAACACTAGAATGACATCAAGGTCTGCCTGAAAATACTAGATATCGCTCCTCAAATTTTCGCATTTCTATCGTTTGGATACTCATTGTCCTCAGCAATGCGAAAAGCGATACTCTTCAGCTGCGCCAAATGGTTATTATAGACGCCTCGAGGAGTTGTGCGATACTTATTGCACAAATATGCTGCAGCTGCCGTCGCAATTGCGTGCTGTCCACCATTACCCATGAATTTGGTGTTGGATCCCGCCACGTGAGTGGCACTTATGTGTTTGCCTGCCATCAGAAGGTTCGAGATATTGGTCGAGTATAAACACCTGAATGGAATATCGTATGGTTCGTGGTCTCTCTCATCCCATTCCCATGTCTTCAATCGAAAGTCGTACTTGTCGTGGCCTGGATAATGTAAGCAAAAGGCCCCAGAGTTCTGAGCCACGGAATCATGAAACTCTCTGTGTGCACGGATATCAGTTTCGTTGAGGACATAGTCGCCTTTGTATCGCCGATATTCACCCTGTGCAGGTGTAAAAGATACCCAATCAAAATCCAGGTTGGCGTATTTACCTGGCTCCATGGTCTTAACGTTGTAAAATGTGCCATAAAGAGCGCGTAACAGGTGATCACGGATCTTTTCACCATTGAGATAAGGATCCAATGACTGGCCATACTCCCAGAAGTGAGTCAGTGGCCAGGTCATTCGCTCCGGAGTGCTGGGGTCTGGATGCTGCTCTGGACGTAGTACCCTCGGCCCCCGTCCGTTTTCGATACCAGGAACCTGGAGCTGGCCACCGAGATTAGCGAAGTCCAATGCCACTTCAGTCGCCCATGGGACCTCAGGGAACTGCTTTGGTGATTCCGAGTCTCGAGTCCGGAAGAAGAGTGTGTTTCCATGGTGCATGTTTGTAGCCTTTTCTGGCGCTAGGCTCTCGCCGTACTCAGCCTTCGACTCTTCTCCAAAGAGTGTCTCAGCACCAGAAAGCAAGCCGAGGGTGGCTTTTCCGGAGCAGTCAATGAATACGGGCGCGGTAATGCGAATTTCCTTTCCGCTGCGAGCATCGCGAGCGTCGACTGCACTTATAGCGTTTCCAGCGGTCACCGTATTGTAAACAGTATGTTCCATGAACAGTGATACGATGGGTTCGAGCAACTGTCGCGCAAGGAGGTCCCCAGTCGGGTCTCGCGTGGTGAGTTCTTTGACCACGGGGCCGTTGACCCCTCGAGGACTGAGACCAATCTCAACGCTCGCATTACCACCCAGATACGGCCTGTCCTGGATCAAGGCCACTTTCTCTCCCAACCGTGCCGCAACCAGCGCAGCGGCAGCGCCGGCCACGCCTCCACCAACCACACAGACACCAAACGAGCCCACATGTACAGGCTCTTCCGGCAATCCACGAAGCCGACGCCGCCAATTTCTGGCTGCTTCATCGACTGGCTGAGGTGGCTGAGTGTCTTCACGACTGAGGAAAATGGCATCGCACCGTCCGCAAAAGCCTGTTAGATCATGCAGTGCGAGCGTCGCCGTTCCTGCCGTGAGATCCACTTTGCCTCCCAACTCCCACGACCAATCTTTGTCATTGGCACCAAACTCCGTTGGAAGGAACACGCCATTTATTGCAACTGTGAACCTTCCCGGATGGTGACCAGGGACCCAGTCTTTGGAGCGAACCCAAACATTGTAGCGTCCTGATTCATGAACAGGGAAAGTCGTTGTCGCGTCTTTGACCGGAACACCGTTGCCGTGGGCCAACAAGTATGGCGATCCCATTTCCAGCTCATATTGCGAGTCTAGAACCCAGCCACCGAAAGAGGAGAATTCCTCTGCCTCGCAGAGGATCCCGGATTGAGGGATTGGTTGCGGAGGAATTGGCTCTAGACGAATAGGCCCCATAGCGTAAAGGGTTTATTCAACACAATGAATATGTACAGCTTGAAAAGGCGTTATCAAAGAAATAGAATAAGATACAAGGGTCCTGACACCATCTGATAAGTAGTCATAATTCTGAGGCACAGTGGAATCCCTCGGATGAAGTTCCTCAGCTGCCACTGTTCCGACCACCGACTGCCGATAGTTAACCTAGGTAACCTACGAGTGGTCCCATGACATTTCACAATGCGGGGATAAGACTAATCAAGATAATGTCTGCCGGACAAAAGAGGTTTGTAGGCCCGATCCTTAAGCCGAGTGTATAGACATCGAGTCGGGCCCGGCTCTCGGAAGTCATTATGTCAGCGCTTTAATGCCCGATCGCGCGTCAAGGGAGAGCCAAGAGACTCGGGTGGATTTTCATCCCATCGGCACAACGGCCTGTGCTTGATTGGCAAATCGCCCAAGATTTCCTTTGAAATCCCCAAAACACGCGAGTATTAAGTTTAGGGATGATCTAGTGATGTACTCGGGTTCATTCAACATAGGTAAAATATGACTTCGAAAGCGAATCTGTGCCTGTTTGCATGCAGAAGGAGGATATTGCTCAACATGGACTGGGTATTGCACTGAACCTTCAACCTCCGCGTAAGACAGACAAGGATCTCGAATTATCCATAATTCGTTCAATTGGCTCCCTTTAAGCTTGTGTCCCGAGGCAAAATATAAAAGTTTCTCAATCAAGATTTCCTGTGTTCAACGGGGTATGTATCTCAGCATATCGGAAAATCACGTGGTCAATAATACTGCAGTAATCTGCTAGATAACTACTACTAAATACTGGGTTGGATTTTCTCACATACCACTAATCAATCAAGATTGGATAAGGCCACTCACGCTGAGCCCACTTATAAAATCACCTAACCCAATTATTGCGTTGAATAAGGACGAGTTCTACATTACCAATGACCACCATTTCCCGAGGATGAAGAGGCCCCTTCTCGCAATGCTGGAAACCTATGCCGCCCTTTCATTGGGGGGCATAGTCCATGTGAACATGCACAACGAGTCATTTGTTACACTGCGCGCCCTTGCCAATATCCCATATGCCAATGAGATCGCCCTGCTGAATACCTCAACACTGGCGGTGGAATAACAGGATCCTGTCAAGTCCGGCTTTATGATATCCGACACGATGCGACTCTTGAGCTAGCGACTGAGATCAGAGTACCGTTTATATCGAATAAACTTTCTCACGATTAAAATGGACTTCTACTGATTAGCGGTCATCCTCATCCCCCCTCCCTTGACTGGTTGGTGGATGATCGTAGTAAGTGCTTAGAGGCCCATGTTCTGGACCTTCAGAAATGTCATAAGGGAACAGCCCCAAGCTGGGTGAGTGAGTGGACATGGGAGGGTGGATTGAGAAACTTGTATATTAGTACTAAAGAATATGGGTCTGGTACATCTGCGGGGAGAGGCACGGGGTATTACTTGGGGTTGATAACTGGGTTGTATCAGAAAGGGACTTTAGTTTGGAGGGATTTATTAGATTACTTAAGGAAGAGAAGAACGTAATCAACGTTCCACCAAACTAGAGCATAGAGCTTCGGTAGCCTCTTATTTATAATCTGCTGTTATGTATTATATGACGGAGTCGAGGATCCAATGCTATATCTGTCGGCATTCTAGGGGAATGAAGAAAATCAATAATTGAAATAATAATCGAATATCTCCCTGCTGCTAAAGAGCCCTCATGAGCCACTCCGAGGAATGCTCCTGCCACTCCCGAATATGCCCCATAGCACAGTGGTCATCGTCGGGAAATAACATGAGTTCAGATCTTGGAGCCCAATTTGCGAGGTCAATTGTGTCTTGAGTTGAAACCAAGGTATCCCTCTCGCCATTAATCGCAAGAACAGGGCAGCGTATGCGTTCAATGTCAGCCCGACAAGGACGAAGGCTATGAAGGCTCGTCATTAGAGCTTGAATACCGCCAGCTCCTACAACATTGAATAGGGACCTAACAAGAATTTCAGGCATTCCAAATGACCCCGTGGGGCTTAAGGATCGAGCCAAAGGTGCCCCGTTGATAACAACTGCCTTCAGACGCTCATCTGCAATTGCCATCCGCGTCACACAGTTCCCACCGAAACTGACCCCGACCATTCCCAGCCTTGACCGATCAATGGCTGAATGGGATTCGATGAATGATAGCACATCACCATATATCTGCTCCGAGGAATCTTTACACAACGGCCTCTTGTATCTATACGTACCCGGCATCTCCATGAAGAACCAAGCGCTCGAAACAACTGACCGTGTGCGCAACACAGTCATGATGCTTTCAACATTGGTGCCTTCGAGTCCATTCGTGAAGAGGACCCCGGGCATCCCGATTGGTTGAGTAGCCTCTGGCAATAGGCCGTACACCTTAATCTCCTCGCCTTGTGACCTCACAACATGTCGTTCAACTTTGAGATCGATCGTCGGTGCAACAGCATCCAATAGGATGTCAAAGAGGGCCTCACAGGAGTAATATGCCTTATCCCGGTTCGGTGTCCGACCTGGCCAAGCTGCGATGAAGAGGTACGCTATGGCCTTCACCAAGGCATCCACCGCGATGCGGCTACTAAGAATCTCGGGTGGAGTGGCGGAGTTCAAAGAGTCATTGGCATCGATCACGGTACCGGGCGGTGTCTGCGTAATAACGGTGCTTCCATGGGCAAGGAAGGCCAGTAGGTCCGGTGATGGCGACCTCTTCGGCTCGTTCTCTAGCCATGCCTGCTTAGGGTCAAGCTTCCACCTTTTTAACTCAGTGTCTAGCCGCAGGAGATACAACTCTGCCAGTGAAGTCCAATATGCTGGCCAGTAGTCATCATTGAATGACTTGCATTGTTTCAGCTCGAGTAGGATTTTCGGTTGGGATATTCCGCCTATAGTGCCGAATCGGGTTGCTGATAGTAAGGGGAGGAAGGGGTGGACGCCGGTGAACCGAGCAGCAAGATCTGTGGTTTGTGTTATTGCGAGGAGCGAGACAAGGGCTTCGGAGATCATTTTCGATTGATCTAATAGCGAGGGAAAAGTGTCGTTCTCATTGTATTCCAGATAAAAGCCCACTGCGTACGCGCTTCAATAATTTATAGCTAGGAGCCGATGGCACTACAGACCACACCAGTAGCATGCACGTTCTAAACCTCGGTAACTTGAGCTTAGACTTTTGAAATACAGTGTTTTGGGGGGAAGCTTCAATTTGATTCTCAAGACAATCATGTCCTGAGTAGCATTGTATTACAACCGAAGTTCGGGTTCGGAAAAGTCCCACTGGGGCGAGGGTTGAGTGGAGCTAGTGGAGCTCGGATTCGGGAAATCACATGAATCATCATCAGATTGACGGAAGTACGAAAGAGCATGGCAGCAGTACCAAGTAGGAGTCGCCCCAAGAGTAAGAATCTAGGCGGCTAGAGAATGCCAGTAGAGGTCGAGTCGGGGATTTCGGAGAACCATGTGTATATTGATCCCTGGCCGCTGAAGGTCCAAATTCACTTCATGCTACAGTTCCTTCGATCTGATATCAATCAGTCTTGATTCGACATGAAACATATCAAAAAAAAAAAAAAAAAAAAAATTGCTACAACTATTGCTATCCCACGGTCAAGATAACTATACCTGCCAACATTCAGGTCGTGGACCGAGACACGTATCTTTATGTCTATGAGGAAAATGTCACCGTGCCCCTCAAACATGGCGGAATTCTCCGCTGCAATGTCTACAGACCGAAAGATTCGGATTGCACCCAAAGGTGCCTCGTCCTAGTTATATGTGGACCCTACGGAAAAGATTTCCCATACAAGACGTACGCAACGCAAGTGATTTCCGCGTGGAGAAGTAGCTAAAAGATTTAATCAGCTTCCATCCGTCGAGTTTCTCAGAGCTCAATCCAGAATATCAAACTGAGCAGTCGGCATGGGAAACCCCGACACCCAAGTACAGGATCTCGCATGGCTACGCAGTTGTACGCGCGGATGAACCTGGAATCAGCCAATCACCGGCATATTGAGTGTAAAGTCTGCGGCAACTGCAGAGGCTTTCTGTGACACAATCGAATGGGCTTCACAGCAGCCCTGGTCGAATGGTAAGGTCGGCTTGCTTGGAGTGAGCTACTACGCCATCTCACAGTGGCAGGTCGCCGCCAGAAACCCCAAGGGCCTCGCGGCCTGTGTACCTTGGGAAGGCAGTTCTGACTCTTACAACAAATCAACACGCCATGGAGGGATTCTCTCCAACGCATTCTTCAATTGGTGGTACCCACGACAAGTACTCTCTAACCAGTACGGGCGACCTGGCAAGACAGCGCGAGGCTGGGGCTTTGATACTTTGGATGTGGATTTGAGCAAAGAGGAACTTAAAGCAAATAGGTCTCCTGTTCTTGAATCGATGCACTTGCAGCGCTTTCGCGGTGACGAGTTCTTTCTTTCGACTGCCATTGACTTTGACAAGATCAAAGTTCCAATTCTCAGCGTGGCCAGTCTTGGTGGCATAATGCTGCATTTGAGAGGGAACGTGCTGGGCTATTATCGTACTGGGTCAGATTCAAGTACCTCAGATTCATTTCTGGTCGTCACGATCTCCCATTTTACTACCATGAAGAAGTGGAGGACCAGCGGAGCTTCCTGGACGCTTTCTTGAAAGGCCAGGGCCGCAAGGGATGGTTGACCAAGGGCACAGTTCCTCCCGTTAGCCTACTCTTACGAAAGGGCAACAAAGGTGTCAATATTTCCAAGACGGGAATGACATTCAAACGCAGGGCAGAAAACGAATGGCCTCTGGCTCGAACTCAATACACCAAATTTTTTCTCACTCCTGACTTTGAGCTTTCATTCCAAGATCCTGGTATCAAAAACGCAATTGATGTCAGTTTCATGGCAGAAGGCGAGCAGTCAAGTGACGACCACAGTGCACTGCAGACGAAGGCATGTGACATCGAACACTCGACAAATGCTTCCTCCATTCTGAAGCAACTGCCACCCGATGTAATTCAGTTTCGTACGCAATCATTCCGCGAGGAAACCGAGATAACGGGCCACATCGTTGCTCATCTCAATGTTTCCCTCGGCAAGGACAAAGAGGGAAACACGCCATCTGATATTGATTTGTTCCTATCCATCCGACACATTTCCCCTACTGGCGAGGGAATTAACTACACTGGCTCAGCAGGAGACTTCGTTCCAATTTCAAAGGGATGGCTGCGTGTGAGTCTTCGGAAAACCAACCCCGATCATCCCAGCCATCGCCCATGGCTGCCATGGCGAGACTTCTATCGTTCCGATGTCCAAACGGTCAATCCTCAAAAGATCAGTCCAGTCGATGTGGAGATTTGGCCAATGAATGTAGTGGTCGAGGCAGGGGGCCGACTTGTATTAGAGATCAGTTCTCGTAACACGGCAGGAATAGGGATCTGGGGTCACACAGATCCCAATGACAGGTAAGTAAATTGAAAGTGAATTAAGTGGACTATATCTAATTCTTCAAGATCCCCCGTAACTTTCAAGGGCGTCAATCACATTCACTTCGGACCTAAGTATATTAACTACGTTTCCCTCCCAGTTATTCTATCCCAATGAGTAGCCGCATTATTGGCTAAATTAACCATCTCAAGTTGCAAAGGACCTTTTACTGAGTGCTATATTAGGCAATTGATTGGTTCTTCCTGTTGGTAAACTAGCTGTTGACCTCGTCACTTAAATCCAAGACTAAACTTCAGACTTTGTACGTACCAAGGCAATTAGTAGAGTGGAGAAGTGTGGTTTCTTTTTAAAAAAGAATTTTTTAAAAATTTAATAGTATATTGGCTAATCAATCGCATATTTGGTATCTCTGATTGGCAAGCCGTGGGTTGCAGCTGTGCTCTTATCTGTGTTCTGTTTATACAACCAAGCTCAACTTTCCAAGTTTTAGTTCCTGTGCAGAAAAGTCTACATCTTATATTTAAACCGAGTCGGAAATCTATGGACCGCTACACATCAAACATAAAAATCGTGCTAATATTGACCATCGTATAAGAGCAACGTTATAAACAGCCCGGGATTACCACTTTTCTCCTCTTATTAGGTAGACCGGAGAGGCTTCGTCGGTTTCGTTCTCGCAAAGCATAGTATTCTGTAGAGACATGGAGTGGTAACTTACCACCTAAACAGGGGTTATAACAAATGAGCCACTTTCCCTTAGTGTTTCGTATAGTGATTTGGTATCTATGGCATTTCGGTCGTTTTAACACCGAGTACTAGCGCCATTCCTGGGGTAGTTCAACCTGTCTCACCAAATTCGTTTCTTCTCTTCAATCAATCAATCAATCAACCTGTGCATCCAGGATTGGTTCCACTTGGTCCTATCCACGATCCCATTCACCTAGGAGGATTACTAGCCGATACTGTCTCAGCTTGCTTCCACATATTCTTACCCAGATGTGGAACGACATCCCGCCATGACTACAAAGTAAAATCATGTGTAGGAAAGCCCGAATGTGGAACAAACACAAAAACAAATCGCCACAAGTCCGATCGTCCCCGACGGGGTGTCATCTCGTGCACGGGTCTCGCATGGTCGTATCCCACATTGTCTCTGTCATGCCATTTCTTGGCGCTCTGCGGTGTTTTAATCGTGTTTTGTTGACCGTGTCCGAGTCCGATTCGGACCGAAGCAAGTGGCCCCTCCTCCATGGAGGAATAACGAGCCAATCAAGCCTTATTTTTCAGCGCCGAATTTCCGCAGAGTTCCTGCGAAGCCTCTCCTAGCACTAGGCTTAGGAATGGTCCAGTCCCGGTCCCAATATTTAGGACTGGGACCGGACTTTGCAGTCTTTGGTCTTTTCTTACATTGCTGAGGACTGCACTATGGTCCCCCGTGGTCCTAAGCGGTCTTTATTCCGCGGGACTACCGTTGTATAATCTTACCAAGGCCTTCTATTTTCGGCTATATAAATATGATAATTTATTAAAATAGTTCTTTATAATTATAATAGTATTCAGTATAAATACTACTAATATTCTATTAATTATTGTTGTATTCTACTGACTTTCTATTAATTTTTTATCGATTTTCTGTTACTTTTTATTAAGTATCCGATGACACGGCTGCGAACGACTGATACCGGCCCCATCACGTGAATACCTACTCCAGAATCTACCCCAGTGGGAGTATACCGGGGGTATACGATACTGCGCGCTACGATTGGATATACTCCATCTCCTAGCCCCGAGGGAGTCACGATGGGAGTAAATAGCTAAGAAATTATATCTCTACCAATTCTATATATAAATTGATATATTAGTGGCAGTGGATGGTCAGAACTGCCACTAATATAGATATATATAATCTAGAGCTATATAGAAAAGTCGCGTGATGGATAAATATCAACTGACTGTTACATGTTCATCTGTTACAGTAGGATACTCAGGCCTATATTCTATTATGGCCGCCTACTGTCTTAGAGAAATCCCTCCATCTCATGCAACAGCTCCGAATACCTTCATCCTAAGTGGCGAATCCTGCTACAACGCCTCTGTCTCCGTCACCTACACGTAAACTACAGTCACCAACCACCTCCTTTGGTTCGGCAAGGCATGGCTCAGGATTATGAACCGCAGAGGCCCCTTAGCGAACCACACCACCACCACCACCACCACCACCACCGGGGCTTTCCAAAGAGAGGATGCATAGCCCTAGTTACATACGCTGCTATATAGAAGTGAGTTCGTCGTGCGATTTAGGATGCCATGCTTACGCGGTCGGTTGGGGGTAAACGGGGGTTGTATTATTCTTGTGATACTGCATATTGAACGATGGACAGCGGTAGGGAGGATGTACGCCTGCGGTCGATGTGACGCAGGATGCATATCCTTCAACTAAACTGATTCGCTGACTAGTTCAGCGAACGATAGACGATTTAAGTTGAGAGTTGTTCCTGCAATATAGGTAGTGGACCTGTGTCAATTTGACCCACGGGAAACATTTTGGGATGCTTACCATCTAGTACTAGATATAACTGTCGGGGTTCTATATAACAAAGGGAGATAGACAATCTATTATAATAACTGCTTTTGCGGTATCTATAAGCACAATAGTAATACTAATATACTCCAGTATATATATAAAATATGTCTGATATCTATCTGCTCTACTGTTACTGTATATCTAATAATAGATTCAAATCGGCTCGTTATATCTGTACAAACCTATAGATAACGGGTGAAGTCGCGGGCATGCACGCTCCCCGATCCTGAGCGGGACAGGAGGACATTCAGAAGAGCCCGGATATCAGTTAAGAACTCCGCTGCGGAGGTAGGGCTGGCAAAGGCAGCCGCGGAGGAGGAAGTGGGTGTAGCCACCTCAGTGCTCTTGGTAGGAGCCGCAGTCGAGGGAGAAGCGGCCATGCTCGAGGACACGGTCGTCGAAACCGGGCTTTGTGTGGCAGCCGTAGCCGGATCCGCACTGGTTGTAGTAGCTCTTGTGCTCTCAGTAGGGGCAACAGACTGCACGGTTGAAGGGGCAGAAGCAGTCGCAGAGGTAGCGGCACTGGAAGCGCTAATGGAGCTTGAAGAGCCGGAGGAGCTTCCGGAGCTTCTGGAGCCAATCTCTGTAGTAATAGGGCCCTCCTCAACGTAGACACCGGACCAGAACCAGTCTTCCGCCGCGTCATCGGATTTACTGCCAGGCAGACGCAGCTGGCCGACATGCCAGTCAGCGGAGTTGGAGGAGGTAGAGGCACTAACCGGCGCGACAACCTGAGTCAAGGGCTCGGAACCATTAGATGCCCACAGGCCAACATTCTTGGAGTCGAAGTCAATGTCGTAGGCGAAGTTGTACCAATTACCTGCCTCCAGCTGGACCGACCAATGTGATTTGCCGTCCGCGTTCCAGCTCAGGGTGTTGTCAGATGCGCCAGATGCGCCATACTTCAGCTCCGTGAAGTGGCTTTCGAAGAATGCAATCTGGTGCTCAAACGATGGGTTGGGGGGGTTAGTCTCCTTGGTGGAAAGAGAAAAGTGGTAATACAGGTGGCCCGAGCCAAGATTAACCTTGGTCTGAGGGATGAGCTCGGAGCGCTCCATGGTCTGCCCATTCCAGAAAGATGTTCCATCCTAAGGGTTATGGTTAGGTGAAGTCAGAAAATGTATTACGGTTTGCATTAACTCACAATAGTGATCCGCAGTCCCTGGGCGTCGGCAGCCGCTGGATTCTTGAATTCGGAGGAAATACCCAAATACTCAGACGTTTCGCCAGAGCCGTGAATGTACCATTGCCATGCACCGACCTGGTTAGACCAGGACCCTAGATCTGTCAGTGGGGTGGGTACTTGTTACAAGATGGAGGGTTATGCACATTTGTCAATGTCGTCCACGGTGAGCGAAGAATCGGAGATACCGCTCCACAGCACGGATCCAGCCAGTGTGGAAGCAGGAAGAGCGAGAAGAGTAATGAGTGACTGCATAGTGAGAAATAGAATGAAAACGAATGAAAACGACTTGATAATGCGACCGGCACAGTTGGGGGAACTTGTAATTATGGGCTTCGGCATCTTTAAAAGGCGGGAGTGGGTCCGGTCAATATGACACTGAAACAAGGGAGGGTGAAGCTTGTTCCATATTGATTATCTATTCGGCTGTTCATGAAGAAGCTTGATAACATAGTCTAAATACCCGCGGAGATTAAGCACTCGACTGACCCCGGCTTGCTTGCGAGCTATAGTTGAAACAACAGCATCTGATGGTTGTCTTACCATGTATGACTGGCGTGGAATTCAACCCTTGGTCAATGCGAACTAGTTTCATTGGTGGAATAACCGCCTATCCCTCTTGACTATTCGACCTCACTGCAATAATATGGTACATTATTTATTCCATAAAAATTCAGTCTATTTGAAACCTGCCTTCCGCTTAGGTTTTCTCGTCAATCCAGCACTGTAAAAGGAGTCGCGAGTCCTGCGAACCCAATGAATTTCAAGAATTCTTCTGGTGAAGGTGTGGCGCTTAATTGTAAAGTTATACCTCTTTTTTTTTTTTTGCCTTCTCACTTCTTGTGTCTATTTATTTTATCTATTCATGTTTTTGAATCTAATTTTCTGGAATCCTTTTGGAATTTTCTCTGAGCTCCGTCGCTACGAGATTGGATCCGGGCTCTTTATCGCCGCAATCCACGCCATCAAACAGTTCAGAACAACATTCGCACCTCCCAGTGAACGGACAGCTTGGATGGTACAAGAATCCTAAAGGCCCTGACAGAAGCCCCAGCAGCCATTTGGTAGCAAATAAGTCCAGAATGTCACTCGAAGATATCTTAAGCTATAAGGGCACGATAGCCCTTTGCACTCACTGGTGTCTCAATAAAGGCATGATAGGCCTGCTCTGTTTAGGAAGCACTTGGTAATAAGGCTGTAGATGTACCTCTGGAGCACGGTACCTTCGTCATATATACTACAAAAATGCAATTGCAAATGCCTTCAATGTCAGAGCGACATCACACAACAAGCGCAACACTTCAGAAATATATACTCCATCGATGGTAAAGCCCGGTACTTATGACCTCTCTCTTTGTGTCGGACCCATTTATCTCTAATTAACAGCCTTCAGCAGGCTGTCCTGGCCCAGATTATACCGCGCATTGTATGTCATTGCTGCTCTTTTTCACTGTGTTGTAACTCTTCATGTCGAGCGATAAAGCCGCGTCACTAAGATACCAGTCGACGCTTTTGATGCAGCAAGGGGTTGTAAGCGAGTCAGTGTCCTAAAAGACTTGAAGTGAGCAAGGTAGCTGGTCATAGAATTCCTGTTCGCCAGTCACAGTCTTGGTATTCGTACGGGCGATACCATGAAGCTACTCGAACATAGATAGAAAGGGGAGGCGTGATGGATCCTACCAGTACGGTCATCGGGGAGCAAAAGGTGACAAAAGGGTTATCTTGTCTACACGACCATGATACTGAATCTATTTTCACCACCGAAGAATAGTGAGTGTACGGACTACCAGCGGAATGGGCAAATGGAGAGATCAACGACCCAACAGGTACATATTTATATTTACTGCCTGGCCGACGACATCCTCACCGACCGTTGGGTTACGGTCACTCGACTACTCCAAAATGAAATGAAATTTATTGTTGCTTCGCTAGTCGGGGGTAGTTTTGATTTTTTGAACCTCAATTACCTCCCTGGAACGAATTGTCTTTATCGAAGGCATCTGAAGCGCTCTTGGATGCGACGATACTATAAATACCAGCCGCTAATGCATAGCAACTGCGCCGCACCAGGGATGTCCAGCCCCTTATTACTGGATCTTTTGATCCTAGGAACGTGCTTCCCCTCTTCCTCTCTTGCTGCCTCTTTCGGGGTTTTTCTGAATCAATCACGTTTACAGACGTTTTACGCTCACCACCATGTCTCCGTCGCCTGAAGACCAAGCAATGCATCAACTGCAGTCGCAGCAATCCAAATTACTGGACAAAATTGACGAGCTCCGCACTATCGGAGTCGGCGGTCTCGTCGAACTCCCGCAATTGATTGTCTGTGGCAACCAGTCCAGTGGGAAGAGTTCGGTGCTCGAGGCAATCTCGCGAGTCCGTTTCCCGGCCAAGAGTAACGTCTGCACGCGATTTGCGACCGAGGTTATTCTGCGTCGCAGCGCACAGCCAAAGATTCGGGTCTCGATCGAACCGGGCGAATCCAGAACCAACGAAACAGAACGCCAGAAACTGCGGAACTTCGCCCCCCAGGTATTCTCTAGCTACGAGGACCTCCCGAATCTAATTGAAGAAGCGAAGCAATGTATGGGCATCGCCGAGGAAGACACCGTCAACTCCGGGTTCAGCGATGACGTGTTGAAGGTCTCCATCTCGGGCCCCGATAAACCGGAATTGAGTCTTGTTGACCTGCCTGGGCTGTACATTTCAACGAGTCGTGATCAGGGGCCCAAGGGGATCCAGATCGTCCGAGGGTTGACGGAGAAATATATGAAGAACACGCGCACCATCATTCTGGCGGTGATCAGTGCCAGAACGGATTATCACCTGCAGGAAGTCCTGAACCTGGCAGAGCGATTTGACAGCAAACGCGAGCGGACGCTGGGTATTATCACGCAACCGGACAGGCTCGAAGCCGACTCGGAGGAGGAAAGCAATTACCTGCACTTTCTGCGAAATGAGAAAGTAGACCTGCGACTCGGATGGCATGCGTTGCGGAACCGGTCCTTTGAAACACGCAACGTGTCCGACGAGACACGCGATGAGAGGGAAAGGGCTTTCTTCGAGCAGGGCCGGTGGGCGTCACTTTCGCGCGACTGTGTGGGAGTCGAGACTCTTCGACGCCGGCTCAGCAGCATTTTATTGCAACATGTCTGTCGCAATCTTCCCAGTCTGATTGCTGATATCCAAGAGAAGATTGCCGACCGACAGAAGCGAATGGCGAAGCTGGGACCGGCACGGTCGACTCTGCAGCAGCAACGTGGCTTTCTCCTAGGGATAAGCAGCAGCTTTGAACGCATCACTAGTCAAGCTCTGAATGGAATGTATGCGGATGAATTCTTTGGGGAATTTGGCGATGATACGCACGATTCCCAGGACTTCCGCCGGCTCCGAGCAGTGATCCGTGAGCTGAATGAATGCTTTGCCGACGCCATGAACGTTCGTGGCTCTCGTCGGATTGTCAAAGAGTGGCCGAACCAGAGCTATGACTTAGCGCAGGAGAAGAAAAAAATGTACATGGCAGACTGGTCACCAGAATACATCACCCGTGAAGCACTGGAGAAGGAAATAGGCGAACAGGCGCGTAAGAACCGTGGTATCGAGCTTCCAGGCAGTGCAAACCAGTTACTGGTAGGCAGCCTATTCCGGGACCAATCCAAACCGTGGGAGGACATCGCTCGACTACACTTGTTGAACGCCTGGGAATCAGTGAAGTACTTTGCTTGCCTTCTCATCCGGCACCTCACGGATGAACCGACATACACACTGCTGGTGGGCACGGTTCTTGCACCCCAGCTGGAGGGAATGAAGGATGGTTTGCTAAGCAAGTTGGGGGAACTCACAGCCTATATTAAGCGCGGGCATCCCTTGCCTGTGGGAAGAAGCTTTTTATCCAAAATTCAATCCGCCCGAACGACCCGTCAGATTGCGACGTTGAGGGAGGGTCTGAGCCTTTCTCATTCATTATTTGGACCCAAGGACGGCTCTGAGTCATTCGATGTTCATGACCTAGTGAGGGCTGTATCCGAGCTTCAATCGTCCAGCGATCAATTCGCAGCAGCCGAGATCATCGACCAGATGCAGGCATACTACGATGTAAGTTCGATGCATAAGCAACCCAAGACCTTCGCTAACCAGCCTCCTTGAATAGACGAGTATTGTCACATTCGTAGACAACATTGCAACCCTTGCCATCGAGAATTGCCTTCTCGGTCCAGTGGAACACATATTCACCAGCCAAACCGTCAATAACATGGACGACCAGCAGATTCGCGAGCTTGCTGAAGAGTCGTCACATGTTCAGCAGGACCGACAACGACTGGGTCAAGAGCTGAAGAGATTACAGGCAGGGCTAGACATTTTAAACATCTTCAGCACCGAGAGCTCCGCATTACAGCGACCGCCTATATTTGGGAAGCCAGCTGTAGGGTCGCCGTCTCTTTTCCAAAACCTAGATTCAATTGCCCTATGCCAGAAGCGCGAGCCACAATCCAAGTGTAGATATCCCAGATCCATGCCAAATGATAGTCTGCGCTAACCTATCGAACAGCACACTCGGTTCCTACAACAAGCAGGCCTTCTCCGCCCGTGGTGTCAGGCGACAATAACAATAGGAACACTACACCTGCTTCAACGCGTAGTCTAGGCTCATTGTTTGGACCACCCTCCTCCCTTGGTAATAGTTTTATGCACAGCGGAAGCTCTAGCTCTGGCAATCACTCCCCTGCTAAAAATTCCAACAAGGAAAAGTCTCCGTTTGCTTCCCTAGGGTTTCACACAGGGAATACTCCCAAACCTTCGGAAGGATTATTCGGCTCATCACCCTTCTCTAAAGTAGATGCGGTTAAACCCCCAGCAGAAACGGGGCAGGGATTATTTGGGAACCCCGGCTTCGGCCAACAGTTCGGTAGTTCCAGCATGTCAGGGCCCAAGGATACAACTACTAAATATGATCCCAGAAAGCCCCCAGCCACGGAGGGACATCACCGGTAGGACGAATAAGCCATCTAGGTACATATACAGAACATGTATCTAATTGTTGTCATCCGTGGCAAGGATCATCTTCGAAGAGCTCGACAGCAATGTAAACAAGACGAATATGTATCAGCACATTTGTTGCCTTTGGTGCTTTGATAAGTATTCTCCCGAGGTTAGTCAGTATATTACATTGCATCCACCCCCAGCTCGCCGCATTCTGTTCGCTGTATGGCTAATAGTTTGCCATCAGGAACTACGACTTGGGGACTATGCGCGAGGCTTGAAGTTCGCCCCGGACAAGGTTGCTTGATGAGAGGCTTGTTTGGCTAAATATCCAGAGGCGTTCAGTCTAGATTTTGAGGCAATATTCTTCAGCTGGCGTAAGTTGAACGAAGCTTTATGTGCAAGTGTCCAACAGCCTCGTATTGTCGTAATCAGTGGAATAGTGCCCGATCACAGGATAGTCATTTCATTGGACCCCTTTTCAAGGATCAAGCATGATTTGAGCCAATTACAATTAACAAAATAACCAGCCATTCATCATTGGATGTCTCGCAGTAATATCCCAATGGTGCACTGGCTTGACCACAGCCATCAGAGACTCTAACAAACATTCTATCCGAAGCTATGCAATTCAGATCCGTGATGTGGGTGGGTCAAGCGAATGTAGTCTGATCGCCGTGGGACCCAATGGGTGGATGTAAGCGAAGCTCTTGTATTAAGATCGCGTCTCTCAGCCCTTAATGCCGCCATCATGATCAACCAGGACAACGCCAAGGAGTATCATTCCACGAGGAAAATAAAGCCATAATGAACTCACACTATAACGAACATGGTGAGCTCAAGTAGAGTAGCTCTGGATGACGACTTCAAGATACAGAAGAGAAATGACAAGAGTATGGCAGTATAAAGAGACACAGTTGAGGGTGCAAGGGATACAGCAAGGGTATATACGGAGTATTACTAGTATGATGACTGGCACCAAAGGTAAAGAGAAAGGGGGGGAGGGGGACGAGTGGATGCCCAAGATTTGAATGCTGAATAGCTTAGAGACTAGTATCAAACCCCTGGTAATTTCAGCTCGATGCAAATGAGCCACTCGTTAAAGCCTAGGGCTAGCTCCACTCCGACCTATTCTGGTAATCACCAGAAATCCTCCTAGCTACTAAATATAGAAGATGATGTACATCTAGCTGTCTATCAAAAAGTATGCGATCAGAAGAAGACTGCCTTCACTGGCAAAGACCAGATTTAGACTGTACTCAAGTGCAACAAGATAAGCAAGTGGCAATCTCCCATGCTAATATCATTTTTCTTTAGTTCAGACTTTGGGTGAGTCAGATATCTTTGTGTAGACCGTCTCGGAAATGCAGTATTTCGCCAGTAAAATGGAGGTATATTCTATATAATATCTTAGTAGAACTATGTTATTTTGCTTCCTTAGACTTATTAAGATATATAGTATCTTATTCCAGGATTGCATTAAAGGTATAAGCCGGTCTATTATAGTATATGCTATTAAGAGTGGTGAAGGGGGTCTCTCAGTATATTGTAGCCTTTATCTCCCTGGCTCCAAGAGTATTAATTAATTTTGGTTAAAGAGAGATTGCGCTGTTCTTGTAGTCTATCTCTCTAGAACTACTCTTATACTTATTGAAGGTAGTTAATCTAAAGATGAGATACTCTAAAAGGACCGTAATATAGCGTAACCATAGACGAACTCTATTGATTACTTATTCTATTTAGGTAGTGTGTCGAGTGGATTGCCGAACTGCCTCGGTGGAAAGAATAAAAAATATGTCTATGATAGATGTGCCCGATTATGTGACTATAAATTTAATGAGTGATACTGCAGTGTTGTTATACTGCAGTACATAAATCGGAATAATAGAATGATTAGCCTAAAACTCTTCCTCTTTTCACTAGCAATAATGCACTACTTATAGCTTACTCTAAATAGAAGAACCTCAAGTATAATTTTACCAGTGTCAGCTGAGCCATAGCTTTCTATGAGACATTTGTGTAAATAGCTATAAGTTAGGAAATTAACCCACTAGTTCATACCCAATCAGTAGAAATCCCTAATTGATTGACACAGTCACCTATCTGGGTTAGGGTCATTGATCTCGTTGTGGTTCTACCTACGATACAACGGGGTCCCATAGGATAGATAGACAAAACACATGCAAGCCACTAAGAGTTCGGCTCTGGAATATCGCCCAAGATAATCAGGCCACAAGGGCACATGGAGCTTTTCGTGGTAATGAATTTGTCCCCGAGCGCAGAACCATTCTGTGTTCGAAAAAAAGTTGGAATGCTGGGAATTGGAATGCCTTGTAGGAACGTGGGAATGTGGGGTTGTGCGGTTACCGTCGCGACTCAATTGCATCCGTAGTTTGTCTTTGACAGCAAATGAGAATGAACTGCACTAAACCGTACCAGGTTGATTCCGCGATAGAGTTTAACAGAACCCAAGCTTTCCGCAATTTCGCCAAGTCTCTCAACGCTCGAAATCACGAGGTTGTCCTACACATTCTGATAACGATGGGTCTATCACCCCCACTACTCACTGGACGCGAAGAAGACATTCCCTACACACAGTAGAATGGTTGGAATTGCCGGTCGAAGCCGTGCTTGCACGACATGCCGTCGTGCTAAAGTGCGATGTGGTAAGCGAGCCTGGGGAGCCGTATATGAAGGTACTAATTATAAAAAAAGATAGGACCCGCCCAGTATGCAATCGTTGTTCCCGGCTGAAGTTGAGATGCCAGGGACTCAGTCCATACTCTGTATTCATCAACGGTCTTTCACTCGTTGAGATTTTACCAGATAATGAGGCTGCCGAAGATCAGAGTATGATTATTCCCGCAGGTGTTTCTCCTGACTCAGATGAGTTGTTCATGACACACCTGATGAAAAGCCTGTTTACAACCCCTCAAACTGATAACAATTGTAACATCGTCGCTATCTCTCCATGGGTCCTAGCTTCCCTTCAACCTGATCATCAAAAGCGCAGCGCGGTCCTTGCTGTACGCGCTGCTGCCGCCGCCTATTATGGGAAGCTCTATCGGCACCACTGCGCCCTCACCCGAGGGGCAACCCTCTATACCATGGTTCTGGGTCATGTTCAAAGAGATATTAATGATCCAGTGCATGTCGTAGATACTATCACGTTAGCTAATACTGTGTTTCTGGCTCTATATGAAATGGTCACATTTACAGACACCACGGCATGGTTGACTCATTTCCTGGGTATTGGCCAGCTTGTAAGTTCTTCAAGTCTTTTCAAGCACCCGGGATGGGAACTAATACTGGCATAGATAAAGTTTAGAGGGCCTCATCGCCATCAGACCCGGGTGGAAAAGGAGCTGTTTCTAACAGTGCGATACTTTGTTGTAAGTTCATAATACCAACAATTACGAATTAATCTGACGTCCAGGTACTCGCGCATCTTATTCAAAACAAACGGTGCTTTCTAGAGGATAGGGCCTGGAAACTCGTTCCATGGGCGTCTGATCCTAGCTCCAAAATGACCATTGATTACATCCTCGATATCTTCTGCGACGTTCCCGGAATATTAGACGATGTTAGGTGGTCACAAACAAATTCTCACTCTACACAAGATGGTCAAAGGGGACGTGCTAAACTATGCATTCGAATTAATGCTTTATTCAAAAGGCTTCTGCAATGGCGAACAAACTGGGAAGCCCGATTTTCGGACAGTTGTTTTAGCGTTGCACTCAGCGCGCTGAGAGACTTGAAAGCAGTGCATTTAGACACCTATCCTTTCTTAGATGCGGTTTTTTTCACCAAAACTATCCATGTGGCCGAAATGTGCCTGTATAACTCGGTGCTCGTCATTCTACATCGGGCTTGGAATGCTGTATCATCCTCAACCAACGTGCCGCCGTCATTTGGTACTGCTGCAAGTGATCTCAATTCCGCAATCCTCCTTCCACCCGGCAAAGGATCACTGAAAGAAATTACACGTGAGATTTGCCGCATGGTCTACTATCAACTTCTATTTTGCCCGGGCCACATAGGTGCCATTCAGCTCATTTTACCTGTCCAGGTGGCATATCAAAACGTTGTGCCAGATTCAGAAGAGGCGCATTGGCTGTCAAAAATTATTTCGCATATCGCACAGTCTCATGGCTTTGAGGCCGTGAGGTATTTCCAGAGCTCTGTGGAGCCAATAGTGTTTATGTAGATTACTTATAACTCTTATTCTTGCTCAGAGAGTAGTTCATGCCTTGGCTTTGGCTGGAATTATGAGATGGAAATTGCACTCCATCGCTTTGTTTTTTCTCTTTCTATTTTCCTTCCTGTTTTCATTTTTCTTTTCTTTTCTTTTTTTTTTTTTGTGGCTTTACTCTTTGCAGGAAGCTACATTGTCGGTGGTTCAATGACAAGAGATCGCTGTTATCCACTGTCAGCCAACGTCGCCTTTCGTTTCGTCTGCTGTATCTACATATACTGTAGGTCCACAACTACAAACAGTAGTGGTGGTTACTGGAGACATAAGCTAGGCCATATATACACTCAGTATGCCAAGAAATGAATTTCTAGTGTCTACCGAAGAATGAACCATGAAGCAAACCATTCTCTATTAATCCCAGGTGTACCTATTGCCAGTCTAGCTAGAGACTTTACCTCGTATGATGCTGACTACATAATCTTCACAGGGAGCCCCGATTTTAAATGGGACTCCAAATTGGGGGTCTGACCGGTAACATCAAGCAGGAGAAATGAACAGTGAACATGGAAGAGAAATAATTAGATTACCCACAACAGGGGGATCGTTCCGCCTCATCTGTACGAGACTCCGCGGTCGTTCTCTTGTGCAGTTGTAGGGTTAGGTATAGATGATGACCTCAAAATAGCTCTGCGCTCTGTTGTGCTAGGCCGCATTCGGCTGATTCTGCGATAGAGTTCGAGCGGGTTTCAGTGGCTGTTCTAACACCACAACTTGTGCCACGCGTTCTTAGGAATTTTCTAATTCTAGAGTGCCACTACTCACCTCCAAGGGCTGACATCCATACTTGTAATAAAAGAATGATTAAGTATAGTAAAGGAACTATCCCTCCGTCTAGCAAGCTTCGAAGATTCCCTTGCTTCAGAACTGCACTTTGACTTTTGGAGAGGATCCAACAAACTACGACCGACTACACGAGGATGGCAGGCCAATCAGCACCAGCGTCTGAGCGCTCCTCTCCAGATCGCGGTGTACACAAGCGAGTTTGCAAAGCCTGCGATCGCTGTAGACTTAAAAAGTCAAGGGTATAAAAACAGGCCTCGAACCAGTATCAACACGTACTGATGCGCTGACCCAGTGCAGTGTGACGGTGCCAAACCGTGCAGTCGTTGTCGGGCAAGAAACACGCTCTGTGTTCTCAGCGAGCGGAAGAAGACCCGTGACAAAGTGTACCCTAGGGGGTGAGCATGCACCTGGCTTGATTTGATATTTGCGAAAGTGGTCGAGCTAATTGTTTTTCTGCACAGTTACGTTGAGATGCTGGAACAACAACAAACATGGCTGGTCAACGGTCTTCAAGAATTATATCGACGCCTCCTCGAAGGTGACGGGTGGCAGGGCGAGCCACTAGAACGTGAAGCCAACGGACAACCATTAATACACGACCTACTCACCCAACTGGGCACTGTAGACCAGAGCAAGCATGAGCGACTCGAAGAAAGCACTGACTCCATGCAGCAGGCATTGTGGAAAAATGGTGCCGGGCATATGCAGCGCCAGGATACTTCAGATACCAGCTCCGAAAGCGCACACTCACCCGTTATGCCGCCTCTGTTCTCCGATCTCTTCGCTGCGCGAATAGGCCCGCAGACGTCCCCAACATCCTCAATTAATTTACCCCAATTGACGAGTACAAGCGAACTGCATAGGACACCAAACAATCCTGCGTATTCAACGTCGATGCAAACGTCCATGCTGCATATGATACACCCGTCAGACCTGCACAGCGCCCAGCTAAAGGATACGCAATGGCCTAGCCCTGGCTTCGGAAGCTTTGACGACATTGACATCATGTGCGCTCAGTATAGCGGGACACCGTACGATAACTTCATCACATTGCCGATGTTCAACCTCTAGATGCCAATAGTCTCGATCCCAGTGTCATATGGACAAGTCGAATGACATTGTACCATCAACCAATTCCTAGATAGCTGAAGATCATATCGTGACGAGTAATATCTGGGTTACGGATATGCTGTACTATTAATGGATATTCAAATATTATTTTCAGGATTACTGCATGGATTTGGAGGGAGGTACTCTTCTTATTGTGGTGCTCCGTGTTGGCTAAAAAATATGGAGTTCTGGGGCGTTATCTGGGGCTTCAAGAACGCTTTCCTACATATCCCTTTCTATTCTTCTCTCTACCCATTATTTGCTTCCAACTACTTACGATATGGAGAAGCGGTATTCTGTCAGCCCAATGAATGTATTAATGACCGCATCACCTGAGGCCTCTCATCTTGGCCCTCGACCATTAAAGGCCACGGCAACTGGCACGGGCATCTCTAATAGAATTTTCTCAATAATAAACTTCGTGGAAGAATATGCTATATACATGGCTGGTTAATTGCACATTGGTCTGACCAATGACTCCATCAATACTATCAATGTGAGGGTAGAATAAAGAGGTACGGAGGAAATTACTGATAGATCTTTCCATGATGGGAGGCGGCAGCGCGTACAGCAAGGTCCGCCCTGCACTTTTGTCTATTGGGTTGAAGGGAAGTCAGGATCTACAAGGAGATAGCTAGAATGCTACAACTATTATCAACCTGGGGAGCTGCAAATAGGCTTCTCATTAGATACGTCACAAATAGCTTATCTAAGTAAGGAGGGATAGTTAAGGAAATAGTCCATTTTCTGGTCTTTGGCAACCTTATGTTCCTGTGAGATTTAAAGCAGTAAAAGACCATTGATAAATATACATTTAATCTTCAACCGGGAGTAACGATTGTACATTGAGTGTCTCTGATCTTTTGGTAACCAATAGCTTGATATAGACCTCCCAGGGCTCACTTACCACATTGCACTTTGGCAGAACGGCATATCTTGCAAGCACGGCTTTGACCGGCTATTCCAACTATTATTCTGCACGTAGGGCCTTCTCCCTGTGCATCTAGGGGAAAATGGGACAACGGAGCTAGGACTACTGCTAGAATATGGTAGACTTTGTGGTTTCGAATACATAGCACTTGGGTGGCAGTACAGTTTCTCTCCGACCGGAAATGCAAATGGAATGCACTAGACCGTATAAAGCTGATTCCGCGATAGACTTTAGCAGAACCCTGATATATGCACTCTGAATGCAAATGCGTCAGGACGGACAAAATCTTGGTCCAGGGAACCCCACAACCCCACAGAACCTGCCAAGTCGTGGTATCACCGACTCACTGTTGCCTGTCGTGGGCCCAGTGAGCGTCATTTTCTGCTCCGAAGATTGTCAAACTCATTATAGTAGCAGTGGATACTAGTAGGATTGCCCCCCGGCAACTGAGAAATGGCTATTTTACCCCATGGGGGTGTACAATCTTTCTTTTGGTGTGCATAGGAACAACAGAAGATTTAGTATACATAATTGACAAGCGGGCATCCTACCTCTATAGGCCCTGCAGATCGACCTGCTCCTCCAAGCAACGACCAACCTAGTTGCAGAGGACGATCATTGTCCAACGAAATTACTTCCTAAGCTACCGGTCTTGGCCCTGAAATGATCGCGATCCCTCATTTAGAGAGGCACTATTTACATGAAATTTGCAGGACTGCACATCATGTCTCGCAACTGGATCATCTCTTTCATAGTCTCTTACTACCCGAAGTTTGGCCGGTTGTGTGGTGCTGGTACCATGAACCCTGCCGCTAATTGAGCCTAATTAGGCTTAGAAATCTGATCTAAAGCGCCTAGAAATTAAGTACGAGAATTAGAGATCCGGAGTACATGGGGTTTTTCGGCTCATATGTAACCATTTCCTTGAATGGGGTCAGAAGCAGATTATCACAATCAAAGCGTCTCCAATTTCCGCAGCCAGAACGTCGGCATTGTATACCTGAGACGCCGCTGATACCCCGATATCCCCGCTCACCAAAGCGGACGAACTGCCTGGTTGTGGAGAATGGAATCTATATAAGGCCCTTGAACCGCACCGATGGACAACATTCTTTCCAACATTCTTTCCAACAACACTGCAAGGGTTGCTGTCGTTCCTTTTCTATTCATCAGGCATGAAGCAGTTCGCAATCGTTTTCGTGGTACTGGCATTATGCCAAACCCCTGCTGCTAAGGCAGCGACTGGCTATACGTCGCCACAGGTCTTTCCTTCTCGTTTGTTCAACCTACCCCATTATACGTGTCCTCTTTAACAACCACTAATACATTGTCCAACAGCAAACGCAACTGGTGATGGTGGTTGGTCCGAAGCCTATCACAAAGCTGAAGAGCTTATATCCAAGTTAAGCGTGGAACAGAAGGTGTCTTTAGTCACTGGAACCATTTTCGGTGGCAGTGGTTGTGTCGGAAATATCAACCCTATTGACTCGGCTGGCTTCAAAGGATTATGTCTGCAAGATGGCCCTCTGTCTGTCCGCACCGCAGATCTAGCCAGCACATTCCCAGCAGGTGTCACAGTGGCAGCCAGCTGGGATAGAGAGCTGATGTACGCTCGTGGAAAAGCACTCGGTGCGGAGTTTCGTGGGAAGGGAGCCCATTTGATCAACGGGTGAGTAAGCCCATGTTTATACATCGTTCTCCAGCTGATATACAATCAGCCCCGTTGCAGGACCCTTGGGGAGACATCCTATGGGCGGTCGGAACTGGGAAGGCTTCTCCCCCGACCCTTATTTGACTGGTGTGGCCATGAACTCTACCATCCGAGGCACCCAAGACATGGGGGTACAAGCTTGTGCAAAGCACATTATTGGAAACGAACAGGAGACCCAGCGGACTAATTCCTTCTCTCCAAACGGCACCGAGGTTGCTGCTATCTCCTCTAATATTGATGACCGCACGATGCACGAGCTCTACCTCTGGCCATTTGCTGATGCTGTGAAGAGTGGAGTGGCTTCTGTGATGTGCGCCTACAACCGAATCAATGGAACTTATTCCTGTGAAAATTCCAAGCTCCTGAACGGACTTCTGAAATCAGAGCTCGGCTTCCAAGGATACGTGATTTCGGACTGGTTCTCCATGCATTCCGGGGCCCCGTCTGCCCTGGCAGGGCTTGATATGAACATGCCGGGTGTGATAAGGATCGAGGACATGCTATCAGGCAACAGCTATTGGGGAAAGAATCTCACGCGCGCCGTCGGCAACCATTCTGTTCCGGAGAGCCGACTAAACGACATGACGCGTCGAATTCTGACTCCTTATTTCTATCTCGGCCAGGACAAAGACTATCCCAGTGTGGACCCCTCTAGCTTTCATGTACTCATCAAGTCCTATGGCCTTGAACCCAGTCAGTTTGGCCTGCCGCGAGCGCCCCCCGCAAGGGATGTGAGAGGGAATCATAAAGCCCTTATCCGGCAGCTTGGTGCTGCAGGGATCGTACTGTTGAAGAACACAAACTCCGCCCTGCCTTTGAAAAAGCCGCAAAATATTGGCATCTTTGGCTATGATGCCGCCGACGTCGCCGATGGTGTTAACTACCAGGGAAATATCATTGATGCTCTTGGGCCCTTAACTCCGCACACTGGCTTCACAGTGGGCACTCTGTCGGTAGGAGGTGGCTCGGGATCTGCCCGGAACCCCTACGTGGTTTCTCCACTGCAGGCAATCCGTGATCGCTCGGACGCGCGCCTCCAGTATATCCTGAATAACGAGTTTATCATTGAAAGTGGTATTGCTACGCTCTATCCAGACCCCGACGTCTGCTTGGTCTTCCTCAAGACATGGTCTGAAGAAGGCAGGGACCGTTTGTCGTTCGAGAATGACTACAACTCCACCCAACTTGTCGAGAAGGTTGCCTCTTCCTGCCCTAACACGGTCGTTATAACCCACTCCTCAGGAGTCAATACACTTCCGTGGGCCCATAATACCAATGTGACGGCCATCCTTGCTGCGCACTACCCAGGCCAGGAGAGCGGAAACTCGATCGTGGACGTCCTCTTTGGAGACGTGAACCCGTCTGGACGACTGCCCTACACGATTCCGGTGCACGAGAGCGACTACGACTTTCCCATTGTCAATATCACCGGACCTGCCGCTTACGACACGGCGGCGTGGCAGTCCGACTTCACTGAGGGACTGATGATCGACTACCGCCACTTTGACGCCATGAATATAAAGCCTCTGTACGAGTTTGGTTTCGGTTTGAGCTATACGACTTTCGACTTCGAAGGGGAATTGGAAGCCAAAAGCGTCAAGTCCATTTTGTCCCAGTTTCCAAACTCCACTACTCGGATCGCACCAGGCGGAAACCCCGATCTGTACACGGAGCTCTTCACTGCTACGACTACTGTTCGTAATACGGGCAAGGTGGACGGAGATTCTGTCGTGCAGCTCTATGTCTCGTTTGAAGCTGCTCGGGTGCCAGAGGGAACACCCAAGAAGGTCCTGCGAGGGTTCGAGAAAGTGCATCTCAAAGCAGGGGAGGAGGCGCAGGTGCAATTCCAGCTGACCCGGCGAGACCTCAGCTTCTGGAACACCACTGCACAGAATTGGCAGATCCCTGCTGGTGACGCGCACGTCATGCTGGGATTCAGTTCGCGGGACATTCGCCAGAAGACAGACATCAAACTACTGTAATATGTTTAGGTTGCTTTGAAGTAGGGGCCTTTGGGATAAATTGCACCTCTGCAGTGTCCATGTTTGGTCGTTCCACCCACGCTGTGATTCGCTCAATTCATGCGCTTGACCCTGTTACCATTCTTTCTGAATACTTTTCCTTTTGTTTGATGATAGTGAGACTGCAAAGATATTCGTTCCTGTCGCTGGTCTCAATTGTTGTTTAACTTTGATCTGTACAATGTTAGATCCTCCGTATCTACTATTCATGCCCCATCCTGGATACTTCTCTTTGTCTGGATAATTAGAAGACCGCTCCAATTACGACGTAGGTTAAATACAAAAAAAGAAAAGAAAAGAAAAGAAAAAAGAAGAAGACGGCCTGCGAAGAAGACAGTCATACTCAGTACAGAGCACCCAGCCTATCTTAGAACTGGTGACATACTGGACAGTCGTGAACGAATAAATGGCTGCATCAACCTCCAAAAGCCCACTGACAGATCATGATTTGGACTCTTGCCGGCAATCAAACCCCTGCATTGAAGAAATTGCCAGATAAGGCAAAAAGGGTGGTATCTTCAACATGAACCACTCGGTAAACCAACCAGCCTTTAAACTGTTTGGGGCTTTTTGGAATCGAAATCTGACCAATTCCTGAATCCTGTTCATGGGCTAGATATAAGGGCCTTTCTTAGCCAGACAATTACATTCCTAGATTAAAGCTAATTACTAAGTGGATTGGGATACCTAACCCTAGTATGTCTCTCAACATGGCAATTAAAACATATTTAGGGGACTTGTAAATGTAGCCTCACTCTAGAAAGTGTAGGATCTATAGGAGGTGTATCTTGAGCTTTATTAACCTTATCCTTATACTGAATTCTCTGCACGTTTTCTCTAAATAGATATTCCCTCTGTGATAGCTAGCTGTCTAGTAGATTACTTCTATTTTTACTCTGTCTATGTATTGGTAGTGCGGTTCTTATGTATTTCGTTGTATCAAGTTATAACTTCTAATAATCTTATCTAATTATTTTTCTAGTAACATGTAAGGAAGGAACAAGGGTCAACTTCGCGGGTGCTGAGCAAGTAACCTGCGAAACGGACTCTTCACCCTCGCGTACCTGCGAAGGCTACGCAGATCCTTCGCAACAATACTATTCGCGAGAATGCCCTATCTCTAATATCATACGATTTCAACAACCTAACACTTGTAATAATATTATAATTAATCATTAAACACATAAACTTATAGAACTAGTATAGTAGTATTTAAAAAACATATTATACCTATTGACTATACATAATATATGGCTAAAGTACGGCTGAGTGGATAGGAAGTCCTGTTCTCGACACCCTATGGTCGTATGTACCAGGTTTTTTTAGTGTTAGAAATATTTGAAGAAAATTAGATACTTTATCGCAGGCCACTTTGCGAGTTTGCAAGCTTTCATCAGACGGCGAAAAGTAGAGATTTTTCATAGACTCGATAAGATAAAAGAATCTAAATGCCCCATTCCTTTTTCAACTGCTGCTTCCAAAGCTCAAAGTCGATCTCCTCCCCATCCACCAGCATCTTTCCCGATGGTACGGTCTTGGGTCGCGGGGGAACATATATAAAATCCTTGACATGTTTGGGATTGCATTTCCTGATCCCCATAGTCCCCTCGGCAAGCAGGCTGGCACAAGCTGGACAGAATGCGGTATCGAGACAGATGGGGCACTGATAGGAATCGTCAAGCGTAGGAAATTCTTTCCGACAGGGTCCATCACAGCTCAGCCAGTTGGAGTCCTCATCGCCCGGGCTTTCATTGCCTGTTGCCCCCTCTAGATCGTCCACATTATATTTCCCAAACACTTCATGATACGCAGCTGCGGTCACATTTTTGACGTCGCCAGCCGCCACAAGTGCATTCAGGAGGTCCAAGAATCCAAACACATCGTTCTCAGGGTCATCGTCAGACAGAATCGCAATTCCCCGTTTAATGGATGATTTGAAGAGAGCCCGAGCTTCCGCTTCACGCCCGCTCAAGCGGTAGTAGATCCCTAAGCAAATGGCACGCATGCTGGAGATAGTCCAAAGCGCAGACGCGTCGTTTAGCTTAATCTCTTTCCCGAGCTTTTCGAGCTTTGCTCCGGCTTCTTCTGCTTGCGGGGTTCCGATTCCTGCCTCAACCGCGTCACAGAGAAACTGTTTCGCCAATTCAAAGGAGGCCTTCAGCTTTGAGAAGCCAATCACAGTGTCGTCCTTCGACGAGGCGTATGTATTCATGATTCTCTCCCAGCGCTTGACGGCTTTGGTCTGATCATGAAGGAATTCACTGTAAATTCGTGCAAGGGACATGTCGAGCTGAGCGGCAGTCACCGTCTTGGACGCCTTGCGAGCTGCACGAGCGGCAGTACGCCATGACTCTACCATGAAATCGAGGTTATCAGTAGCCAATGCCGCATCTGCAGCGAGCACAAAGTAACGCGTGTCTTCTGCAGGGTTGTCCCACAGTGACTGTGTCAATCGCGAAAAGTCTTTGTCCGGAACCGGGGTATCGGCTAAATTCTTGAGCAGGTCGATGGTGGCCTGATGATCGTGCTCTGCACTATAATGCTCAAGAAGCACGTTGATACATGTGTCGCAGTAGGGCGTTAGCGTCTGTGCCCTGTTATATGCCTCAAATCGCTTTTTGGGATCCCCAAGCTGCTGGTAGGAATCACCAAGGCGTTCTAAGCTTGTGTGAATACTGGCCCTGAGTCCCAAGTCGTCTGGATGCGCCTCAATTTCGACCAATAAGGTCTGCACAACTTCCTCATCCAGGTCAATAGCCTTCTGCCATTCCCCTTGCATGGAATACACAATGGCCATGCCAGCTTTGCTCAGCCACATGTCCGGCGCTAGCTCAACTGCTTTCGAGAAGTAATCCAACGCCTGGTCAAAATACTTCAATTGGCGCAGGACGATGGCACACCTGCGATACCACAACGCATTCTTTTCAAAGTCGCCAAATTCAGCACCTTCAATGACCTCTTCCGGAGTCGGGTCAAATGTTTCAAGGAAGTTGACCTCTTTGCCCTTCATCAGACTTTGGTAGCTCCACACCACCGCAGCAACAGGAGCAGCCAACCACATATCTTCGGCGACATATTTCTTAGTGCACAGCATGGCAAGCGGCTTGAATGTTGTGACGGGATTCTCCTTGGTCGAGGAGATGAACTCTCGTTCATCCAGCGTCAGGGACTCCAACACTTCATCATCTTCCCACCACTGTCGTATGGCCCGAATATTAGCCTCCGTGGATATCCAGCCCCGATAGCCGATCCAGCCCGTGATCGCTTCTTCAGATCTCAGCGCTACCAGCAGCATTTTGGCAATTTCGCGTCTGTCCTCAAGGGCGCAGTCCGATGCAGGCGTGGTAAGGAGGTGATGGACCCAATTTTCGGCCGCATGACGGAGCATATGCTCACCATCGTCCGCCTTTTTCGCGAACTCCTTATCTGTAAAGATCCTCAGAAAGGTCTTCAGCACGTGCGCCTTCGCACGCAGATACTCGACTCCAACAGGGACATGGCTTTCCTCATCGGAAACCTTGCCTTCTGTCGGATCACGGAAGAAATCGCCAATGGATGCGTGGCAGAAAGTGACTGTCGTTGTTTCTTTGTGGGAGTCAAAATCTGTAAAGTTCTCAACATCCTCAAAGGCCTCCTCGTCCTCATCTCTACCCGTTCCTTCATCGTCAGATTCATCGAAATTGTTCCTGTTCTTGGACATCATCTGCAATTCCGCTGTGGTGAGTCCATCCTCGCGGTCCAGGCTGAAGAAGGAGGCAAACTGGCGCCGCAATGCTCCTTCGGGATAGATCATACCATCTCCTTCTGGTGACTTGAGCTTGAGAATGAACTCAACCTCAGCCAGCGTTAAGGGCTGCCTCGAACACGTAACCCATAGCAAGATCTCGTTGAGGAACTCCAGCTCCTCCTCGTTAGAGCTAGTCGAGAAGCTTACGAGGACGTGGCGGAGCATTTCTTTGAGGCCCTTGGGGGCTTGATCCAACGCCTTCCGAATACTGGACTCGTTCCGCTTCTTGACTAGTTCTTGTAGCATCAGGTTCACCCAGAGAAACATGCCCTCCGCTCTCGCCGATAGCTTTTCCACAATTTCCTGGCGCAACTTCGCTGACACTCTGCGGAGAACCACCGACTTCTTGATGCTGGCATGGATGTACTGATTTATATCTCTCGAGTTCTTCTGGGTCGTGACATGAATTGTCGGTACCTCCACCTCTAGGCCTTCCAGCAGCTGGTCACTTATGTGAGGTCGGCCAATAACAGCGAGCTGCAGATGGGACTCTGCAGCAGGTTCATAGAGGTCTTTTGCCAGGCTGAAGAAGGTCCGGCGCTCTTCATCGAACGCTTCATCCACGCCATCTAACAGTATATAGACATTGCTGTCGGCGTTGGTATTCTTCACGAAGTAATCGACAAAGAGCAGTCGCCATGCGCTCTCGAGCGTGCTAATCGTCTCGTAATCTTCAATAGTGGCGAGGTGTTTCAGGTACACCGGATCGTTTTTGCTGATTTGCAACGCGAGGTCCCGCAAGGCCTGGTGAAATGACCTTGTGCCTGGATTGTCGTCCTTGAAGAAGAAAAACCCCACCGAGGTGAGTGAGCTGTTTTGCACACTCTGGGGGTGCAATTCTAGAAGACGGCTGATCATATTTGCCACGATGTATGACTTTCCCGCTCCAGGATTACCCGATATAAACATCACCGGTAGATCCTTGTCATACCACTCGTTGAAGATCCGCTCATCTCTCACCCAATCACCAGTACCCGGTATACGAGCCTTGTTAATCTTATCATACCAGTCCTGAGCAGAGTCCGTTTTGGATGGCCGGAGAATCTTGTTCACATGTTCCTGCAGTGCCTTCTCACGATCCTCACTGCTTTCCTGCTTGTTCTCCTTGACCGAAACCATCAAGGTGCCAAGCATCTCCTGCACCTCATTGACCCGCACGTTCACTTGGTTGACGGTCATGCCAGTTTCGATCACGGTGGTATGGGTCGAGGTGACCGTTGCTGACATTCCATCCACCACGCGACCCGTGCGTTTCGACTCGGTCAGCGTCTCAGCCCCAACCAAATCCGCCTCCACTCTGGTTAGCTTGTCCAGCTTACCCATGGCCCCCTGGATAGCATCATTGCTCCCCAGCAGGATATTGCGCGTGAACTTGAGCAACCGACCGCGGCGAATGGTTTTCGTCGAGAGGGCAAGAATCTCGACCAGTGTCACGAGAATATCGCTGAGCTTATTGCTGAGATCATCCGAGATGGACTCCCGGCTATAGGCCTTCAGTCGGATCGTGAAGTCCTAGACGGGGTTTAGACACCATTGCTCTCCATCACCGGTGGATCCCTTAGTCACCTTCAATGTTCCCATCAAATCCTGGATCGCATCGTAGGACGCAGACACCCCCTTCGCCGCCCCCATCAAGTAGGTCACGGCCCCAAAGACAAGGCTACTCGGCGGGAAGACCATGGAGGCACCGCCAGCGGCCAAATCACCGAACAACTGCACCGGGATCATCGCGGCGTTGAGAACATCGAAAATCGCGCCCCTCTTCTCGCGAAATTCGCGAAAGCTGTTGTTCCTTGCGTCGATTTCTTTCGTTAGATCCTCGACATTCTGAATCTTTGCCAGGAATTGCACGTCGAACGGCTCGTCGGTGATCTCCTGGTACTTCTTTATTGCCCGTTCATAGATGGCGGGGATCTGGTTCTTCGGAACCGTCATTTTTGCTGCGAGTCTATGGAAAGAGATGGTCGCTACCTCCACAATGCATGATCAAGAAAGAACACCTGTGGGAGAAAGCTTCATATCGAGTGATGGTGGGATAGCCCGCTTTATACTAATTGCGCAACTTTAGGCCGAGCCCTCCAAGAAAGCGAGAAATCGTGCTGATTGGTGTCTTCGCCGCAGTAGAAACGAATCAGACAGTGGGGCCAGCCATCATCTGACAATCTTCAGGCACTTAGGCTTCTATTCCTGTCAGATTCTGGCTGGATATCTGATCCTTCCTGTATGCCTGTCAGCATCGCTTGTAGTATTAGTGTCGAATCAAAACCACAACGGACGAATGCAGGCTCACCGGACCTCAGCTGCGGCTGGCGAGAGCGGGGGTCCTTTACTCCTTTACGAGGGGCTGAAAGAAATTATCTCCCAGGGCCAGAACAGATTGGCGGGCTGCTAATCACTAGTCCGTGGCTTGGATATCGGGGATGCTATTGGTGTGGTTGTGGTGGGCCGGAATCTAGCTCGCCTCGACTAACTACCGAGTAGGAAATTCCTCAGGACCACACTTGCCCTGAAGGGGTCAAGATACGAACCTTAACTAATGACTGGGTTGGAAAGAGGAGATGAATTCGGATTTACCTACTGGCTTTAAAGTAGAGTCAAGATTTGTTTGTGGGTATCCCTATGAGAGTCAAGGTTTTAGCAGAAACCCATCGAGCCGATCGTTCCTGTCTTATCAAAAGTCAAAAAGGAGATTGAGCGTCTGAAATAATATGTATATAGTGATATATTCATAACAATTCATACTATCGGCGCTCGGCAATCTGATACCCGCTCATTACCAGGAGATTGGAAAAAGCCCTAGTGCGCCAGAACGAAGGACCATATATCAGCATCTCCAAGTCTGAGAACGAATCCGATTTCACATGTTCTCCTACCGTATATCATTTCGCCATAAGCCCTTCACAATATTTTTTTTTTTTTTTTCGGGCAGGAAGAACCAATATTGAGGAACGATTCGAGGTGATAGGCAAATCCATGACATCAACACAGCACACGACAAACGAGATTCAGCCACGCATCAACCATCACCATGGGAGCCATTTTTTATGCTGACTAGGATTGATCAAATCTACTATTTCTCGCGAAGCAGCAAGTCGAGGCTTCACATCGATAGGCTTGACGGGTTTGTTCTATTAGAACGGCGCAACGTAGTACGGTAGAGGTGCGCAAATTCGGTGTCCATGAATTATGAAGTACTTCAGTACCTGGACCCAGGAATGGTTCCATACTACAAAGTTTTCAGGTCCAACAATTGGTCAAGTCGATATATGTATTCTGGGAATGATCGCTACCTGTCATGGTCCGATGTCCCAAGTACAGACATATATATATATATACACAGTATGTTGAAACAGGATTGCGGCTTCTAGCCCTGTTGCAACCACATTTGTCCTGAGGAACCTGTACTTTATGCATAGGAACCAGGCCATCGTGACTTTTACTTTTGCCTCGGCTTTCACAAGCGTCACCAGATATTTTCTTTCCTCATTTACTGATCTCGACCCTAGAAAAAGTCGAGGCCGTGACGTCATCAGGTTCGGACAATGTGCGTGTGGAGCAAACCGGTGGAGTCGGGAGAATTCGGAAGCCAATGATATAAGACAGCAGCCCTCGAGGAACCGGTTCTGCGATATCACGAATGCAGGCACGACGATGTAAAAATCAGTCGAACCAGTGATGGAGACAATTACTGTGTTCAGGATGGAGATCATCCACATCGTCAACGTCATCGATCTTCTGTCGGAATGTCGGTGCTCTCTGGTCGATTAAGCCGACGGCTGTAAGAATAAAAGACCTGGGGAAGATTCACCAACTCTTTCTTGTTCCATTCGTCTTGTCAGCTCCAGTCCTGCACATGCCCCGGATGTATTTTCCAGACCAACAAGAAACGCACGCCGTTCACGCGGAAAGCAGCCCGTCTTCTGGCAATGGCACCGACTATGAATCCAATGCGCCCGTGGACATTGCCGATGAGCTCGCAGAAAAGCAAAGCTCCCGCTCGGATGGCAAGCGGGAGCTGAAGGAAAGCGATTGCTACGAGATCCTGGGCTACTCGTGGCCACGATGGAAGAAATGGACTTATCTCGCCGCGGTCGCGTTCGTGCAAGTTTCGATGAACTTCAACACTTCAGTCTATCCAGCTGCCGTCAAACCTCTCTCTGAGGCCTTCAATATTAGCGAGCAACACGCTCGGACGGGCCAAATGGCCTATCTAGTGACCTATTCTATCGGGTGCGAGCTGTGGGCGCCCTGGTCGGAGGAATTCGGTCGTTGGCCCATTCTCCAGCTCTCCATGTTCCTGATCAACATCTGGCAACTTCCAGCAGCCCTTGCCCCCAACTGGGGCTCTATGGTGGTCGCTCGTGCATTGGTTGGTTCTCCCCCCCGTGGCAAGCGAGCGTTCGAGAACTAGGCAAACTAACAGCGCATAGGGTGGCATTTCTACTGCGGGTGGCAGTGTCACTCTCGGTCTGATTGCCGATATCTACGAGTCCGAGACACAGCAGTTCCCTCTTGCCTTTATCGTCCTATCCTCTTGTATTGGTACCAGCATTGGTGGTGTGATCGGTGGGCCAATTGCGCGCTGTAAGCAACCATTCTTTTTTCTCTGCCGTTGGATGCGAGCTTCTGGCTAACCAATGTGGTTGACATTTATTCAGTCCTTGACTGGCAATGGTTCTTTTGGATCCAGCTCATCTTCGGAGCAGTAACCCAGGCCATCATCTTTTTCATGCCCGAGAGTCGTTCCACCATCATCATGGATAGGGAGGCTAAGCGCCGCCGGAAGTCAGGAGAAGACCCGAATATCTACGGACCAAACGAGCTGAAAGTTCCTCGCATCTCCTTCAAAGAAGCCGGCAAGATCTGGATGCGACCATTTCACATGCTGTTGCGCGAGCCCATTGTCCTGTGCTTGTCCCTGCTGTCTGGTTTCTCCGATGCTCTGATCTTCACCTTCCTCGAAAGCTTTGCCATCGTTTACGAGCAGGGATGGGGCTTTGGTACGCTTGGGCAAGCGTGGGCGGTGATTCCCATCAACGCGGCCTACTTCATCGCCTACTTCAGCTACTTTCCCTGGTTCATGCGGGATGAGAAGCTGCGTGTCCGACACGGGGATGCGGCGATCCCACCCGAGCGTCGCCTCAAGTGGCTGCTCTTCCTGGCGCCATTGGAGCCCATCGGGTTGTTCGGTTTTGCTTGGACCACCTTTGCCGCAGGCGACTCGCGCAATGTCCATTGGATCGCGTCGATGATCTTCTCCGCATGTGTCGGGATTGCCAACTACGCGATTTACCTTTCCTCCGTGGATTACATGGTCGCTTCCTATGGCGTCTACTCGGCCTCCGCGACGGGGGGTAATGCTTTCGCTCGTGATCTTCTCGCTGGTATTTCCGCCATGTACGCGACGCCCATGTACAGCAATATTGGCGACGAGTGGCATGTTCAATATGCGAGCACCATTTTGGCTTGTCTTTCCTGTCTCGTTGTCATTCCCATCTATATCTTCTATTGGAAGGGACCGCAAATTCGTGCAAACAGCAAGTTCGCTGCCACGCTGGCAGCCGATAGAGTGCAGAACAAAGGGCGACGTGTGAGCCAGATCAGTGCTGAGCCGTGATGGGGAAATAAGCAGATACAAATGCATATGTAGTATGAGTGGAAATCGCGCGTGGGGCCTTTTGTTCTTGAAACCTGTATATATGAATTGTCATGAACGATTGAATGACGGAATGTTCTATTTACTCTGTGTCTATTGAACTTTTCTGACGAAGTAAGCCTCCTTTAGCCCATGTAAAATAAATCCTTACACCAAAATCTAGTCTGAATCCCAACATGCACCGGTCACTATCCTCGCGCAGTATGGCATCACAGTATGCCTGCAAGCACCTAGTGAGTCTCTATTCACGACGTAACTTATTTACCACCCGTTGTGCCAACATGATCAAACTATTAGCGTTAAGGACGTCAAACGTAGTTACTGTGGCCCCCATCTGAGCCTTGATCCAATTCCGCAGTTCCACCATGGAGAGAGAGTCCAGCCCATACACTGATAGGGGTTGCCCAGGCTCAATCTGCTGGTTTTCATTATAGCGCAACATCCGCGCTAGCCGAGTGGCGAGGATGCTCAGACACGGTTCGTGCAGTTCATCGGCTGCTACATCAGCGCGAATCATGGCGTGGAACGATTGGAGTGCGGCCGCGAGCTCGTCCGTCGGTTTTCCTGCATTGCCTTGGGAGTTCGAATTACCGCCAAAAAGTCCGCGGAAGCGAGGATCGGATCGGAGGCCAGATTCGGTTGGATCTTGAGGCACGGCGAGTCCAGTTATGAGCCGGGTTGGGATTTCCGAAGGCCCTGAATCCGGCTGGTGGGTAGACTGAAGAAACTGCTGCCGGAGGGAATAATCCACCATACAATGGAGCACACGCTCGGGGATGCCAACCAACTCCCCAGAGGCTTCAAGACGCTGAGATAAGTCCTCCGATTCTGCCACAACCCCAACATCTTCCACCACACCCAGGTTAATCGTCTGGGCGGCAAGACCCATGGATCGTCGATGACCGGCGAAAGAGTCAAGGAAGCTGTTGGCAGCCGCATAGTTTGCTTGGCCTGGGGCGCCCACCACGCTCGAGATGCTTGAAAGGAGGAGGAAGAAGTCTAGTTCAAGACCGCATTCGATGGAGACATTGTGCAGATTCCATGTGCCTTGGACCTTTCCCTCGATGGATTCGTGAAACTCGTTGATTGTCATCAGCTCATAGGGTCGGTCACGCAGGAGCATCACACCCTGTACAACACCCTTGATGGGAACAGGAGCTTGGATAAATGCCTGTTGCACGTCGACCTTGCGCGAAACATCACCGCGGCAGACATGCACATGGCATCCCAGGGACTGACAATTGGTAATGACCGATTGTGAGCGAGGATCCGCACATCCGCTACGAGACATCACCACCAAATGGCGGGCACCTCGCTGAGCCAGGTGCAAGGCTAAGCTACCACACAGGCCTTTGAGACCGCCTACAATGAGATAGGCAGATCCGGCGTTGAACGTTATATCCCGGTGCAGAGGGCGTACCGCGGCGGTTAGCTTTTCCGTGGTAGCCATGCCTTGGATCACAACCTTTCCTATGTGCTTTCCACTGCGCATGAAAGAAAAGGCCTCCGCGGCCTGGGTGATAGGATAGGTTGTAATCTGATCAATAGGGCGGATATGACCATTGATTGCAAGGCTAAAAACACGGCGAAGGATACTAATGCTTGATGAGTATATGGAAGTTCAATGAACATCATGTTAACGTACCTAGGCAATTTCCGTAACAGCCTGGGGTGTGAAAGGTCTACAGCACGGAATGAACAGCCCCGGTCGAACGGCTCCATGGATAGAGCATTACGCTCCACCATATCCCTCTTGCCAAGCTCGACCAGAATGCCCCCAGCGGCACACAATCTCCAGGTTGCATCGAGTAAGTCGCCCGTGATCGAGTTCACGATCACATTGATGCCCTCTCCATTGGTGGCCTTCATGATCTCCGCGGCAAACTTGGAGCATCTGGATGAGAACATGCGTTCATAGGGGATCTTATATGTGTCATGTAGGAAGCGACGCTTTGCGTCACTACCAACTGTCACGTAGATCTCAGCTCCGACATATTGAGCCAATTGAATACAGGCAATGCCAACACCCCCGGAAGCTGAATGAATAAGGACGGACTGTCCGGGTTGTAGGTCTGCCATATCAAACAGAGAGTAGAGTGCTGTGCAGAACGCGACCGGGATCGTAGCTGCCTCGCTGAACGACATGGTGTTGGGGATAGGATGTGTGAATTCCAATGGGACCTGGATACGGTTGGCGAAGGCTCCTTTCTCCATGAAGACGACAGAAGTCCCGATAATAGATTTATCATCAATGTTCGACCCAACACGACGAATGATGCCGGACCCTTCCAGACCCAGTAGATGTTCATTCTCAGGCACTATGCCCATCGTAACCGCAACGTCTTTGAAGTTTAGTCCCGCAGCCTGAATCTCAATTTCAACATGATTGTCGGCGAGGGTGTCGTCCGGGGTTTGGACGAAGCGTAGGCCTTCTAGAGTGCCGATATCCTCGGCTACTAGACGTGTGATGGGACCATTGGTGGATAGTGATGTCTCCACAAAACCCTCCCGCCATGATTGAATATCATGGCTCAACGGATGGTAAGGTACGACCCGGTGTATGTGTAGGATACCATCTTGCTCCACATATTCATTATCGGTCACTAGACCAGTTTCGCGCACCTGGAGTTGTTCCAAAACTAGAGGAAGACAGACCAGTGCTGCTGACGCATCTTGACTTTGTATGTCCAAGGTCATCAGTGTAGCCGCAGGATCCTCAGATCGGATTGAGCGGAAAAGCCCAGCAGCTAGCGCACTACCTGGCTCAGAGGCGGAAAGTTGGCCGCCTCGAGTGACCCAGACAAGCTTGCAGCCGCTGGTAATAAGATGGCGGAGGCACAGCCATTGTGCCTCAGTGATGTCCATTAGGAGGGGCGAGTATAACTCATCCAGAATAAGGACTGAAGCACCAGCTGGGACATTTGCGGTCACATAATCATGCTCAGCTATTTGCCACCCTGCTTCTGTCAAGGACTGTTCGGCCATAGGAGGTAGGACAGTCTTTTCTCCCATACGGATGACATGCAGCTGCTTGGCGGTTGGCGGAGTAGAGTCTGCGACCATTGGTGGTATGCATAAAACGCATGCCCGTCGCTGAGATGGGATGGAGAGCACCCTTGCGAATTTCATATTCTCAACTATGTAGGCCAACGAAGATTCTGAGTCAGGGCCAAGACGAGCCTCTGTGTGATCGATTGCCAGTATATAACCGTCAAGCGAGAGTAGGTCTTTCACGGCCCTCACGACGGCCGCTGATCTTTGAGGCAAAGGCGAGATGGCCTTGAGTATTATCAGGTCAAATTGTTCCTGTTTCCCAACACCTAAGTGGCTGCATTCGGGATCTAGGAGCTGGAAGGAGGTGTTTGCTTGATCGCGATAGTTCGACTCCACGCTAGAAAGATTTGTGGCATCGCGGGCTATATAACGGTATTGGCACTGCAAGTCATCATCTGTTTCCAGAGATTCAAGCCACAGGCTTCCAGGTTCACGCGTTCCTAGATCAATTTCAAGCACCTTCAGGGAGGGCTTCCTGTGGACCATTAACCGAAGAAGCAACGGAGTCATATTCGTGTGCACTTGTCCAAGTTGTTTTATGGCCTCCCCGTTCAGCGTGGAAATATCCGGCTTCAGGACATCGTGGACGAGGGTATGCCGATTTATCGGATCAATGCCCAAATCAATCCTGTGACTCGATAATCCGGTCATTCGAATTAGTAGAGCACCGCTAGTTGGGTCATATACAGAAGTGCTTCCTAGATAGCTCTTCTCGGTATCTTCTCTCCCACGCCCAGAGTAATAGCTAGAAGCGACCGCTATACCCGCGCGTGGTCGATGGGTGGGGTTAATAATCAGGTCATCGACCATAGCGGGGATTAGAGTCTCAGCCATTCTGCTGCGGTCTCCAGCGATAGCTGCAGGTACAACGGCTCGGAGTACACCGTCAAGCGCGGCAGGATGAACAGGATACAAAGACTGAGGATCATGAGCTGAAGGGGGGTCGGCTAGTGTGATCAATGCGCGAGCCCGTCGCTGACCAGCACGCGATTCCACTTTCTCCAAGAGATGAAATGCAGGACCATAGTGATATCCCAGCTCGGCGCAGGCCTTGGTCCATAGATGCCCGGGAGAGGCATGCTGGAATGGTGCTATATCCGTCTCATCTGCTGGGTCAATAACGGGCTCCTGGAGCCGGATTAATCCAGTTGCATGTTGGGTAATGGTACCATCTCTATGAGATGATATCGAGAACTCAGACCAGTTCTCATTTCCTCCTTGGGATGGGTTCATTGTAAGATAGACTTCACTCTCTACATCTTCTTCCAAAACAAGCGCCGCATTGAATCGGATATTCCGCAATTGGTACCCTAATTCATTGGGAAGGGGAAATGGACGGCTTTGTTTACGCATACAGCTGGTCTGGTACATTGCCTCGACTGCCATTGCGATGTATCCCGATGCAGGAAAGACGACGTCCGTCCCGATTAGGTGATCTCGCAACCACGGGAGATGACTGAGATCCATGGTTTTCTTAAATGTTGGATGGAGCCACGATGTGCCGAGGATTTTACTTCCCAGCAAGTCATGGTGAACAAAGGGTCGGAATCTCCAGTCCTTGCTAGATTGTGTCTCGTGCCAGTACGATGTGGAATGGTCCCAGCAGTAGTTCGGCAGGTCCACGATCACCATGGGGCGGGTTCCTTCTCTGTCTGCAATAACCCTCTCCAGATCGACGGGAGCCCCGGCCAGAAAGAGTTGACCGGCGACTGCGAGTGTGCTATGTATTGAATCAGAGCCTCGATTCAATGCGGAATGATAGGGAACCTTGGATGGTGTCCCCTCGAGGGCCCTTTGGATCTGTGTGATGGGTCCTTTCAGCGCGCCATGAGGCCCAATTTCAACCAACAACGCCACCGGGTTGTTACCACACAACATGGTACCAGCCGCATCCTGGAAGCGAACAGGAGAGGTCATGTTCCTCTTCCAGTATTCAATGTCCGGACACTCCTCTTGCTGGGATCCCGTGACCGATGAAAACATTGCGATATCGCCTGGTGATGGGATCTCCCGCGCGACTGTTGGGAGGTCACGGTTGAGCAGAGTCTCATACACCTCACCAATCGTCTCCATATAGGTCGAGTGATACGCAAGCTCTACTTGCAGCATTCGAGCGAACACGCCACCCTCCGTGAGTCTGGCTTTGACCTGCTCCAGCACCGAGGTAAGCCCAGATAATGTCACGCTTGCAGGGCTATTGTAACACGCAATCTCAACCCCTTCCAACCCATCAATGTAAGGCGTGACTTGCTCTCCACCTAATCCGACCGCGAGCATCCCGAGAGGTGGCGTATCGTTTAACTGCGCCTTCTCGGAAGCCAGACCACGATGGTATGCAACAACGATAGCTTCGGCATCGCTCAGGTAGCCCGCCGCATAGGCAGCTGCAATCTCGCCCGAGGAATGACCAACCACACTGGTGGGCGAGATCCCCCAACTTCGGAAGAGTTCGATGATTGCTATCTGCAATGCGGTGACTAGTGGTTGACTGAGCTCCGGATTTCGGATATGATCAGGGCTACATGGCTTGGTCAACTCGTCATATAATGACCATGTCGGCTTGGTGGGCAGACGCTGCAACACAGTTTCCAGTTTTTCAACACATTTCCTTGCAACAGGAAATGATGTCAATAGTTCTAAGCCCATCTGAGGCCATTGTGCGCCTTGGCCGGTAAAGACAAAGCCCACATTCACGGCGTTTACACTTTTCTTCCCGTAAACTGCCGTTGCTGGGTCGATATGCTTTAGGTCATCGGTGATGAGGTAGCCCCGGTGGAAGTGTTTGCTTCTGCGCACGCCGAGTGTGTAGGCCACATCTCGGACATTAAGGTGTACGCTTGGGCTGGTACAATGTTGAGAGAACTTCTCAATATAACGGTGGAGAGAGTCCCGATTGTTTGCTGAGAAGCAGAGTATATGTGGTTGCTTGGCAGCCTCTTCTGTTACAGAATCCGGACTAGGAGCCGTGTAGGACGTTTTATGTGTGGGACAGTAATCCAAGTGAACCACCTTGGGCTCTTCCAAGATAGCGTGAGAGTTGCTGCCGCCAAATCCAAAATTGTTCACACCTACGCGTCGAAATGGGACGTCGTTGGGGAAAGGGACGACACTTCGACTCACCTTGACCTTCAATCCACTGAAGTCAACTGTCTGGTTTTAGCACACACGCACACACTCTCTCTCGGGAATACCATTTCTTCGCTTGTTACGTACTATTAGGATTCGGCGTTTCAAATGTCGGATTGCCTGGAATGAGCCCTGTTTCTAAGATCATGATGGCTTTCATCAAGCCGGACAAACCCGCCGCAGTCTCCGAGTGCCCGATGTTACTTTTTATCTAAATTACTCATCAGTATCTGTCAATAAAAGATGCGATCTCCATACTGATCCAATGTGCAGTGGTCTATCATGCGCCCGTGACGGTGCAAAGACAGAGGAGACGCCGGTCACCTCCACCGGGTCTCCAGCTAAGGTGCCGGTACCATGGCATTCAAGGTACGACGTAAGAGAAAGGTCGGTGATGTTAGCATTCTCATATGCGGTGCGCACCGCCGCGGCCTGGGCATCAGCGCTGGGCGATGCAATACCAGGCGTGCGACCGCTGTGATTATTCGAGGTACCTCGAATGACTGCTCGAATTGGGTCTCCATCCTGTATGGCATCGTCAAGTCGTTTCAGAATCACTGCATTGATTCCTTCTGCCTTTATATACCCGTCTGCCTTGGCATCGAATGTGTGGCAGCGCCCTGTTGGCGAGTGGGTGTTTCTGATCGGTCCAGCTGCATCGAATCATCAGTCGCTGAAGTCTAGCACCGTTCATGCTATACATACTGTCACAACCATATTCCGGGCTAGTTTTCCATCAGCATATTTATATCTCTCTATTTGAATGGGTTATGCGACTATGGCTTACTGCAGCACCAGGTTGGATGCCGCGACGACGGCTCCATTGATCTCTCCAGTTTGAAGAACTTTACATGCCATGTCTAGTGCCACCAACGAGCTGGAGCATGCGGTATCAAGGGACATGCTGCATCTTCATCAGTATTCTAATACTAGGAGCATCTACCGCAGGATAAAATGTACCTAGGACCTGTAATACCCAGGAAGTGACTGACGCGATTGCTCAACATGGTTCCGGAGCCACCGATACCCGCATTCACCGGCCTGGAGTCTGGATCCCGGGCGAATACGTCCCAGTAGTCTGGTCAAGTGTCAGCGTGTAATTCCAATCGTAAGTAGGAGATGATTGTTATAAACCTCCAGGATGACCTCCGACGAAGCAACCATATCGTTGGCCTGCTAGCGACTCTAATGTAATACCGGCATTCTCCAAAGCTTCATAGATCACCTCGAGTATGATCCGTTGTTGCGGATCCATGGCCGTTGCCTCCTGCGCTGAAATGTTAAAGAATGACGCATCGAACTTCGCCGGGTCGACGGATTCCATAAACATGGCGCCGGGGGAGCGCATTGTTTTGGGCCGATCAGACCCATCATAGAAGGCGTCCACGTTGAATCGTGTTGTTGGAACCTTGGTGTCGGCCACACCCTCGTTCATCAGGAATTCCCATAGTTTCTGAGGGGTATCACTATGTCCGGGCAATCGACATGCCATGCTAACCACGGCGATCGGCTCCTGGATGGATCGAACGGGCCCCGTCGATAGGGAGGAGTCCGAGGTCTGTGGTGTCATAGCCATGTTAAGAGAAGATCGATAGGGTATATTACATAGAATGATCGATAGAGAGAGTTGAAGGATGTTGAGGAGGACAGTCAGGTAAGTAAATACCTGAGCGAAGTTGTCCATCGCCTTCTCCCACGCTTACTGGCTCCATTCGCCCATTTCTTGGCGAATCCCTTAGCTTGGTTTCATCAGGGATCTGCATCCTGACATGTGTGAAGAAATGGATCTTCCGCACACGAAGGGCTGAGCAGAATGACATGCATATCTCGGATGCTGTTTCCCGCGCCTTATCCTCTGTCTAGAAAGTCTTAACTTTCCACAGGGCTGGCTGAGCTGTGAGATATCAAGCCACTACGCCACTCTATGATATGCCGTTGCAACTAGACAAGGCTATCAAAGATACCCCGCCATATCTCGCGCGGGGTATTCACGAGGATGGTCTATCCTTACTCTTTATGCAGAGAAATCACGTCCTCGGCGATTGATTCCCGAAAGGATGATCTTCCTCGTATTGACTCTCCACTCTTAATGCTCAAAGGTGGAGATTGTCTCTGGACCTCCGCATTTGCCCGACCCCTTGTTTCATTTGTAGCATTTTATTTCCTTCTGTTCCGGTTGGAATCTTTGTTGTCCTCTCGGGTGCAATGTTGTCATTTGGCCTACGCATCCAAATCGCCCACAACGGAATCAATACACGCATGTACATATATCAAGCCGAGGTCTTTCCAGCGGGCCCACATGTAGAACAAGTGAGATAAGTAGACATCAACAAACGGTCATGGTTTTACTATGGTGTGTAGCTATCGGCTATATTCATATGGTCATAGAGTGTCTCCTTATCCACATCATTGTCCACCAACTGTCGGAATATCCCCTGTCGGGACTGCATCAAATCCTGGGGAGACCCAAATTCCACTGCCCTTCCTTCATGGAGGACGAGCACACGGTCAAAGTCGGCGATAGTTTGCAAACGATGTGCGATAACAATAAGGGTCGGATTCTTTTCGCCCATCTGAGAGCGGATAGAGCGCTGGATTAACTGATCTGTACCGTGATCCATAGCCGATGTCGCCTCATCCATCACCAGCACAGCTGGGTCTGACAGCATCGCTCTTGCAAGGCAAAGGATCTGGCGTTCACCACAAGAGAGATTGGATCCCCCATCGGACACCAATGCGTGCAGCGCTTCAGGACTCTCCCAGGAGACGCGCTTAAGTGCCCGGATTAGCGAGTCATCGGAATACTTGTCAAATGGATCCAGGTTGGATCGCACGGTGCCCGTGAAAAGGATTGGGTTTTGCGGGATCATCGCAAGTCGTCGGCGCAGATGATGCAATTTAATCGTGCTTATATCAATACCATCAATCAAAATGGCCCCCTCGCGTGCCTCTAGGCAGCGGAGGAGGGCCAGTGCCAGCGAGGATTTGCCTGCCCCAGTCCGTCCAACGACTCCAATTCGTTGTCCGGGTTCCACGGCAAAGGTAATATTGTGAAGAACTGGAGAGGCCTCCGGCGAGTAGGCCACAGTCAGGCTCCTGACACACAATCTCCCCTCGGTGGGCCACCCGTCAGGAGCAGTTCCACCTCCACTGGTTTCTGTCGGTACCTCAGTATACTCCACGGCTCGTTCCACAGCACTGAAATCCATCTCTGCGGTCGCATACGTCCGACTGAGCATGACCAGTGCATGGCACAGGTGATTGGTAAAAACCAGGGCGAACCCAGCGAAAGAGCCAGTGATTGAAGGGCTCCTAACAACGAAGAAAAGCGTAAATAATGAGAAGAGCGTGCCCAACACATTGATACGAAAGGTCAGCCACCGGTTGAGCAGATATAAATACCAAGAAGTCTTGGCCTGTTGGTCGATCTTTGCATGCATCATGCTGGTATAGTCTTCCCTCCGGCAGAATGCATGGATTGTGCTAAGGCCTTGCGAGGACATGTTGAAGTGTTCATATACGGTTCCCCTGGTGGTTGCCTCGAGGTGTTTAATCTCACAGACCGCCACGACATATCGCTTAGTATACCAAATGACCGCGCAAAGAAGGGCCGCGGCGATGATTGTCAGCGCCGGACAAACCAATATCGCACCCATGATCACACCAACACAGTCCATGGCAGCACTGAAGAGCCCGATCAGATCAAGTCCCAGTCGCGAGTCAATGAGATAAAAGTCAGAAGCGAACAGATTGATCAAACTCCCTGTAGGTACGGATTCTAGCCACTGGATTTGTGCTCGTAGGAGGGCATGAATTGTTTGGTGGAATAGCTCCCTGGCGGCTTGAAGCGACACATCAAACACCAAGTAGGATCGCAACGTTCCCAGGACACATGCGGTACATGCAATAATGATATAGCCAAGCGTGTAATATCCCATTCTCCTGGCGTCTGGTATGGTCGAGGATCCGCTTTCGGTCCACAGGCGCACCCAGGAGTACTAGGTTTTTAGCATTAGTGTATTGATTATAATGGCATTTCAATAGCAGACAGGTAAGGGTACATACCAAGACAAGAAGAAGACCGTTATAGGAAACATAGCACCCGGCTACGACAGCCCACGGCCTCCAGCCACCGCTGGTTTGAATGTACTGTCGTAAAATGCCCCGTCGAACTGGATTCTTTCGTGATCGGCTATCTTCCACCGAGGCGAAACTTGCGTTCTCTGTAGTAACATCTCCCGACATTAATGGGTCGTTTGTATGTGATGCTAGCGTTGAATTTGCTGTCTGTATCTGGTGTTTGTCTTCATGACCTGGTGAATCTTTATTCGCCTCGGGGGTTTCGTCCACTACATGGGATGGGATTCCTGCGAAAGCAACTGTCCCATTATCGAGGGATACAAGATATTTGGTCTTAGGGGCACAGAGCTGAACATGGTGCGTTACCAAAATTCGCGTTCGGCCTTCGGCGAGTTCACCTGTCAAGGCATGCATGAAGATATGCCGCGCTGTGTGAATATCCACAGCACTGAAAATATCATCTAGTAGCAGGATTTCCGCTCGTGAATACAAGGCTCGAGCAAGTGCAACACGTGTTTTTTGTCCCCCACTCAGCTTACACCCATTGGGCCCGATATCAGTGAGATCGCCCTGCTCCAGGTGCTCAAGGTCTTGTGTCAACGCACAGGCATGCAACACGGATCGGTATCTTTCTGGCTCAAGAGGGAGGCCGAAGAGAATATTTTGACGTATCGTGGCAGCTTCATTCCACGGGATTTGGGGGACGAATGCAACGGCGTGGTCAATCACCCACCTCTGCTGTGTAGTGGCTGCCTCTCCGTATATCTCATCGTATGTCGCTGGTATCGGACGTCGCACGATCCCGGACTGTATGCGGCATTCGCCCAGAATCGTTCGTAGCAACAGGCTCTTGCCCATGCCCGTGGCACCCGTGATAATGCTTAACTCCTTTGGTGGGAAACTTGTTGTTACGTCGCGCAAGCTCCCTGAGCGTTGAGATCCTTCCGAGCTTTCGTAACCTATCGTGGCGTCCTGAAACTCTATACGCTCCCCTGGCATTGTGATTGATGACATCTTCTCAGGTTGAAGAAAGCTGCCCATCCGCCTTAAGCTGATCCTGGCGCCAACAATCCCAGACCAAAGGTCAGGAATGAGCCCCAGGATGAACTGAATGTATCCCAGCAGGGACAATGCAGGAAACGCCACGGAAGGAGTCAGACTCCCATGTATCCACGTATATAACCCTATAGCTGTCGCGGAGACCAAGACAGGTCCGACTAGATGGCAAGCCAAATTCATTAAATACCAGTGGAAAGCAGTGCGGTGTTCCTGCAGCCCTCGTTCAAGAAGCTGATTGATTTTAGCTTCCCAATTGCGTTCCAGTGCGGCGATCTTGACCTGTCGGATACATTGTAGGGCCTCGGTTAGTGCAGCCATTTTACTATCCCGAAGGCCTGTCAAGGCGCGCTCCGCTGCTCCGTACCTCTGCAGACAGATCCGGTGCAACGGCGTAATAACCAGCAGGGTGGAAAGTCCGGCCAGCAAACTTTGCCATCCTAGTAGGTGTGCCAGCAGGGTGCTCGCGACAATGAGTTTCATTGCCTGTAGAACATTCGAATAGAGAAACCCTGCCGCGGTCGCAATGCGTTGTGTATCCATAGAGATCAGGTTTGTGAGGTTTTGCTCGTTGAGGCTATCCGCAGCCAGTTGAGAGTGACTGATGGCTTTGTTGTACAAGATCGCCGTCAGTTGCTGCGTCAAGGGAACCGAGATCTTGTTTATGGCCAACCACAACAGCCAGTTCTCGAGCCACGCCGAGAACCCAATCGTGAGGCCACAAACCAATGCCCACCACGCCAGGGCGGCAGTCTCTGATCGTCTCGCTGATTGTTCTTCGAGCAATTGTAGCATCCTCCACAATGCTAACTGTGGTGTAAACGCTACCAGAGCCAGTGGAAGAGAAAGAATAATCTGATTTCGCAGGCACTTGCCATGCGAAAGGAGCAATAGCCTGAATAAAGACTGTTCATCACAGCGAGGTGATGCACCTTTGCACGCGGCTTGGAAAAACTCTTCCTCCAGAGTCCTTGCTCGTGTCCGATCATCCAGCTCCGGCAGGTCATCCAAAGTGACGCGACGTCGGGCTTCGGCCAGGGCGACCAATTCGCTCACCCAGTGGAAGGAAAGACGCCCCAGAACGGAGGATGAACCTTCGCCATCAATTGCCTTTCCGTCCCGGAATATGCGGGATCGTCGCGGCAACGACAGAGTGATCAAGATTGATATTCCCATGATGGCTTGGTTCATCTTCGCCATCACAGGGAGCGCCTCCGTAGATTTCTCCAACCCCTCGCTTGTGCCTTGCTCCACTATTAAGAGTAGTGCTGCTACGAAGCAGCTCAGGCATCCTCTCAACCCAATCAAATATCTTGCAGTAGATACTGACTCGGTCACCAGCGTGGTATGATGGATCAGCATGACGATCTTACAGCTGTCAGTATAGACTACAAGTCACACAGTTCTAGACTCACCCAGGTCATCAACTGCAGCCAGCGTTCAAGGAGGAACCCATTATTCGCGGGCGTAGCAACACGGAGGATGGCGATGAAGCAACCACACGCCATGCATGTCAACAGAAACCAGATTCGCTGGACCGGTTTCAGTGTAGGTCTTCCATTCTTCTCGGTATATCCGTGGCTACCATCACGCGTGCTACTCACAAAGGTCAAGAGACCTGCGGTGACCTGGCGGAGAGCAGGAAAGCTCAATTGCAGCACCAATCCTGCCCCAATAATATGGACAAACACGGATAGTTCTTTGACCCCAGTCATCCTGACATGTCGCACCACCCATGTATCCGATAGCGATGTTATAAATGCTACTGCTAACGCCGGGTCAACATGCCGCTAACCGCGCGGGGCGAAAGGGATACGAGAATCCTTCTTGGCAACAAAAACAACGCGGGTAAAACCCTGGACATTGATCTCGAAGGATGAAAGGGAACCAAGACAAGTAAGAAAAAATAATAATAATAATAATAATAAATAAAGAAATAAACCAAAAAAACTAAAAGGAAAATAAACGAACAATTAACGTGACTGATGATAGGAGTTCAAATGGGCAAAGAAAATTCCCAAAAATTCCCCAAAAATTCCCCGTCGGAAGTCGGGGCATTACGGATCTTTAGGTCTCTTCGTTCAGGCAGCTTTAGACTTACTATGTATAGTTCGTGTAGGATATCTTTCTGGTTGGCACGATGTCTTGAAACCTGGCTCCACCATCGATAACCTCGGTATTGCTGCAATGATTCTCAACCTTCGGAATCATCGTTGTTGCGTACGTGCAGTTGGACCGACGTGAAGTATATATTAGTATATTTGGGAATCAGCAACCCTGGCGTAATGAACAAAACATGTCGAGGTGGTCCTTGTAGGAATACAAAGGATTTTTGAAGGGTTCAAATTAAAAAGCCAGGCTTGGTTCAAATAGATAGGACAACTCCCTTTCATTATCCTTACCTATCCTAACCATTTGCTAGGTACGCCACTTCAACTGAAGATAAGATAAAAATCACCCCCGTCCTCAATTCTATAAAAGGATGCAGACGGCGAGGATATAATACAATCTCCAGGGACCGTTTCCAACGGACCTTTGGCTATTTTGCATCCACTCACATAGTCAACCTTCGCCCGACACCCGTCAGAGAAAAAGGACGATCCACACCTCGGACAATCACCGCCCGTCTCTTAGTGTATGATCATAGACCCTAAGTCTTGATATCAGTATATAAGCCTTTTCACCAGGGATGATGTTCTAAACTCACGCGGCGATTTCCCTTCTCCTTCATTTCGCAATCTTTCGTTTCTATAAGCACAGCGCAGCCATACCCGGCGTCCTTGCCATCAGTGTAGCACTCACCCTCGGCATTCCTGCATGTTATCATCATCATCGTCATTATCAGTACAATGCATAATACGAGATGGGTATGGTTGGAGCGGTGGGTGGTACTTGTAAGTGATATTCATCCTTCAAGAATGGCTTGGCCGTATCACAGAACGATGGCAAATTAGCGAAGGTTCGATCCGCTACATTCATAGAAGGTTTTAGATGCGGTTGGGCTAGTAGTTATAGAGGTCTATGTCAACCGGGGCATAGCAATCGCATCATATGAGGCTAGTCTGCCTCAAGATACTTGACTGTATCGATGACCATTTGGCGCTGTCTGCGGATAACGCAGGAAAATAAATCTTGTATCTGGGGTGGTCCACTGGCGTGGCCGCAACCTATGAAGATATGATGGCGTTCGTCAATGGAGGATGATGGCGGGAATTCGGACAGCCACGATGAGGAGGATGACAGCAATGAAGACAACCACCCCTAGTAATAAAACGATAATTATTTGTCCGGGAATCATAAGTCTAGCCTTCTACCACACAACGTTGTTATGTTGCATCCTTTCGGGACAAGTGTCAATGGTGTTCAATTGTATCTAAGCCAACAAAATACACTACATACTGCCTAGTCCATCGAAAAGACTATACATACTCATCAGACCAACGGATGCTAATGCCTGTTCGTATCGGCCATTGTCGAATATTCTATGTTGGGCCCGGCAATCCACAAAAACCCCGTCTACCTTCCGAGGAGCTCCATCAGCCCATCGACAGGAGTACATGAATCTGCAGCCTCTCCCGACAGCGATTGGGCCTTCAGCTCTTGGCTCCCACTCCCCTATCTTGATATCCAGTGCCTTGAAGGGGACCCAATGTCCTCTTTTACCAGCGATATACCGGAACACTTCCTCTGCAACAGATAAATTAAGCCATGAGTCGACCAGGTGGGGTGGATATCTAAAGTCGCTTGGGCTAATTTTGGATGGGAAACAGTTGTTGAGCTCCAATAGTATCAGGCTAGGGAAGTAGGCTACCCCACTAAGAATATCATAGGACTACGTAGCGATGTTGAAGTCAGTTGGATATGTGAGCTGTTACTGGTTATAATGAGGGGGCATGGATGGCATTACCAGTTCCTCCATGAAACGCAGGTCCATACCCAGCCGCTCAAGTACTGGGAGCTTCACCGCCGTGGCCTTCAATTCATCAAATGTAAAGAGGGATCGACCTTCAAAATACGGATAGCCCTGGCGTCCCGCCTTGCGAAATCTAAGTCGACGCAAGGAATGGCCCTGATGGCCTATAAGACTATCAATGATAGATTTGGGTAAGTCAAATGCAGTGAAAGCCTCCAGCGCAATTATACGTGAAAGAAATTGATCAAGGGAGTCATGAGCGTGCGTGTCGAGGCCTGTATTGGCGTGCTGGGCGTTCCGTAGAGACAAGGAGATCAGGTATGAAACACTGGATGTAAGACTACTGAGGTGGTCTAACAGCTTGGTCGTGGTGTTCATACTTCCGTCCAGTGTCAAGTGTCGTAGAGCATCTACTTGAAGATATTCAGCCCACAGGCTTGCTTGTTCATCCTCAAGGTAGCAATTTGTCAGAGAAAGAGATTTTAGAGATGGAAGAACATTGCCGCAACGGAGAGTAATTGGTGCGTTCTTTTGCGACTCCAGGCCAGTGTCACATTTGAAGTCTAGGCGCTCCAGAAATGGTAGCGAAAGTATTGCCCGTTTTAAAGACTCTCGGTGATGTTCACTGTTATGACTTGCTGGGCTGCCTATAGTAAGCGAACGGATACACTGAGAATGATAGAGACTCTCTGTTTCACATATGCTTGGATGGCCTCGGTAATAGAAGCGAGGTACCGGTTCACGGCGGTCGAGACTGTGGAAAGGCGATGGCGGAATGCGAAGAGTAACCTGCCATCTTGTTGCTAATAAGTGAGGATGCTCAAAATATCTGCCTCCCCTGTACCTACAGTATGATCTGTACGTTCCGTATCCTTTGGATGAGACGGCAGAGATCATGCACCTCTGGCTTTCTATTTAAGCCCCACTCAGATACAAAAATTATCCGGATACGGTTGTCTTCGATAGAAGCCCCTTCAGAGCTTCATGAACACGGCAGTTGTAAGAACGCCTAAATCGAATGTGCACAGTCCCAAAAAGGAAGGGCAAGGCAAGTTGACGAAATTCATGACGGGAGAGGCTAAACGCCAGTAATGAGCAAAAGTCACACCACAGCTACGGTGATAAAAGAATCAGCCAGATCGATCCCTTGTCTGGACTTATTTTGATTTGTACTCACTGTTTCCACAATCAAACCTAAAATATCGTTCCGGGGGAGGGGGAGGGGGATGCTACAAATGCGGTTTCCTTTTACAATGGAAGTCATATTCAGTTTACTTGGAGGTAGCGGTGGTGACGATGTCAGGTGAAGCCATAAAGCTGCCAGTTCAGTAGCAATGATAGAACTAAGTCATTGCTACTGACGTGACTAGAAGTAGACAGTAATCTCTTGGCCCCGCTTATATCCTGAGGCCCATACGGCAGTCTATTATTCTTACCGTCAGGAGCAGAAAGAAGAGAGCTAATAAATAGGGAGGGGGAAGAGGCCGTGGATACATTATTATAGACTCTGTGTGGCACGGGCACACAGTAATACCAAACGTGGGTCAATTAGACTGCTGGGATCTGGGATAAATCATTAATCTTGGATATACTAGGATAAAGGGGTACAGGTTCCCACTTTCAGCCTCTACAAAACAATAAACTCTTCTAAGCCCTGTCCTCGTAAATCCACCAACAAAGGAGTTGGCCTTGATCCAAACTGCTCTCTGATACCTTCCACAAACGTAAGACCAACCATTTTATAGACCTCTGCATCACTGTTACTATCGTATGACCACCTTCTGAGGGCAACTGCTGCCGTCATGCCTTCCGGAAGTACCACAACGTCCCCATCCTCAACCGTTTCAACGCCAATCCCGAAGCCCCCTGTGGAAGACCTAGAGAGTGAAAAGACAATTCGGTGTGCGAGAAATGGTAGCTCCTCCATTAACGCATAGTCCAATGGTGCCCGAGGGGTTGTCATGTCCTCTGGGGCATTACCATCACGAATTGCTTGGCGGATATCTATCAGCGCTTCTAATACATCATTGATTGAAAATTCCTTCCATTTAGGAGTATGAGCAAGACAGGCATCGAAAAATCGCTGGGGAAGATTAGATTGTCCCAGTGAGTTTCCCCAATTAGAAGCAGTCTCTTCGAACACTCGCATAATCTGCGTGATGATCTCCTCTCTGTCTGCACTGAAGCGGAAGGCAACGTCGCATACGCCTACCCGTCTAGCCCAGAGATGCAATCTAAAGGGAATACCAAAGCTGCTTTCTCTCCCCTGTGGCATGCCAATTAAAAGGGAACTGTCCAGGGCTCTGCCTTGACGCCAGTAGTCGAATCTGGTCTCGTGGGTTGATTTGCTAAAGTCTGGGAGCCATGAAGGATGGGAGGGGTTCGTAAGGTTCCCCTCACGAAGATGGAATGACTCAAAAAGATGTGTCCCAATCTCGACTTCAAAGAGATATGTTGCAGCTGCCATTATCACTTGATCCACCGGCTTGTTGTAATCCGGGGGGCGGAGCTCTTGCATTCCAGGACTAATTCTATACAGGGCATAGACCCTATCACGGGGGGTTGCTGCACTGGCGGTGAGAAGTGTAACATAACGATTCCCATAGGGAGCTGAATTCCTTTTCCGCTAGAGGTTCCAATAGCCATCTGCCTTGGAGACTAGAGTGAGCCACTTACTGGGCGGATTTGTCAAGATGTCTCAGCAGGACTTGATTTTGACGGGCTTCAGACCGATCCTTGATAGGTAACGTGTAAACCCTGTTCAAGGAGGCGGCGATGAGGGAGTCGAAATTACTTTCTAATTGCATTAACTCCGGCAGTTTGAACGTCTCATTGCCGCAAATGCAGATTGGATCTTGTCCTGGTAAAACATATTCCTGGAAGGTCCACATTCGTGACCAGTACGGAGATGACCGGATTTGCAGGCATCCCTCAACAGCATTCAATATATCCAATAGTTCCTGGCGCCAGGTGTGTGGTGAAAAGTAAGACTTCACCTTGCCCATCTGCCACATCATACCTGCCAATGTGTACAGGGGCCGCGGGAATCTTCGAGAAAGCAAAATGGCTTGTTCAATCTGTGGGGTTAATGTTCGAACATACGCTATGACAGCATTCGCATCCCGGTAGATCTGTCCCATTAGTGGCAATTGGGTATTTTTCTCCTTCAAATCTTCCTGATTGATGCAGATGAAATCAATCAACATCACGCGTGGCTTAGTAATATATCGCAGTGAATGCAGAGCTGAACTCAGGTTTTGGGTAATATTGAATGCAACATTGTTAACGAGTATCCCTGCCTTCATCGAAGCATCGCCCCAAACGTACGAAAGTTTCTAGTTGAGTATTACCTGCTCACAGCTATCTCCCGGACACTGGTGAACGTCGGGTTATGGATGCGAATGGCTGGGAATAGGCTGGGGCAGCATCCGCGACATCTAAATCCGCGGATCTGGATGTGATTTGCTACTCACATAGCCCCAACGATACGATGTCAATAGTAAATGGTATCCGCAGTATGGATTTGGATTTTCGTGAATAGGCAAACAATATAAATAGGGCTAATCTCATGATTTTATAGTATATATGTTTTCCGTCTGTAGTATAAATCACTCTAGAACAGAAAAATTAATATTAGTTTTGGTCGAGCTCAATAGTACAGTTTGATCGGGTTTCCCTCAAAACCCACTTCAAACCCGCAAAACTCATGTGACCTAGAATTATGAATATTTCTCTATTTCTTTTATATTTCCATATAGATCTAGTCTACATATAAATATATATCAAAGATGAGTTCTATACATATAGAATTGGTAGAGATACAAAGCTTAACAGTGATTGAAAGCCCTGGTCAACTTATACCTTATAGGTAAGGCACTAAGCAACACCTTTCCTATTTAGGCCCAATACAGCCTGAAAATAAAACTGCGTTGAATATTAATTGAAAATTGAAATAGGCGAACAGAATCTAGAGGACAAAGAGAAGTGCCTTGATGGACAGTCCTTCAAAAGTTTTAAAGCAAGCTTCGGTTGCCATTGGGAACAGAAACACTGCTCCTTAGAATGTAGTTGGAAGATCAACCAAGTAGCGATGGACAGACTCAGAGCACAACAAATACGTATAACACACATCGTCTGACTAACCGCAACTTTGACCCAAATTTACATAGTTCTTTTTCTTTTGGGGAGAAGATGGCATGTATTACCTGTAACTTTTACGCATAACGATTCCTGGTAATGGACACTTATGTTTTGGAACTTTGGATATGTTGATATGTTGGTTTGAGCCAATCGAATGCCTTGGTTAGTCGCGATGGAGACGAAATCATGTCATACAGACGCCAACAGAGCCCTCTTAGTCCCACATAGGAGCTTCCTTTTCCGGTCGATTATTCGTTGTGGTCTTATTCCCGTGTGAATTTCTGGTCATAGGTCTCTAAGGCTCTCGCGTGGGCACTGGAGCCATCTCGTCACTGTTTATTCTCTAATCATTCCGTCTCACATTCCATCAGAATCTGACCTACTAGTCGGCTTTGGACCTCACCCGACACTGGGCCCTAGATATAAGTAACCCTTGCAAATCATGGAGCAGCCGTAGATTTGTTCTCAATATAAGCTGATAATATACAGTATCAACTAGCCTAACTTCCAGTACATAAGTCGTCGTAAGTTGCAAGAAGGTCCCAAGACCCGCCTATATCGTCTTTTGAAAGATAAGGTATAGGTTGTTTGATATATCGCTGTGCGAGCTACAGAGTTTGAAGAAAGCGGCTCAGGGACAGGAGGGAGGAGGGAGCCAACCACAGTATCCTCAACGAAGCCAGGCTTGCTTCATATACATGCTGTGAACAAAAGTACCTGCGGTGATATTAATAGTGTCCTGCGTGATTTTCCTCATTGACAGCGTATCTTACACTCAAATGTAGAGTGCTTGTGGCCAAGGACTAACAGATAATAATTTAGTGTCTATCCTATAAGCAGGATGCACACCTTGGCACTAATATATCTTATGCGCACTGTGTATACGAATCGATTTGAATGACCCTTACGACATCGGTGTATTCGTAGATGTTAGCAACCAATCTCAGTTATATACTGGGCGCGACAAGCGAATATAGAAACAATGATGAAAGGCTGCCCTGATATTGATGGATAGCTCGACTAGCAAACCTCGGGCCTGTACACCTTCAACACATCGTGCAGCTGGATGACGAAGGTTAGCCACATCAACGCACATCCAGCCGCATCGCCACCTTCAGCTTTCCACTTGGCGTTGTTGCACCACTGGCCCATACGATTGCGGAATGCCACGGTGCGGTCATAGTCAGAATGGCTGGTCGAATATTGGATCTCTTTCCACTCCCTCCAGTGGCGCCCCTCATAATGCCCACCATTACCATATAGCAAGTCGAATCCATATTTTGAGTTGAGGTCTCGAATAGTTCGTTGCCACTGCTTCCAGTCTACATCTCCCGCCAACTGTGCCAGAGCATCACGGACCTGGTGCTTCAGCTCTCGTAAACGCGCGGTATCCAACTTGTTCAAAAAGTCCAGAGGGATAAGCCCGGCATATCCGAGGAAAGTCCCTTTCTTAGTTTCTTCCACATACTTGTCATGCAGTTCTTTGGACTCCTTCAGCTGGTTTTCCAATACCTCGAGATCCGCAACGCGCTCCTCTGTGATCTTTAGTAGCGCTTTCTGGGCCTGCTCCAACTCCTCGATCTTGGCCTCTAATTCCTTCACCTCCGGGTCTTTGTAGGGAGCTTCGGATTCACCTTCGGATTCACCTGCTTCCTTCACAATGTCGGCTGAAAACTGTTCCCTCAAAGCCCGGATAGAAGGGGTGAAGAAGTATTCACCACCTCTTTGATCGACCCATGGAGCAGGACTAAGAGGAAGCTTCACGGCCTTACCCGGTTTGCCTCCATCGTGTAGACTGATGTAACCATCGGGATGATCCGCACGGAGCTTCTGGCTGATGAAGGGGTCCATACCAGGACCATCAGGGCAGGTCTCAGTCTTGTCCTGAGGGAAGTCGGAGTTACTGGCCCAGCCTGGATGAATCAGCATCCGAGCGAATAGTAAAAACAAACATCGAATGCCAGGGGTAAACCTACGAGTCATGAGAAAGTTGAAGCCATCCCGGATAAGGCTCTGGTAGCACGTAAAGTAAATCCCACGTTGTTCAATCGTCTTGCCCGTGCTAATTTCTTCCTTAGTCAGTTCGGGACCAAAGGTGATACCCCGGCGGAGGATAACGCTGGCATCCTCTTTTTGTCCTTCATCGAAATCTTCATCTTGCTCCTCGATGGAAAGGGGAAGGGTCTTATGGTTCTCATCATCTTTTTCTGAACCAATATCTCGCTTCTTGTCGGCCCTAGGTCGCATCTTGCGGATGTGCGCCGCAAAAGGACAGCCCTTGAGGTCCTTCTTGGGTCGAAAGTCGAAGGTGTTGTCAAAAGCCAAGGCTGGATCGTCCTGGTGGACGGCTTTGGCAACGGGAGCTCCTGTATCATAGATTAACTCTCGTCTAGGGGGATTTATGTTTCCATATGAAGTTCCTGGACGCACCACTCTTCCATCGTCCCATCAGATGAGCACCCAGCTTCTCAGGATTTCCGCCATAGTTCCCAGGTATTTCATCGGCCATCCGTTTCAGATCTTTTTGGAATTCTGGGACCTTTTGGTCGAGCTGACGGAAAACAAGGTAGCTACCCTCCTTAGCCCATTTGGGACCTCTTCTCCTGTCGGGATCGCCCTCGTGGCCGAGAAAGATATAGCTAGCCTTTGTTAGTAGTTGTCGACAAATCAGAAAGGTTTAACATACCCTGGGGGACATGCCTGAGGCTCACCAGGGGCCGGAGGGTCATCCAAGCCGTCAATCTTTGGTTGCGAGATGTGATCTTCGTAACCAAAGCTACAGAATTAACACTGTGCGGAGTCAATGAAATGGGGGAGGGGAACATACTGCTCTTTGCCACGGTTTTCACCCGGACGAACCCTGCCATCCTTTCTGAACGCGATCCTCATACTGCTCGCTTCCGCCTCACCAACATTGAAGGCATCCTCCAGGTCCACAATCTTGCGACGTAGAGCTTTGGAGTTATGGGCCGCAACGATGAACACCCCATCCGTTCTCCACTCCCACCTGTCAAGACCCGTCTTTGATTCATTCCCGGGAGGGGCCCTAAAGTTAGGATCCATCGCGGCAGGGTTATCGGCGCCTTCGTAGACGAGGTCATCAAACATTCCCTTCTCAAAAAGACCCTCGTTAATCCGATCGCTACAGACCTCATCAGGATCATCCTCTAGGGCCTGTTGAAAGTTCACTTCCACCTCAGGATGTTCCACCTGGCAAAATGGTCAAGGTATTAGATTATACGGCTTCGGAATAAGGGCATAGAACGCCTAGACTAACCTTGAGCAATCCCATGTGAGTGAATGCGACATTTACCGCCGTGAAGGGCTTCCTCTCATGCTCGGGAACATAACGACGAGAATCCGCGCTGGCTTCTTCAAACTCCTTAACCGACTTCAAGTGTATCTCGCATTCAGTACCGGTGGTAATGACCCCTCGGTCTAGGATAGCTCTGAGATGCTGTCTGAACCTTTCCTTATCGGTGATCTTGAAGAAGAGGTAGGACTCATAGATTTTAGGGAGACGGGGCCAAATGCTCCCTTGGATGTTGTCCGTATCGACCGTTCGGTTTTGCTTATCGACAGGCATTGTGATCTCTGATTGTTTAATGACAAGCTATGCCAGCAGGGTCTGCTATACCTTCTGAGCACTTTGGGGAGGAAAGGCCTTTTTAAGCTTGCTCTACGACAGAAAAGACTACACCGTTCACCACCAATAAGATTCAAAGCTTAGTATTTAGGCCGAGGATATTGCCTCCCTGAAACACGCAGAATCCCTCACCAGGTTCAGCTCAGCCGCCCCCTCCTCGTTTGACATCCTCATCACCCCTCCATTGCAATTAACAACATCATCACACATCATAGGCGAAAAGCAATCGGTAAAGAATGGTCCATGATTTGTGGATCCTCGATCCAGATAGTGGGATTTTCTTTCCGGTTCATTGGGCGCGTTTCTCCACCTCCTAAAGCTGATCTGTCGTATGCGCGGAATGTTGGTCCACTATTCTTCCTGCTGTGACGAGACTATCGAATAACATCAAGGTGTCACCCCCCATGCGGTGAGGGCGAGAAGAAGTAGATGATTCTGCCGCTGATCTAGCTGACCCTGGCGTCTCAGATCACACTAATCACAGCCCAAAGATTAGCAGTCAAGATCCATAATGTGGTGAGATCGTCGTCAGCACAGACTGCGGCATTTCTTCAGCTGAACTGTGGGGCAGTGGAGGGTCCACCCTGACACGGCCCAATTGGTATGTGCTTTGTTGATATATCTTGAAATCCCACCACGAGTTGGGAGGCTATTCTCAAAATAATCACTTTGAACTAGGTCCAACCAGAAACAAAATACACCTTCGGAACTCTCGGCTCAGCTCAATATGATGGAAAGCTACACGGGTTGGAACCCTAATAGAGGGACCGAGCCGTCCGGACGGCGGGGCGGAGATCCACTGCAGTCGTGTGTGGCGTGTGATAGCTCCAGCTCCAGTGTCAAATAGAACCATGATCGGCAGTGATTCTCAGGACTAAGAAAGGATGATCTCAATCTTAACCCAACAATACCGAGGAGGCAGGTTTACCGAGTGCTAGAGTTTTGTTGCCGCTCTCTCCGTATTTCACGTCTCGCGCCTCCGTGTGTCCAGTTAATTGCACGTGAGACAGCAAAGATATAACTATTACGGTAATGAATTCTATATTCATTGGCTTAATTAAAAACTAGAATATAGCAATTGACGGATGCACTATCAGAATATGAATCTTCTGGATGATGGTGCTGCTTCGGATCAACGCCCGAGAAGCGCCACTAATGATCCAATTCCCAGAGCTAGACATGATAAAACCTGGAAGAAAAACCCATCCGTGGGCGGGAGCTGAAAAACTCGATCGCCCTTCATTCCAGATCCACCGACGATCCCTTCTGTGTAAGCGAACTGGTGTTGGTGGCGAGCTGCGTCTCCACTTCCAGGGCAGCTGGGATCGTGGTTGGTGACGTTTCGTCTCCGGCTATTATTTATAAGCCACTGGCTTTTCTCTGTTCCTGTTTATGACCAGCATCACAGGGCTTTCTTCGAAATGAAGTTCCAGTGGGCATCCGGTCTCCTTCTGGGGGCGGCTGCTGTGGACGCCTTCAAACCCGCGGAATTCTCTTATGAATCCTCTGAAGCCGAATGTGTGGATATTGCCAAGTCTCTGACTGGCGAGATCAAGTATCAATCTCCTCCCGCCAATTCGAAGCTCATCCCCAAATTCAATCCTGATAATCCAGACGAAAACTGGGTCGTCAACTGCTCCAGCCAGTACCGTGGCTACTACTGTGAGAATGCCATCGATGGACGGGAAGATCATTACTGGCTCAGCGACCCTGGTGAGGGAGAGACTTCTGAGATCATCGTCAATCTCCGCAAGAAGTACCTGGTCTCCGGTCTGACCATGTTGCCAATATTGGATAAGAATACCAAACGCAGCCAGATCGGTGAACACGAAATCTTTGTCTCGCAGGACAGCGAAACGTGGACCCGGGTTGCGTACGGAACCTGGGGATCTAACAAGAGTCCCAAAATGTCTGCGTTTAACCCCAAGCTGGCTCAGTATGTTAAGCTTGTTTCCGAGAGCAAATCCCGTTCCGATCTGTCACAGGAGGAGGACGGACAGATCGCGATTGTCAACCTGGCCGTATACACTTACAGCAAGGAGGAGACTTACCCCGAAGAGGATCCCAGCAAGGGTGTTTGGGGCCCCACGCTTGATCTCCCGATCGTTGCTGCATCTGGTGCGGTCGAACAACACGGAGACGTTATCATGTGGTCTGCCTGGGCGGACGACCAGTTCTTCGCCTCCCCCGGTGGTAAGACTCTGACCAGCACCATGACCCGTGACGGCAGCATTGATCAGGGTGTGATCTCCGAAACCAGGCACGACATGTTCTGTCCCGGTACCTCCATGGACATCGATGGTAACATTGTTGTCAGTGGTGGTGCTGACTCCGGTCGCACCAGTGTGTACAATGGCACCGCGTGGGTGAAAGGCCCGACCATGGCAATTCACCGGGGATACCAGTCGTCGACCACCTTGTCCGACGGTCGCATTTTCGTGATCGGAGGATCTTGGAGCGGTGGAGACAAGGTGGCCAAGAACGGCGAGATCTACTTTCCCTATCCTGATGGGAAAGCCAAGTGGGAAACACGTCCGGGCTGCGAGGTGGAACCCATGATGACTGATGACAAGAAGGGCCAATGGCGCGCGGATAATCACGGCTGGCTCTTTGGTTGGAAGAAGGAGAGTGTCTTCCAAGCAGGTCCCAGTAAGGAGATGCATTGGTACGATGTCGACGATGTCAGTCGGGATCGGTACGGTAATCGACGATATAGGGGTTCCGTGCACAGTGCTGGACTCCGTGGCAAAGACCGTGATGCCATGTCTGGCAGTGCCATCATGTACGATGCCACCAAGGGTAAGATCCTCACCTTCGGTGGTCAGCGTCACTACGATGGCTCTTACGCTTCCAAAAACGCCCATATCATCACCATTGGGGAGCCCTATCAACGACCCAGCGTGAAGGTGGCGGGTAAAGGTGGCGACCGTACAGCGGAAGGGGGAATGCACCACGCGCGTGTTTTCCATACCTCTGCCGTCCTCCCTGATGGCAAGATCTTCATTGCCGGTGGCCAGACCTGGGGCCAGCCATTCCATGAGGAACACATTGTCTACACGCCTGAACTCTATGACCCTGAGCAGGACACGTTTGTGGAGTTGAGCCGCAACAATATCAAGCGTGTCTACCACAGTATTTCTCTGCTGCTGCCCGACGCTACCGTTCTCAACGGTGGCGGTGGTCTTTGTGGCAACTGTTCTGCCAATCACTACGATGCCGAGATCTTCAGTCCCCCGTACCTGTTCGAAGCCGACGGCACCAGAGCTGTTCGTCCCAGGATCACGAACATGATTAATGGCAATGTGCTCACCGTTGGCGGGTCGGTTACCTTCCAGGCTGACTCTATCATCAAGTCTGCGTCCTTAGTCCGCGTGGGAACTACGACTCACACTGTCAATACCGATCAGCGTCGTGTGCCTCTCGATATTGCCGACGCCGATGGCACCCACCAGTACACCGCGAACCTTCCCAATGATGCTGGTGTCATCCTTCCTGGGTGGTACATGTTGTTCGCCATGAATGACAAGGGCACTCCCAGTGTGGCTCAGATGGTCAAGGTTGAATTGCCCTTCCGTCCTGACTGGAAGATCAACGGGGACCCCAGGAAACAAGTGGAGGAACACGGATCCGAGCATCGCGGAGATGCTCATGATTGCGACCATGAAGAAGAGGTCAAAGGAATAATTTCGGGTATGCTTGCTTCGTCGAGCAGATTCTGGAATACCTGGAAGCCTGCTCTGCTTAGCCAGGCTTGATTGTCTATAGGGTTACCGGTCATGTAACTACTGTACAATCTGTAGTGTATCAATGAATGTACCATTGTTGTTTTCCTTCTTTAATGTGTACTATGATAAGCTTGCAACTCTTCATGTCCCACGTCTATACTATTATACTTTCTAGGTCTTGTATATATAATTATTCATGATGTACCTGTTTACAGGGTTGCAATATTGGCACGGCGCGGAAGCCGCATCGCGTACCCAGCAACCAATATTCATATATATAACCCAGTTCTTTTCATATACTACCTGGTTCTTGTGCGGTGTCGAACCAGGCTAGTAAAGGAGCTGACCGATTGAATAGTTGGGTCACCCATCATAGAATCTTACTTGAACGGGGAACTTCCCAGAGAGATATATATATGTTACCTGAAAATACGACCCAGAATTGTTGCATAGTACGATAATACCAGACCAGTAGTCCAGTCTGAGCGAACGATGGCTAGTTCCATGCCTATCTTGCCGTTACAAGACCTGCTTTAATCCAGCACTATGGGTCAATGGTTTTGGATTAATGGTTGCGCTATTATGCGCATTGACGATATTGCTCACTCTTGGACTCTGGACACCATCAACATCTATCTTCTAGCTCCTGCGCAGACACGAACCATGGAAATAAGAAACACGTTCTCTTTAGCTTACTAAATCGAGATCCAGATCGCGGGATGGGCTTACGAGTGTCGTAAGGTGTTATAACCATGTTATTCCTGATAGTGACATTGCTTGCCCAGGGTGGGTGGGTTTCTATACCGTAGTTATTTTCACATCTTGCAGTTAGAGCTTGAGGCTGTGCATTGGGCGTGTTATTTCCAACTTTTGACAGAATCGACCTGGATAGTCTTTACGGTGGCGAGGGAAGAATCATCAGTGTTTCTACAAGCATGAATGTTCATAGACTAAGGTCGGCTTGACTATTGATCTGAAAGAAATCCTGGATTTGAGACTAGTACTATACAGGAGATTGTCGAGTGGGCTTTCAATCAGAGAAAGTGTGCTCCGGAATGCCAAAGGTGCTAATAGTCCAGGTCTTACCGCCATCGCTGGTGGTCATGTCTCCTCCAGTGACTCCCTCTCCCTTAGCCAGAGTGTTGATATAGTTGGCATCAGCAACGTCAAGAATGATCTTGGTGTCGGTCCAGGCTGATGCATCTATTAGTCCTCAGTTTCGGCTATGGATGTTTTTAACTTACAGTGAGCGCCAACAGTGCCACAGTTGTTCTCGGCACACTCAACGGAGCTGCCCCAGCCCTGGGCCTGTCCATCACTCGTGGAGAGCGTCGAGACGGTCTTGCCGTTGATCTGGACTGTCTGTGTGTAGTTTCCGCTGGCATCGTCGAATTTATCTGCACATTATTAGGGCAACGCACATGGTATTTAAGGGAATCTGTCATTGCTTCCTTACAGTGCATCGTCACCTTGTCCCCCTCACCTCCATTTGCCTGGCCATCACCATATACTGGCATCTGTGAGGTGTCTGTCAAGGGAGTTAGCCGACGTCAGCACCACCATGATTCTGAGGATACGAACCACCGGTCTTCATGAGTGTGTAGGCATACATGGTCCAGTCACTCTGTTGCCAATTGTCGGCAATGGACTGGATCAAGTCACCGTTGGAGGTGCCCATTCCCACCCACAGGGAGGTGATGCCGTCCGTAGATCCTCCGCTGGGTCCCTTTGGCAGGACAAGGGTCGAAGTAGCTTCGCGGATGAAAGAGTTGGACGCAACAGGACCGGTACTAAGTGCGGGGCCCATGGCGGCGTTCACCGATGTGATGCCGACGGTGGCAAGAGCCGCCAGAACCTGGTTGCGTGAATACATTGCGGTGGCAGTGCGCTGGGAATTTTGTTGGTACGAGGTTCAGCCGAAGTTGCTGTGCAAACGAAGGAAGACCGGCCTGACAGGGACAGAACTCTTTATAGGCCGGGCGTTCGACATTCCTATTCATGTGTGATTCTATGACAGCAGATCCCCTTAATAACCATGCTTGAGCGGCATTGTTTTACATTCTCCACCAGTGGGGGAATGAGCCGCGGAGACGTTTCCTTTAGAAGACTTCGGAAAATATGGAACTTCGGCATAATTCCCATCAGACGGTAGTTGGAAGCCGGAAGCTAAGCCTTGAGTTAATCTATTCGCGGTGGACCAGTGCCGCAGGTTCCTACGGAAATCCCTCCAGTCCTGACCCACACGCCCTCGACGTCCTATCGTTGGTCTCGACAGTGCGGCCAGTCTCTGCAGAAAGTGGCCGAATTATCCTCGAATCAGAATGTCATCGTCGATCACTGCCTAGAATAAAGGGGGGTTTCAGCGTGGTATAATGAAGTCGAGACATGGGATGACCCGTACCGAATATTAACCGAAACATGCTTCGGTCCCTTTTCCGTGTGGGACAGGTCCAGTAGCACAGGGCCAGCCAATGAACTTGATACAAACGGTCCAGTTTCACTGAGCGGAGCATTGTATAGTGCTTGGTCCTCCTTATGTACCATATGACTGGTGAGCTTTTGGCCAGATGCTGCGCCTATGGACTCTCCGCGAGCCAACATTGCTGTGACAGTCTGCGTAGCTGTTTGATACTAAAGCTTGAGTAATTCTCCAGCAGGATTAACCGGGCAGCCTAAAGCAATCAACCGTACCCTGTGCATGCTTCTGTGCCTGACCTAACAGTCAAAGATATCTCAGTAGGCTATTATTGCCCAAATTGAATCCTGCCTACCGTCAAAAAATACAAGTCCGAATAAGCAGGAGTCGTACTACGGGGAAGCGATCTAGCACAACACGTCCAATGAGCAATCATGCGCTCATGGGCAGTAATTCAATGTCTTTACTCCTACACTGGATCTGGGCCGGAATGAACTACGAGTAGACTAAGGTCCAAGGCAGCTGTCCCAATTCTCTCGAGCGTTGGGAGGCAATTGTTAGCGATGTGTCTCCTTGGGCACGTCTTGAAAGTTACTGATTGGTAACTTCCGAATGTAGCCAGGGTGACATGTCGCACCCACACTATAGTAAAGGAAGGCAAGGAAGGCAGCGCAAGGTATATGATTACCTTATTGCTGTCTGCCATGCGTGCCTCAAACCGTTTGATGGGCTGCATGCGGGTTTCATCATTTCATCAGCTATTCATTCTTCGGCTAGCCACAGCCCCCTCCCCGACAGGCATGATGTTCAGAATATGCTAAAGCAACTGAAGGCTTGACACCGATAGGGCCTCCAGAGGAAGCCCTCGTAGACCGCTTCGAGGAATCCTCTCATCCAATGGTTCCTTGCCCGGGAGGTCTGGCTGTGAAATAATCTAACTTGACCAAGGTATTGCATGGGGTACAGTTGCAAAGCTTGCTGCGTCCGGTCGGATTCGAGGAGCAAGAAAATGTTGAAGCCGGTGCAAAATGCGTGTGCCACCAAAGCTTTAGTAGAGCCCCGGATGGCTAATGCACCGAAGATACTATCAACATGTTCTTGGAGGGAAATTCTCAGTTTCTCTCGGGCCATAAGGGACTGGGCTACGGGCATGGAAACTCATGAAGTCCCCTCGCAGAGCTCGAGACCATCGGGAAGCAACCTTCTAGCTGGTCCTCGCCGTCGCCTTGCGACCCCTACTGCGTTCCTGACGACCACAAGTCTACCCTGAGCGCCCATTATGACTTGTCCCCCAACGAACACCAAGAACTAAACCCCAACTGCTTTTTCGCGGGGAGTGTCTAGCCGCTTCCCGCGTTATGCCCCTTTATTTGTCCTGTTCCGAACTCACATATGCGGGAGGTAGATTCTGGAAGGCAGGCGAATAAATGGGTGACTGGAGGATTGGGGACGGGATCGAGCCTGCGCGAAACATTCCCAAGGGTCGGGTATTAGGAATTTCACGCAGCTGAGGGCAGCACTACGTATCTTCAGCTGGTCGTTTGAAATATCGCAGGGACGCTGGGATTTGTGGGGAGTGCAATCTGTGGTAAAATAAGTATAAAGGTGCGTTCCGGGAGGAAACCATAGCGACGGAAATGCTCTAAACGCGACAGTCAGTCCTGTGCTTGAGGTCGAGACTTGGAAGTCGGGTCTCATTAACGAGAATCCACGGCGAGAAGGACGACGTGATGGAGGAATCGCGTCACGTGTCGCTTATCTCAGCAGAAGATCAACCCTTCACGACAAGACCAACTTAGCAACCACCATAACACCGTAAGGATCCTGCAGTGGCCCCTCTTGGATGGAATAGATTTATCGTGACATGAAACTCGTTTGACGCCATGAGTAAAAGTTGGATCAACTAGTAAAGGGACTCCCAATTGCGAATATTTCGGTGTTTGCTCGGCATCTCATGCCGAGAGATAACCGACGAATCCTAGATCGTCCGACCGGCTGGATTGGGGTTTGGCAATAGAATATCACTTGGTCAATCGAAACCCTAGTGATTCTGAGATCTGCATTGTCATCATAACCTTAATTTGCTAACATGATCGAGGCTGCGGTGTACAGCACATCCTGCCGTGCTGCAGGACCCGGGGTACGCGGTAGACCAGAGAACATAAGAATCGATCAAGAAAGTTAACGTCGAGATTCTAGTCTCTTATTCGCTTGATGGCCTCTAACTGGTTATTCTCTCAGTTGATGCTTCCGGGGAATCCTCGTCGTACTACAACGGGGATCCTCAACGTACCCTCAACGATAACCAGTGACTCACCGGTTGGTTCGCAAGGATGATGCGTCAATCGGGGGAGACTATGGCTAGAACCTGGGGAGGAAGCGCCAGGACTATAGCCCAATTGCTCCTCATGCGTTGTGTGGACACATTCATGGGCCCTCCCTGAGATCAAGGCTGTAGTCGAACTCTAAGCCCGGCTGCGCAGTCCATTACCTATAAATACCTGGGCATCCTGTACTTGTAGGAAAGACAAACAGACATCACTGGGCTTCAAATTGCCTACTACTCTTCATATATACCATTTGCACTCTATTCATCCCGCTGTCCTCTTTCTCATCTGTCAACTATGGCATCCCTGTTCTTAAATATCACTTGCCCTAGCAGAACGTGCCTGGCAGCTGGCAATTCAGCACAATTGCTTGGGAAGCACGTTCTAACACGAGCTTCCCCCCGGACAGTAGTGATGTCCGGAAGAAGACCCCAGAGCACCCAGTCTTCCCTCGTTACAAAGTCATCATGGACGCATCCTGTGTAAGTCGAACCCTGTTCGTGGTATACCATCAGTTGAACTAGCAAAGTCAATATGAGCTCGAGAGTTGCACTTCTCCTTCTGACACCACACGCAGATATACGACATCCCAGCTTCATTCAATCCAGACGGCTCACCGCAACGCCCAAGACTGGTCGGATAAAATGGCTCTTGGAACTGTGCGGTTCCTACGATGGGGCATGGACTTGGTCACCGGATATAATCGTCCATATCGACGCGATGCCAACTCGTCTTTGTTCCGAATGACCGAGAAGAAATGGATTACACGATTTATATTTCTGGAGAGCGTTGCGGGCGTTCCGGGCATGGTAGCTGCTATGCTGCGACACCTCAAGAGTCTGAGAAGGATGAGGCGGGACTATGGATGGTATGTTGCGGCGAAGCCTATCACGAAGGCACTTATCACACCATTGGAGGATACGTATCTAACCTCTCCACTTCTATTGACAGGATCGAAACCCTCCTGGAAGAGGCCTATAATGAACGGATGCACCTTTTAACCTTCCTCAAATTATCCCAACCAGGCCCTGCCATGTACTTCATGGTCCTAGCATCACAGTGCGTCTTCTTTACCGGATTCTCTCTCGCCTACCTGGTTTCTCCCCGGATATGTCACCGATTTGTTGGTTACCTGGAGGAAGAAGCCGTGATCACCTATACCAAAGCAATCCAAGAGCTCGACAACGGAAACTTGCCGCTTTGGAGCAATATGGAGGCTCCCGCAATGGCAATCAAGTACTGGCAGATGCCCGAAGGCCAACGATCTATACGCTCTCTGTTACTGTGTGTACGTGCTGACGAGGCGAACCATCGGGATGTAAATCACACGCTTGGGAGTCTCGACCAGGATAGTGATCCTAATCCCTTCTCGGCCAAGTTTAAGAACGCGATCAAGGAGGCCAGCCAACCCTTGTCTCCCTTGAAAGATTATCGTTAAGAATTGCTCTGGGATTGCGCCTCGCATGCATAGGTTTCCAAGAATTATTACTATTTTATAGAAGTATTTAGAGAAATAGACAATATTAATTGCACGGTTCAAGGTTTTCAATTCAGTACCAGCGTGAGCCAACTAGAGCTGTGAAGCCCCTACCATAAGCCCCTACCAAACCTGCGTAGGATCTCTCGTAATGCAAACATCAATTTCTGTTATGGAGCCCAATCTAGTTGAGCGGGCTGAGCATAGCTTGTGAGTTATGCTCTGTGAGTCTCCTCATCAGCAGCTTAACTAGTGCGCTTAAACGTACTCAGTATTGCGTATATCGCTATAAGTCCTATGTGATAGTTAAAGGTCCTAGTGATGGTCTCGGATACTGATGACTGACCGAGCAGCGGTCAGCGAGGCAATAACCAACCTCAGGAAGAAATGCCAACGCAGCAACCTTCCTCCAGCCAAGGAAATGAGGCAGGTCTCAAGGGGTCCACCTCCAGTTGGGATCCTTCCAGCCTCCTACCAGATTCTGGGTCGCAACATCACCTGCAGTGAGTCGTACGCCTTGTTCCTTATCTCTCCTGCGATTATCAAGCCTGAACCATGTCCCCAACCCTATCACAACACAGGCACCCGCCAAAAGGAAGGCACAATTCACAATTATCGCTGGCATATACCTTGGTGCGGTATCTGCCTTGAATGACAGGCTTGACGGAATGCCCGCGCAATTGGCCGCGCCCACCAAGAAGCCCACGGTCGCTGCTCGCTGGCTCTCATCGGTAACGTTGTTGGTATGCCAGCTATGGAAGATACTACTTGGTACGAAGGCGCCGGCTGCCAGGAGGAAGCACGCGAAATAGGCCACCCCCTTGTTTGTATTTGCGTCAACGGTGGCGAGAATAACGTATCCAACAAAGGTGATGATCAACGCGGCCGCCAGGTGGAAGGAGCGCTCTCGAAAATGATCCGACGACTTGGCAATGATCCAGAGAACAACGGTCCCGACGCAGTACGGGGCCACCGTATACAAATTCGTTTTCACCGCGGAGTAGCCTTGGAGGGCCACCATTTGAGGGAGGAAATTGCTAACGGAACTTTGGGCAACCCCGAAGCAAAAGCAGCTGACGGCCCAGACGAGGACCCGCCAATCCAACAGGGCGGCTAGAGCTTCTGTGACGGAAAGGTGATCTGTCGTTCGGACAGATCCGTCTTGCAGGAGACGCATCTGTGCCACTTGGGATTCGGCTTCGTTGAACCAGTGACACTTGGAGCCACTGAGGGGGAGCCACCAGGCTGCGAATGTAGCGATGATGATGGTCGCACCGCCTTCGATCAAGAAAAGGTATTTCCAGCCTGGTAGGTGTTGTTTGATCTGAAAGACACCAAAGGCGATGAGGCCGGAAAACGCACCTACGGTTCACGGAAGGAAATTGTCGTTAGTAGAAACATTGTAGTGTTTGGCGTGTTGGAAAATTCAAAGCTAACCTGCGATCGTCACCATTCCATAGAATATCGAGAGGCGAAAGGCGATTTCATTTCTTTTATAAAATTGCGTCAGGTAGAAGATCACCCCCGCTGAGTTTTTCATTAGCCAAGTCTCTGTCACTCAAGGACCATTTTATGCATACCAAAAAAGCCTGCTTCGAATATACCCATAAAGAGTCGACATACGAGCATACCAGCAAAATTGAATGCTGCACATTGAAGAAGCGTAACACTGCCCCTACAAGGATGTTACTATAGCCTATACTCCTAGTATCCTGAAAGACGGAAGGTTCGGCACCTACCAGCCAAGCATCATTATAGGAAGCATGGCTTTACCGCTAAACCTCTTCAGCAGTAAGTTGGAGGGCAGATCGAACAGGGAGAATGTAACATTAAAGACGGCAAGGATAATACTGTATTGATTGCCAACCAGCTTGAGGTCCTGGTCAATACCATCTGTCTTCGCGTTCCCCAGATTACTTCGATCAAGGGAGTTGAAGAAGTACATCAACGAAAGGACGGGAAGAAGTCTAGATTCGGAGTCAATTAGGGCTGTATCTCATCTGGAGGTCAGGACAATGTGTTACTTGAAGTCCAACTTCCGGAGTACTGATCTCTCGATGCACGGATCGATTCTGATAGATTCACCTGGTACCGTGCCGGCTTCTTTGGCGGCAGCGTTAGAAACCACAAGCTCTAGCTCATCCTTCTTCGAGGTCTGGGATTCCATGACTGCGCAGGGGCAAGGGATGCCTAGGATCAATGTGAAGGCGTGAAGGCAATAAACGGGGACTGGAAACACAGGGTCGAGTCGCCTCTTATATGCTCAGTTTCGACAACAGTAGCTCTACATAACTGGTCACCCTATCATCCAGAACTAGATAGATACTGCTAACATTGCATGCACCTTGGAGGGATAGTCGTCGGGCGACACGCTTCGTTGTGACACGGAAGATAGGCAGGCTCTTGAGGCGGACGTCATACTGAGGGGCCGTATCCTATCATGTCCTACACGATCAAGGTTCACCATATCATCTTATCGAATATACGGATGGCATTGAACACCAATCTGGGGTTGTTGTTGCTCTGAAGAGAGCGGCATTGATACGATTAGGGCCAACTTCGACCGACATGGCAATTCCTTGTCGGTTGAACCCGCCGGTAAGAATCTTGATATCTCATTTCCCCGCACGCCATTATCACTTCCCTTGACAACATTGACCAGCAGGATCAACGCCCCCGACACGTATCACTCGATCAATGAGTCAATGGGGAAGGTCCAATCGACGTTGGGGGCATCGGTGTTGTCTCCGAAAAAGCGATACCTGAGCTGTGCGGCCCGTGACCTAGAATTCTGGTGTTCAACTTAAGCCAACGAGACGAGTGACAACGGTCTTTCTGAAGCTTATACTAACTGAGGTAGAGGAATATTGCCTTTCTAGGTAAAAACGTCTGTATCAACCTGCGACGGAATATTCCGACAACCGACATCTCGTCACGTAACGCGGAGCTGATTCAATTCCAACAAGCAGCCACTGAACAACCTCCCTCGACAAGTCGTCTTCCTAGCGGCTTCCTCCCCACGCTCAAGATACTACCGTACTGCGTTATGACCCAGTAGCTGAGTTCTCATGGCCGCAAGGTGGGCTGATCGGAGATAAAAGCGATTGTTTAAGCGCCCCCACAACCTCGGGTGGGGTTGCGTTCTGATAGATTAGTACTCCAAACGGCTGGTTTACCTCAGGTATAAGACAGGAGTACAGCTGACTCTGAGCTGTCGAGCTCATTTTGTGTGAATGATATTGCTTTGGATCACCTTCTAGTGCCCTTGGCTTCTGCAATGGCATCTCAAATACCTCTCAAGGACAAACAGTCACCCATTGTGATTGTTGGGGCAGGTGTCTTCGGCCTCAGCAGTGCCATCCATCTAGCCAAGAGAGGATTCACAGATATCACTGTCTTTGACAGACAGCCATACCATGAGACCCTATACGACTTCGATAAAGGCTGCGATGCTGCCTCTGCAGGTAAATACCTCCGTCACACGCACACAGAACCCATGCCGTAATTTCTGACAAAAGGACAATTCAGACTGCAACAAGATCATCCGCGCTGCGTACGGTGACGAGGTTTGGTACCAGAATCTAACCCTGAAGGCGATCGAGGTCTGGGAATCATGGAACAGGTCTCTTGCAGAAGAGGCCATATTGCCGCCCGGGATGACAAGTAAGGGTCGGATCTATGTCAACTGCGGTAATTATCATTTCGGGGACGAAACCAATGGTCTCAACGATTTCGAGAAACTCTCGGTGGAAAACATTACAAAAGCTGGTAAAGGCCATACACAGTACCTGCTGTATTCTGATCCAAAAGAGGTGACACGCGCCCGGGCGGATGGGTTTAGCTACGCAGTGGATCCGTTTGGCCTTGCCAAAGATGGACAGCATCAGGGTTATTTGGACATGATCGGTGGATTTGTTTATGCAGACAAAGCTTGCACCTATGCGCTCCATCTAGCGAAGAGGCTCGGTGTAAAACTGGTCCTCGATAGGCAGACGGGTAGCTTGGAGAGCTTCCTAGAAGATCCGACAGGTAAAGTGGTCGGCATCAAGACTGCCGATGGCAAACACCACAAGGCCGCGGCGACGATCGTTGCGTGTGGAGGCTGGACACCCAATCTGATCCCCGAGATCGATGGCCTCTGCGAAACCACAGCCGGATCCATCGCCATGATCCAGATCCCAGAAGGATCTCCCCTTCGGGAACGGTTCTCGCCAGACAACTTTCCCGTGTTTCAGTGGAATACGCGGGCCGGAGAAAATGGTAATCTGTACGGGTTTCCGCTAGACAGTCGCGGTGTGATGAAGATCGGGTACAGAGGAACCAAGTACACGAATCCTCAACAGGTCCAATCGGGCCAAGTGCGCAGTGTACCGATCACGAAGTGGACGTCGCCGTTCGTTACCGGATTGCCGGAGAAGTCCGTTCAGGTCGTTCAGGGCTTTTTAGACAAGTATCTTCCCGAATTGAAGCAGAGTGGGATCGGAATCTCCCAAACCAGGCTGTGCTGGTACACGGACTCATTTGATAACAATTGGGTGATTGATGGCATCCCCGGCAAGGAAGGGGTCATTGTGGCTACAGGTGGCAGCGGTCACGCTTTCAAGTTCCTACCATTACTTGGCGAGTTCGTCGCCGACAAGGTGATGGGAATCGAGTCGGACATGCTGCACAGGTTCCAATGGCGGAAACTGCCGTCTGGGGAACTGCCTCGTAACCAGCTGATGAAGGGATTCAATGATGCGAATGCTCTCCACCGAGTGTGGATGGTGCCTGACAACAGCACCCTCTATACTTCCAAACTCTAGGATAGAGTCGTCCACTGTTTTATGTTGGTGCTGGATGACAGATTGAGCATCATGTCTAGAAAGCAAAAGCCTCGAGACCCGTTCGAACTGTTAATGCTGCAAACGTAACAGATTGAACTGATACAGTATAGTAATCACAACCTCGCGCTGGAGGATGTTATAGCTATTGTTCTCTTTTCCCAGAGCGGGGTGTCTAGATAGCCATGGGCATGAGTATATATATATAACCAAGTATATCTGTATAGCTCCACCGTCAACCCACCGTCCTCGAAGTTTATCATCCTGTAAAGTAAATCCTTCTCGCGCTCTTGGGACCAAAATCAAGAGTTGGCCAGTTCATAGAATAGGATATAATCCTTAATTATATTATTTGGCACAGGCCAAGAATGAAGATTTGCTAGCCGAGCCACTGGATAACTGAAATTTGGTGAGTTTCGACTGGGGCAAGAGAGTGGGGATTGCCGGATATTGGCGGCCCCTCAAGAAAAATTTTCCCTTTTCCCCTTTTCTCTCCCTAACTAACGAAGTCTTTCTTCTTCCCTCAGGGTCTCAACTTCACTAAGATGAGTCTTACTCGAAAGGAAAGGATATCCACATAAACCCCCCCCGGCACAGGGTTGATGACCTGGATTGTGCCGTCACCATTCAGGGGGAGTGGCGAACCAAATGCCGCCTAATCTTTGAATCACAAGAAAAATTAAAAATAGAAATAAATTACATACGTTTGGAACCAGTGGCACAAGTGGACTCCTAAAGAATGGCATTCTTCCCTCCTCGCGTGCTTGACGTTCAACTGCCTACTGGGTTGAGTCATATCACTTCTATTTAACACGTACCATGGTGTAACATCTGCAGAAAACTGACTTGTGGTGTGCCTCGATAATGTTGAGCTCGCCATGAGTTTGAAGCCCTACGAAGTGGACCTTGACGAGGTGTCTCTTAAATCATACAGACGAAGTAGCCTGATCATAGCAAATTAGCATCTTGCCCCTGTGGTCATCATGATGGTGTTCTCAAGATCACAGCGAAGGTCAGCATTGACGTCAGAAACCGTTTCCTTTCATGATTTCAGGACGATCAACGAACTCATTGGACAAGAAGCTAGATGCAGTGGAACGTAATGTCAAAGGCACTGCACTACAGAGCAACCAAATCGACCGGCGCGTGGGCTACTATTCAAAACACCCTGTGATTGACCAGGTAGAGCTCCATATCTTGTCAAAATGGCTCCACTTCTCGCGGAAAATCTCCACCACTTCATTGTCAAAAGCTTGTTGAAGTACTCGGCGAGCGCTAGAACGCTGTTCATTGCCTATCATGGAGTAGCTCACTGGTTCAGTTTTCTGGAGATTTCTCTGCGCTCATTGGAAAAAAAAAATCCTCTTGTTATCCTTATATCTCTCCCTTGCATTCAATTCCACCATTCCAGAACTCCCTTCTGCTCGTGCTGCTGTCCTCGCGATTCGACGAGCCTTAGCGATACAGCAAGGTACTGACTTACGTGGGAATGCGCGATCATGGACGAAGGCAGCCCCAGACGCCCCCGAGCTAGGGTGAGTTCCATCAGCGATTGGACCAAAACATCTCTCAGTGCTCACGGCTTCTTGCTAATACCGAATGGCGGTTGATGTAGTCAGAAGCGACCAGCCAGAGTAGAATGGAAATCAACAGGGAGATGTCGCCAACATCACTTAGACGCGGCGTGAGTGATTCTGCCAACTATAGCTCTCCCACTCGTGTCACGTCAGGAGTGGACACCTCAAGAGATGTAGAACCTGACGGGATCCGACGCCGCAGTACTGTCCGCTCAGCGCGGACCGGCAGTTTGGCCCAGCGAACGACCCTAGCGGAGCGCACGCAGGGACAGTTCACCATGGGGGGTCCAGAGGACGGCCCCCAGCTACGGCAGGCACATGAACCCTTTGTCCAGCCGGGCTATTCACATCTGAACCCCTCCTATGAACAGCCCGCAAATGCAAAGCCCGTCTGGTCTCTCGCAAAGCCCCTGCCGCGTGTGGTGCGGGCGGGCATGGTCCCTACGAAGGAAGAGCTGCTCGATGCGAGGCTGCAGCCAGAACGTCCGGCCGAAAACTCGCAGAAGCTTGGGCTGGATGTGGATCCGAATGACTTGGAGCAAGGCCAAATTCCTAAAATGGCGGATCCCCGGAAAATGGCCGCGCAGGTGGAGGACGCTCGCCTTCAGCGCGAAAACAACTTTGTCAATAAGGTCCTCACCGGAGAGGTTGTCTCCTCGCGCATATCACGGACTTCCTCTACCCGCCGACGTCGCCCGTCAGTCCGGATTGATGCCTCGAGCGATCAGCTTTCTACCGTCCCAGAAGGGCCGAGTGCAGTCCCGAGCATAGCTTCCGTTCAGGCTGGAGAAGGCCTGCCGCATGGGAGTGATGAACCCCTTGAGACCGTGCCGGAGCAGCCGGAAGTGCAGACTGCCGCGGCGGATGCCCTGCCCGACCTTTCGGCTCTGCATGAATCAACCCTCCCGGACGATCTGCATCCACTAGTGCAGGAGCTGGTGGAAGACGAAGTACACAACAATCATACAACCTGGTCCGTTATTCGCACTCACCATCGTGAGGCGCTAGCTGAATCCCTGGCGGTATTTGTCCAGCTGACCATTGGCTTCTGTGCTGATATATCTGTCACCGTCGCCGATGCCGGGAATCCCAATACAACTGCGTGGGCGTGGGGCTTTGCTACCATGATGGCGATCTATATCTCCGGTGGTGTCTCGGGTGCTCATCTCAACCCGAGTATAACGATTATGTTATGGTTTTATCGTGGCTTCCCCAAGCGTAAGATGCCGGAATATTTTCTGGCGCAATTCGTGGGGGCTTTTGTTGCGGCACTGACTGCCTACGGGGTGTACTACCAATCAATTCATCAGTACCTCCTTACCCACCAAGATACGGGGATCGTGACCAGCTTCGTGACCGGCCAGCGTCAATCATGGATCGACCCAGCAACCGCCTTCTTCACGGAATTTCTCGGGACGGCCCTCACGGCCACAACCATCCTGGCCTTGGGTGACGATCAGAATGCACCGCCTGGGGCGGGCATGAACTCGCTGATCGTTGGGCTGATGGTGTATGTGCTGTCGAATACTTTCTCCTACCAGACAGGGGCTGCATTCAACCCCAGTCGAGACTTCGGGCCACGCCTGGCTCTTCTCGCTCTCGGTTATGGGTCCAATCTTTTCACGAACCCTTACTGGTTTTACGGGCCATGGGCCGGCTCTCTATGCGGTGCTCTGATCGGTGCGTTCCTGTACGATTTCATGATCTTTACTGGTGGTGAGTCGCCAGTGAACTACCCTTGGGAACGTACTCAACGCTCGCTGCGGAAGAGCCGTACCAAATGGAAAAGGCGATTACGCTTTGACCGTCGACGACGCGGCATCCCCGACAAGGTGGTTGCTTAATGTAGCTAATTGAAGGGCGGATCGAGTCATTGAACCCTGCGTGGAGGTTTCTTTTCTTTCCTTTTTGAACCGATGGGTTATCTCTAGAATCTCATTTATTTCGCGCTGGTCGTTATTTTCTACTGTATATAGACCATCTAGAGTGATATAGAACGCTAAATGAACAATTCCTATTCATATATCTCACTCGAGTTCCGACATGGACCGGGTAACCCAATTGGGAAACCCGAGTCACATGGCCTCAGCTGACCCCACGTGGGTGTGTGGAAACCCAAGATCGAGCGGCATCGTCGGATTAAATTGATTCCTCCACCACTCCACAGCCATCCAATGCGCGTCCCTGGACGCGTACCGACGTTATTGAACCGGTTCTCGCGTGTTATTTACCTCGGCTTCCAAAAAAGCTCCAAATCACATCCGTAATGCCACCCAAGGCACACCCAATAGCCGAACCATCCGATCTCCCAATTCACCCCTTTAGATCAGCCGCTGAATTTGAACATTTTCTGGAGCGGGAGCATTCCACATCTCCAGGGATCTACGTGAAACTGGCCAAGAAGTCTTCCGGTATTCCATCTGTGTCTCGCGATGAAGCTGTGGAGACGGCGTTATGTTTCGGATGGATCGATGGTCGTGCGCATGCGTATGATGAGGACTGGTGGCTGGTACGATATACCCCACGACGTGCAAAGAGCATCTGGTCCAAGAAGAACGTGATGACCGTAGAATTATTGTTAAACGCCGGTCGTATGCGGCCAGCCGGGTTGGCCGTGGTGGAAGCTGCACAGGCGGACGGTCGCTGGGCTCGTGCATACGATGGCCCCGCCACTATCACGGTGCCGCACGATCTAGCAGCTGCACTGACACAGACGCCAGAAGCCGCAACTTTCTTTGAAGGGTTGAATCGGTCAGACAGGTACTCGGTCTTGGTTCAACTTCAGTGGGCTGCTCCGCAGCGCCGAGCGAAGCGCATCGGGACATTGGTCCAAATGCTAGCAGAGGGTAAAACGCCAGGAGTGTCAGTCAAGTCAGCCAAAGCGAGTAAACGGAAATCTGTGGATAGGAACCACGACCAGGATGGACGTCGGAAAACATCGAAAAAGACCTGACCCGACGCCTAGTCTACGAGATCGATAGAAAAGCCAACATGAGGCTTCATATCAACCCAACGCAGGGTACTAATATAAATGCTATGCAGTGATTTGGGAAGCATAGATCACTAGAATGCGCTGGCATCATCCCCTTTGGCCATGACCAGGTTGCTAGACTTGTGAGGGCGGGAAGGTCTCGATTCACCTTTGTCAGCTTAATGAGATGATGATGTTAGTACCAATTCTGGGGCTGCATATAATATGCGAAGAATATAAAGCAACGTCTGGGTTCCAATAGATGCATTCAGTACAAGGATACCTAGATGTCACAAGCAAGCAGCTACCGAAGTGTAACTTGGTCTGATAGTTCCACAGTGCCCCTTCAGCATGTGTGTATCCCCGAATAATCACCCCCATCAATGTAGATCTTCTAGGAATCTCCATGTTGATTGACACTCGTTTATCCTGTACGGTGGAGGGCGGCGTCTAGTAGAAAACGAAAACAGATTTGTTGAGGCCCTCGTAAGTCCCAACAGCAAGAGAGGCACCGTATGAGATCGACAGAGACATACACGAGGTTGATATTGTCGGCGCCACCGATACAAATCGAACCGTCGGCAAGCTACCGATCGACGCTTTTCGGGACCCTCCCGAGGTATCGGGAGGCGCCGACGTTTCTGCAGAGGCAGAAGGATTATCTTGCGGTACTAGACTAGAATGCAATTTGCCAGAAATAGAAACTATCTACAAGCACTCTCCACCTGGGGCACTTAAAGCTTGGGGTTAACCAATCAACCACAGAGATATGATGGGCCCTGACATGACCTGATGCGTGAAAGAGGTACCATGCATTTCTCCTGAGAGGTCGTGTAGCACCTCGAACTTTTTTTTGTTCGCTATACCTGGCTGCCTGGAAAACTACTGTCTTCCTATTCGAGTATACTATGAAGTTTACACTGTCACCTGTCATCTCAAGGGAGTTCCCTCTGAAATAACAGGATTGGGACCCTGGCGAGGTATTGTGTAGGATGTCATCTTAATATTCTATCTGATAAATAAGAATACGGGACAAGAGAGAGCAGCCTCGGGAGCGGGAGTCTTGCAGGATTCAGGGTTACATCGCCTCGTTGGACTGGAGCTGATGATCTGATACATCTGGACCGGGCCATTTCTATTGACACCCAATTATCCGACTCGTGCTCGTCGGCCATCCGGGTCAGTGAGTTAGTCTAAACGGCCAAGCGCCGTTTTGCACGAATAATGACTTTAATTCCATCATTTGTATGAATTATACTAGGTAAAGCTTGGTGTAGAGTTGTGTATGTTCCGAGCCATTCCTTCAGGGAAATCCTTAGATGAAAACTTTGAAGTGCACATCAATGGGGTCACTTCACGGCTGGAAGGCCACCGACCACCCCCGAGCTATAACGGGGTTACATTGCAATGCGTCGATCGCTTTGGGGGCGATACTTTGCAGTAATGATGTTCATTGCTCCAAAGATCATATGTTCGACGGGTTAGAAGATGTATAAAGACCAGCACATTTCTTGTAGGATGACCATCAAAACAACAGGCCAAACTTCTCAGCTCCAAGTTATCATCAATCAATCTGCTTTTCCTTTCACATAATGCGTCTCTCCGAGATCCTCGCTGTTGCTCTGGTCACTGGTGCCACTGCATATGATCTGCCGGACAACTTGAAGCAGATCTATGAAAAGCATAAGGTACATCCCATCCACCGGTATCATCCCCTACATGCTGGGATATAGTATCTAATACATTGTATGTGTTCAGGGAAAATGTTCAAAGGTATATGAAAAAGGATTCACCAACGGCGACCACAGCGATGGCAAGTCCTTTGAATACTGTGGTGATATCGAGGGTGCAATTTTCATGCACTCCTCGGCCAAGGGCGGCCAGTATACCAACATGGATGTTGACTGCGACGGAGCCAACAACTCTGCGGGAAAATGCTCCAATGATCCATCTGGTCAGGGCGTGACCGCTTTCAAGGATGATGTGAAGAAGTTCGGAATTCCCGACCTCGATGCCAATCTTCATCCATACATTGTGTTTGGAAATGAGGAACACTCTCCCAAGTTCAAGCCTCAAGACTACGGAATGGAGCCCTTGAGTGTCATGGCTGTTGTGTGCAATGGCAAGCTGGTAAGTAGATTGCCCTGAATAAGAGATGTTGTCGGCTAATTTGAGCTATTCAGCACTACGGTATCTGGGGTGACACCAACGGGGGCACTTCCACTGGCGAGGCTTCCCTTTCTATGGCGGAACTTTGCTTCCCCGAGGAGAAGCCCGATGGCGATCACGGCCACGATGACAACGATGTCCTCTATATCGGATTCACCAGCAAGGATGCTGTACCTGGGAAGAGTGCCAACTGGAAGGCCAAGAAGACCGAGGACTTCGAGGACAGCATCAAGTCGATCGGTGACAAGCTGGTTGCCGGCCTCAAGGCTTAAGAGGTAGATTATGAGACTTGTACAAACGCACAGCTGACGTGCGGATCAGCCCATGGTGCTGTACATTATGTATAAGTAGATGAGTCCCTAGTAGGAGTGGTGTGTAATTAAGCCGAGTCAAATAATAGTACTTGATAGTAATATCCCTATACATCGCAACTAGAGGATACCATGGGATTACTCTCCACCAGCCCTTCCAAGACCTAGAATACCCTGTGGCAGGCCACGATGCCTTTTAAGTTGAAGCGGGTGACGCTTCATCTTGCACAAGGCTTGGTGGCGCAATTTTAGATACCATGTTCCGCCCGTCATCCAAAATCTTTCCAATTTGGTCCAAGTCGTTATCCCACTTACTGCCCTCGTCCGTAACTTCTAGCGGATCCTTATTCAGTTGCTCCGCATCAACGTGAACATCGTCGCCTAATGTCATCTGTCCTCGTGCGATAGGCGCACGGAGTTCGTCAAGCAATCCCGGGCCTTTGGCAATAGCCGGGTTGGGATCCTCATATATCTTGACCTTAAAGGTCCTTCCCTTCTGGAAGAAAAAGTCCTTGCTCTTGTAAACAGCATTTTGGTTGTCTTGTGGGAAGGGATGCATCGTTTCCTCGCGGAACTCAGTTAAAGTAAGGATCAGACCTTCTCCTTTGCCCAGTCGAGTGGACACTTTATCGGAAAGTTCATCACCTAGTTTGAGTTCGACGTCGCACGCAGACAGATTCACGTTAGGTGCCTGCAGCAGCATATGTGAGATATGAAACTGTTCCTCAGAGCCGTATAAATAGAACGGCATAACATGTCGTGGATAGTGGTCGTCACGATTAGCGGAGTTCAAAGGACGACTTTTAACAATCCGGATCATGTCTACCTTGCATGGAATTCGGTCACTAGGAGCGTTATGTCCGCGGAGCTTGATATGACCGGCTATCTCAGGGGTTTCACCCTTCTCGATTCTCTTGATCAACCCCTCTATATTCTGGGTGGCATCGGACGTGAATACAAAATCGCACTCATTATAACTTTTCTTCTTGTCAGTGTAGGTCTTTTTGACATTTTCCTCCAGCTTAGCGGCCAAAATTATCTGTTGGCGTTGAGTGGCGGCATGGAAACTCGTCTGGAAATCCAGGAAGACTTCATCGGTTCCCCGGAGAAGAAACTCGATATTTTTATCTTGGAGACTGTTTCGCTTGCGGCACCACCTCACTTCGTCAATAATTATATCCTCAAATAGTCCCATTATCTTGTTTATGAAGCCTTGGTCCGTGGGGAAGGGGCTCATCACGACGTTTCGTAGGACCCAGAGATCCTGAGCGCAGGGAGTCAGTCCGAGGCGCGACATGAAATTCTGGGCGCACTGGCCGTACAAAGCTGGCTCGAACTGTGTTGAAGTCAGGAAGAGTGGTACCTCATTCGGGTTCCCTCTGGTTGTGGTAATGGACAATCGGTTCACCACCCGCCTCATCAGGTAGTTAGCCTCTTCCAATTCCGTATTGAGCTGACCATCCTCCCGATACCAGTTGATCGCGAAGGCGTTGATATTAAGATCTGAGCCGAGCTTCCGCAGCCAGTCCATGGACTTCTCATTTGCACTGACTTGGGCATTGTCCTTGTCGATCAGGTCCGTGTAGATCTTCCTGCGACGCTCTTCAGCCGTCTTGCTCAAGCTGTGAACGCCTTCCTCCTTCTCGACCGCCAACGGGTTGAAAGGAATGACAATATAGTGGCGGTGCCTATGAACCTTATTGTCATAGTCCAAATCCCTGAATTCCCAGGAATTTTCCTTGAAATCTTGCCTGATGTGCATGGCGGCGTACCAGGCCGATAGCTGAAAAAGTCAGAAACTGTGGTCCAAAATGAGTACCAAGGAGGGTCTTACCCGCGCACTGGTAAAGGCTGCCTCGCCCAGGAGACGACCGTATCCGGCCGGATTTAAGCCGATTGTCTGGTTAGACATCCAAGCCGCCATGGCTGCAGCACCAGGCTTGCTGCCCTCAACACCATACACTCCGATATTCTCCAGGGACCCCTGCGTCAGATATGGGCTGGTCCAGGTGACCAAAAACCGCATGCGACCATCCCGATAACACAAACTTCCAGCGGGATAGGGGATGTATCCCGCCTTATGAGGATCCACAGTGATGGTATCGGCCTCCTTGAGTGCAATCATATCTTTGAGGGTGTCCTCCCTCAGAGGTAGTGAAGGCACCTTATCCACCGCTGTGTCTCCGTCCCCTTCCTTAATGGGCACTTCTGAGTCCATCATGGGCCGGGGGATCATGCTGGCAAAGTAGCCACCCCAGGCAGCGTCGGCATGCACCAAAAACGATAGCCCCCTGTCCTGGAATCGCCGACGCATTTGCAGGATGTCATGCAGTCGGTCAACCCCACCTTCTTCTGTTGTTCCGATAACTGCCACTACGGCATATACGGCCTGACGTTCTTCAAGGCAGCGATTAAGCTCTCGCTCTAGTGCGTCAAGAGAAATGCGGCCCTCCATGTCGAGTTCCACGCCCTGCATGTTGGCGGACCCAATACCAGCAATTGCTGTCTAAGTTAGCAATCGATCTTACCAGTGGAGAAGAATATACACACCGCCGCCTTTAGGCCACGAGTAATGCCGTGTTTGAGCAAGGAAATACTTGGCGGGCTTCGTGATGCGGAACTCACGCTCCAATACGTCCTTGCCAGTCGTCTGGATGGTGAATGGCGTCAGGGCATCCTCTAAAAACTTAGGTGTGATACCAAACTGTCTATACAGAGTTTCTCCCATGCCCAGGATGACGTCAGGTTTGAGGTTTAGTAGTTCCCAGACGCCCAGGTCTTTGAATAGTTTCTCTTCTCCAACACAGGTTGTCACCTGGAATTCATTGGCTATGAAGCCAAGAGGCCCTTCCTTCATAGCCTGATACAGGGTGAGGGGGTAGAACTTGAGATTACGCGCTGCAGATGAGTACGTAAGAAGGATAGTAATGGTTATTATTTTTTTGGGAAGCTTACTTACCAACCCAAATAGATTCAAGATTGGCCACAGTTCCATCACAGGTAATGTGACCCCAGGAGAGAGGTAACTCCTTTTTATGCTCGTCTGTATTATAGCCAAACATTTCACACAGTTGCTTTCCCACTCTCAGCTCAACAACTGTGGTGAATGGACTTGCCTCAACGGCCACATTATTCGGGTTGTAAATCATAGTCATGAAATAACCAAGCAGACCTGGCATCGCCATGTCTGTGCACATGTGGCCCTGGTACCGGGGATGCCAGAAAGGAATCGAGTGCTTACCCAAAAGGTGAACAGCTTCTCCGACTGCCTTTTGGAAGTTGGCACTGATTGGTGCGAGCTTTTGTCGGACAGTATCAGGGATAAAATTTTCCTATTGGGGTTAATTGCCCACGTACACTCCAGCTTGCGGAAGGCGATAAATGAACCAAGGAAGAATAAGGGGAGGAGCAGTCATACCTTATCTTCAGGCTGGTACGCCTTACGAGTCTCTACAATACCGTCCAGGATGATCTTGATATTGTCTCTGAAATCCTGCATATTCTCGGACTTAGGTCCAATGAAGTAGGAACTGATGATATCATGGTTAGTGGCCTTATCTTGCCTTGGAGCTTCACCCATAGTGTCGTTTGTGTATTCTGTGATGGTTCTGCTGTTTCTATCCAGGTGAGAGATATGGTTGCTGTCTGTCAGAAAGTTCCTACATCCAAGTCGGCGTATTTATACTGCCGTCTCCCTATACTACGCTCCACCTCAGTGGAAGCCGGCCTATCCAGTTGTGCAGTTACCCCTCCTACCTCAGCAGCCTGGACTGGTTCTCTTTTATGCAAGAGAGTGAATGCAGGATTACCCTTTCAGCCGTGGGGCTTATACAGAAGGCAATGATCAGCCATTGTTCGGAGCTGAAAGGAAGTAGATATCATCCAATAGGTTTATGATGGCGATCATATTCTACAGAGACCAACACATAGGTTACCTGCAATGCATCTCACCACTCCCATCAGAAGCAATGCTTCATCATGAAACATTACTGTATTTTACTGCCGTAAAGGTGAGAGACCATTCAACACCGCGGTAGCTGCTTCCTACGGCTCCCACTCGCTTGACGGATACTAATGCAACGAAATGAGAACAGAGATGCAAGCACGTACAGGCAGGCAAATTCTGAAACCTTGCATGGTTGACAGACTGCCTCCGATTCGTCGATGAGGATACGGGTCTGACATTCTTGCTCAACCGGCCCGTCAAGACTGGAGTCGGGGGCGGCGGCTAGTGTGAAATTCATTTACACTATTAGTAATGACGTGTCGGTGGGCATATATGCATGCGCAATCTGGTACTTGATCTATCATCTTCAGGCCGCCAGTGTGGCCCAATTTGCAGCATATCGATTATGTCAATTCCCCACTTGTTGAGAACGGATGAAGCTATGTTGGTTATGATTGGCACCTGGAAGTATAGCGTACGGTCCTATCTTTACTATCGTGATTGAGAATATGTGCCAGACTCCTTCCCTATCATATTCTAAAGCGGAGTCAACATATGTCGATGGATTATCATAATTGTAGAAGTGAGGTAGATTATTTTAGATCTTGAATTGTGGATTATCACACCAGAAGATTATCTTAGATCCTCCAAAGATCAGCGGCGGGGTATCTACAGTCTGTCCGCCAGCCACTTCCGTGAAGACCCACCGTCCTGCAGGAAGTCACCAATGCAAGGCTTCATAGGTGGTCTACTGGGCCTGAACATAGAGTTGGCATAGGAGGGCATCCAATGACATGGATATATTCGGTGACGTCTGCTGTCCGAGTCAGGTTACTCGGAATGAACCAAGTCAAAGAGGCCCCCTTGGTCCCTCAGCTATCTTCTGTTGGGGTCAGTGGGTCCAAGGCACGATTAAAGTGCCAATTGGTGTTGTAGTCGAGTGGGACTGAAATCTTCTTCGCCAACAATGGCTGCTATCGTTACGCTGTCCACTGCTCGCTGTACACGCTATCGTGCTATGATGGGATTTGGTAGGAACTGCCACGTCAAGATCGGCAGTTGGCCAAGGAAAGCTACGAATACTATAGTGAACTCTTCTCTTTACTCAACCACCAGGAGATCACAAAGTCTACAAAACGTGTGATTGGTCGGCGCGTCTGAATAAGTATTGCGAGATTGACTAGCGGTCAAAGTCTTCGTAGACTTACTGGTAGGACGAACCTCAAGCAGACGGGGGGCGCGGAAGCGAGATGCAATGACCTTCGACGAAGCTATGGACACTGTCGGTAGAGGACCAATAGAGTATCACAGTAATGGCATTCCCATCTAGTAGAAACCTCGTCATTTTGCACCGTGAAAGAGGCGAACAACGGAGGAGACAGGGGCACTGAGATACTAGTGTGAGATCTGTGGATCGCGGTGTATTGCAAATTACGCTGTCAAGACTCGTATTGACACGGTTCCAGATATAAACATGATATAGACCTTTTTCTCAGACGGTATTTATTACTGTATCAGCCAAGATATTCCGAGATCCACTGATCGGCAGAATGGCCTTTAATTGTACGTGGGCGTGACAGTACAGGTATAAGATTCTTTCTTCCACCTCCTGGGGTGAACAATGGGATGCTGGTAAAGACTATTGTTTGAGTGATACCAAGCCCATCATGCGGTGGCATGCTTGTGTCAGGGACACCTGGTCTAACGGAGGGTAGAACCTGTAGATGGAGAGTCTGGTGAATCTTTGGCAAGCCTGGTATAAAAAGGAGCCCACCCAGATGTCCTGGGAAATCATGAGCATAGAGTCCCATGAAAGGGTTCAAATAAACCCAAACTGGCCTTCAAGGAGAATCTAAGACCTTTGATATTTAACAGGAGAAAGCCTTCTCCGAGGCCACGGTGCACGGCGGTTTACTGATATACTTCAGGTGATGTCGCCCAGCCGAGCCCGTATGGGGACCTTGTCATTTGTCAGTCCCCGTTCCATCATTGTTCGATCGATAGTCCTGGAACTGAAGTCATCCTCCTTTCTAATGCAATGTCTAAGTACGGAACTTGGGCTAAACCATGTTGCATTTGTCGTCCATTCTCTACCAATCTCAGCGTACCAGCATTTAGCAAGATTATTCCATCATCCCGGCTGAGATATATCAGTCATCTGGAGTGTTGAACCGACCTCAACATGGAATGCAGTATCCAATAATCACTGATATCTACAGTATGTTGGACATCGCAAGATATAGAAGGGGCTCGAGATGGATATTAACAGCGGCTATCATCATCCGGGGGCGAACCAGCAAGCAACACCTCCATTAAGCATATCATAAGCGGAGAAAGTGACAATCAGAAGCTCGATGGAGGTCAGTTGCAAACCGGATCGGACTCGTGCCAAAAGCTTATACCTGTACTCTGATCAGCAATCACCTGGCTCGGACCTTGGAAAACCCTTGTAGACCTTGTCCTCTGCCCTTTTCTCTTACGCTTGGACCGTGTAATGCGTTTCTCTGTTTCAGTCTTGACTATTGCGTCTTGTTGTGTCTGCTTCCCTCTCACGTGGGGTTAGCAGGGAGCAAACAACAGTCGCTACCGATTGCTGGGGAATTTACAATCCGACTGGGTGGACGAACTTAAGCGAAGTTTCCGATTTTTAACCAAGTAGATCTGGGCGTTTCGACTTGGGTTTGCTGGCTATTAATCTTCGGTCCGAGAGGCCCCAGTGGGGGAGGATCATCGAATAGTATTGGGGGATAAGGATGATCGCCTCCGTTTCGCCAGGCTCGGCACGCCGATCGCAACATCGATAAATTGCTTTTAAGGGTCATGATTGCCATTCAAGGAAATTCCGCCAACGATGGGTGCAGACTCAACCTTTACTTGAAACGCTTCATCTGAGACGCTTAGCATGTGCCATGACCTTGTCTCTCGGTCGCGCTGACATTCGCGGAGAGGTTGACACATAAATGATGCCGCGAGATGTGCCAGTTCCGGGGGGGAACAGAATAACCCCAATCGAACGTAAGAATGGGATCTCTATGCAGGCTGGTGGCTGTAAGTGCGTCGCTTTTCGCGGTCGCTACAGCCCAGATCAGGGTTCGTTTGAGCCCGTCCACTGTTAACGTCCTCTCTGAACCCGACTTTCACACTTGGACTATTGAAAACGAAAGTCAGAATGCGTCCATGACGGTTGACTCTCTCGATTTTACCTTGTCCGCCTCGTCCAATTCAGACTTAGAAGGCAACAGCTACAAATATCAGTATACCCGGCCCGTCTCCCATCTCGGAGAAAGAGTCGTCAACCAAGGGATTACCACCTCCAGTGATAACCCCGGACCCATTACGTTGACCATCCAAGGCCTGGAGTCAGGGGAGCACACTCTCTTGACCTGGCATAATGCTTGGGACTCTTTAGATTCCACTGCACTCATTTCTGTCTCGGTGGGCGGTGAAGATAAGGCTTCAGTATGTCGTTAGAAGCCAGATACAGCCGTATGAGCGCTTACATGATGTGTGGTTCTAGGACATCAAGCAGTCCATTCGAGTCGACAATATTTGGGAGGCCGCAACGTCTTATGTGACATTTACCGTAGACTCCGCCGATCAAGGGGTAGAAGTCGTATACACTCCCTCCGGCGCCGACGGACTTGTTTATCTCAATGGCTTCGAAATTGACACGCCCGCCTTGAAAGATCAAATCTCATTCCCTTCTCCACCGCATCGTGACGAGCACCTTGAGCTCGGCGATGAGGAGAGTATCACAGCAACCTGGAGAGCATCATCTTCTGGGGATTCAGTCACTTACAATGTCTATATGGGAAATTCGTCTGATGCCCTAAATGTTGTCAAAGAAGGGCTGAGCGAAACGCAGGTCGTCCTATCAGGTACAGTAACCTGCCCCAGTGCAATTTTCGACAAACTCTAACATAGCCAGGGCTAAACACAATGGACACTTTCTACTGGCGTGTTGATGTGGTCTCTGGGGAGAGTACATACACAGGTCGGACATTCATGTTTCGGCTCGCGCAATTGGCATTCCCGGGAGCCGAGGGATATGGGTGAGTTCTAACGCAGAGCTAAGGGAAGCGATAATGGTTCAAATAATAACATGGAACAGTCGCTTTGCTCGTGGTGGTCGCGGTGGTAAAGTTATCAAAGTCACCAGCCTGGAGGACAGCGAGGAGCCAGGGACACTGCGTTACGCGCTGGCCGTCGCGACTGGTCCCCGGATCGTCGTATTTGACGTGGGTGGAGTCATAACGATCGATTCACGTCTAACGGTGAGTGACAGCTATGTGACCGTGGCCGGTCAAACGGCACCTGGCAAGGGCATCGCCGTCCAAGGCCACCCATTAGGTCTCTCTGGTGCATCCGATGTGATCTTCAGGCATGTGCGGGTCAGACCTGGGACTAGCTCGAACGAAACGGTCGATGGCATGGGCATGGCGGGATCGAACTACTGTATTCTTGATCGCTGTTCAATGGTGAGCTTTTCATACCTTCAAGACCGTTGTGCCTAGGGAATAACCAAAGCCATAGGGATGGGCAATCGACGAATGCTTCTCGTCACGCACTGCCCATAACATCACCTTTCAGCGCAACATGATTTCAGAACCTCTCAACGTCGCTGGACACAAGAACTACCCTGCTGGGACAGCCCATGGGTATGCAGCAACCATTGGCGGCGATGTCGGTTCCTTCCACCACAACCTGATTAGCCATGCGGAAGGCCGGAGCTGGAGCATGGGTGGCGGTGTCGACGACAACTCGACCTTCGCTGGCCGCCTCGATATTCGAAATAACGTGGTGTACAACTTCGGTATGGCTGTCCGTTCTACCCCGTCTACCCTGGCTAATAACTCAGTAGGCTCTCGTGTCACCGATGGTGGTGCTAAGGAAGTGAACTTCGTTGGCAATCTGTACAAGCAGGGCCCTGCTAGTGAACTAACATATGATCTGAAAGCTACGGTGAGCGATCTGTGTTCGATTGATGCATTATGATATGACTAACCAGGGTGGGTGATACAGTACGAGGATAACCTGCCTGGAACCCAACAGTATCACTGTACTGGGAACTCAATGCCCGACGTATTTGACCAGGATTCCGTTCAATACCCACCTGGAGATGGTACAGGACAGACCTCTAAGATCGCCTGCTTTGCCGACGTCAGTATTGATCCGGCGCCTGAGTACCAAAAATTCTTCGATGAACCGTACGTCCTGGGTCTTTATTAAATTCCCCTTTTCTCTCCTTTCATTTTTCGATCACAACTGCTAATGAAAATCCTAACAATAGTTTCTTTCCCTCGTACATCGAAGAGCATACCTCTACAGAGGCGTACAAGCGTGTGCTCTCTGACAGTGGTGCGAGTCAGCCCGTGGTCGATGACCATGACAAGCGTATCATCCAGGAGACACTGAATGGAACCGCCACGTACAGCGGCTCGAAGACCGGAAAGCCCGGACTGATTGACAACGAAGCGGATGTAGGTGGACTCGAAGAATTCTCAACCACTACGCGGCCGACAAGCTGGGATGCGAACGACGATGGTATTGCCGATTGGTGGGACGGTTCCACTGGTGGAGATGGCTATACGACCATTGAAGGCTACATCAATTTTATGGCGGACCCACATGTGTTTGTGGCACCAGGAGCATCGGTCCAGTACGATTTGGCCGCTCTGGCTGGCGGATTTTCTAAACCAGCTTTCGAGGTATCCGGCGGGGAGTTAGGCTCAGTCTCTGCAGCAGATACAGTGGCAACGTACACTGCCGGTGACAAAGCTGGGGTAGACCGATTCAATGTGACCATTTCAGATGACGAGGGCAGTACATGGGAGAGGTCAGTGGGCGTCGCGATTTTTGAGGGCGCTGATTCTGTGGAATGATAGCAAAGCGAGGCTATCAAAGAAACTCGATGGTTTACAGTGATGCTCTACCGGACTTGTATCAACTGGTGTTTACAATCATAAGCAGCTATGTACAATTCAAGTATTCAAATGAACTTTCGTAAATTCAACGATGGTTATAAATAGTATCCAACCCTCTAGTCATCAGTGCAGCTTTATGGTGTAATGGTTTCCATTACTCAATCTAGTGGATGAGGCTTTCGATCGTCATGAAGTTGTTCCTCTCATAGTTCAGTTCTACCTCACTATCTAAAGATAACTATCTAAAGATATGCTCAGCATGTGACCTGAAGACATGTGACATATGGCGATTGTAAGTTAGATATTGGACTGCTGGACATCAAAGCCATATCTTAAAAAGGTCACCACTCTCTAATTAAAAGATCGCAACTTGCGACAAGTAAGCTGAGACAGGTTCTGAAATCATCCTGTTGCTTTGACCGGACATTGCTTCTCCCTTGGCAAATGTCGATAGTGGGTCGACGGAACTTGGGCTTGACTAGGTGCTAATCGAATCGACTTTACATGTTCAAAACAATGAACATTACATATCCTGGGGCATCCCATCTGATAGCGGAGGTCCGACATAAACTAAAAGAAGTTAGCAGAGGAATGCTCTCGTTTTGAGAAAGATGCTATACCTTTCCTTGCGTGAACTATATACCATAAAAAGGCCAACGTCGTGAAGCCTGCGAAGACCACCGACGCATAATTCATGGACACGGGTGTGACGGGCAAGGTGGAAGGCATACTGAATAGGACGAGCTCAAAGGCAATCCACGCTAGAGCGATAAGGTTCACCATCGTTCCTACCGCTCGCCCACAGTTCCATCTTGCTTTGGATACTTCGGAGCGCTTGTTGTAAAATAAGGAAATGCTGATTGGAATTGAATAGGTGATAGCCAGAGCGATCACACCAACCGAAACAAACGCAGTAAAGGCACTGCTACTGCCCAGGTTGATCAATCCCAAGAGCATTTGTACTACGGTCACCAGACCCAATGCCCATAATGGGACGCGGAGACGATCATCGACCCGAGAAAACAGCCTCGACATGGGGAGGGCCGTATCTCGAGCGAGGGCCCAAGTACAACGAGATGCGGCGTTGGTAATGCTGACGGAACAGAAAAACCCGACGACAAGAAGAAGAGAGACGAGACCGACGGCACCCGCCCGCGTCCCCATTACCACCTGAAACACATAGGGAATCGGTTGGCCGCTTGGTGCGTTGGTGATGTCGACCAGTCCGGGGAGAGTGACACAAAGAGGGATCACAAAGAAAAGGCCAGCGGTGCCACCGACGGGGATGCAGAGGGCCATGGCCTTGGGCACCTTGATCGCTGGTGCATGTACTTCCTCTGCCATCGAGGACACCATCCCGATCGCCGAGAAGACAAAGGCCGGGGGTAGCAGACCGATACAGAATGAAAAGTTTCCCCAGCCGGACAGGGAGGGATCATACAGCGCGAGTGCATCGGAGGGAGAGTGCCGGCCCGCTTTGGCGGAGACCGAGACTGCTACTAAAACTACCAGGATGCTCACCAGAGTCCAACCTGCACAAAGGGTGTCTACAAGGGGAAGAAAGCGGTTCCCGAAACCACATATCAAGAAGGCCAGGATACAGATGGCGTAGAGGACCAGAAGGAGCTGCCAATCAGTGGCTTCCCAGCTGGAATAGATTGACACCGTGGCCACTAGGAGTTGCGCAAATGCGAAATTGACCCCGAGGGTGATGGTCCAGTTCCCGATCAACCACACCCACGCTGTCATGAATGACAGGAGCTTAGCATGTTTCCCGGATAGCTGGAAGGACCAGTAGTAAGGACCGGCGGAGGTGGGATATCGAGAGGCTAATTCGGCGAGCGACATGGCCACGCACTGATCCATGAGGCAGACCACAATCCAGCCGACAAAGATTGAGAGCTGACCACCGCCATAGATGGCTTGCATGAGTGCACCACTTTCAGCGAAGGGAATTCCCGCAATCGACAGCGATTGGAACAGGAGAGTAAACAGCGAGCGGTTTCGACGGAGTTCCGAGGGGATATACCCCAGCTCCCCAAGCGCTTGATCCGGGTCATCTTGGAGCTCCTCCAAGGGTTTCTCTAGGTAGGTCTTATCGGACATTTTAGGGTCACGATCATGAAGAATACAACATGAGCATCATGCTCACGGACTCTGGGGGCAATACATATCGGATACATATATATCGCAAGTGCCGTAGGGGTATGTAAGGGCCAGGTCACACACTCCTTCTCGTTCTTGCCTATCAAATCCGCTGTCCCTGTCATTGGTCCATCCGGGGGCCAGATACCAATACATTGTCGAGAATAATGTACAAAGACGTCACTTGCAGATTCGCATAGTTTGGGGAGGCGGTAAATATTGCGCGATTAGGTCAAGAACTTAAGATAGCGTCGCGAAAACGCGGGGAGAGCTTCGCATCCGAGCTTCCCGATCTGCACTCCGCAAGGAATAGAGCCTCGCCTAAACCCTTTGGGGGAATGTTAACCTTGCAAACTTTGGAATCTCCCCTCATTGTCTCCACTTCTGCACCACTATCGGCTCCTTGCGATTGGATAAGATCAGCCCAGTTGCGATTGGATACGTCACCAAAACTTCGACATCCAGTGTCATGGTTGAACACGAGCTTGGCGAATATACATTATAACCGGCCTAGTACTTAATGTTCGCACTGCCCAACAAGAGAAGAAAGAGAAGACAGTGCTCCATCAGTCGTCGTTGTATAAATAAACCTAGAAAACATGTAGTACGCAACATAGCCCAAGCAAAGAAAGTTGAACTGCATCTCAGGCAAAGGTGGAAATATGACTGGCCTACTGACTGAGGGACGGTTAAACAGTCTGGATTGTGTAAAAGAGTCAAAACTTGGGAATTCTGACCGCGTGAGTGAACCTTTCTACGGGCAGGTACGTTGCAAAGATGAACTGTGTAATTCTTCGACGTTATAAAGTCTTGAAGTCTAATGCCATGGTTTTGCTCACTGAGAAGTATCAGGGCACTCTTCCAAGAAGTCTTGGTATGTTCGTGGAGGGTGTCCGGTCCATTCCTCAACAACTGTATTTAACGCAGGCTCGTATCTACAAGAGTTATACATCTGGGAGAGTGTAGTAAGTGTGTCGGCTAGGAATTCTCCCATTCCAGCTTTCATGAATCGTTCCTTGGCCTCAGAGTAGGAAACCAGATGGTATCGGATCTCCCGGCCAAGGTGTCTGGAGATCAGTCTTGCACAATCCGCATACGAGAGTGGCTCGGGGCCGTGAATGACTAAAGTCTCACCGCGATGTTGGGCATGGGCGACAACAGCGGCTGCAACCTCGACAACGTCCCGTACATCTAGCATGAATATACCAGCTTCTGATGTGACGGAAGAGGTCATGGTACTGTTGCGACCAATCTCCTCAGCGAAAGCCATGCTTGTGGTCTGCATAAATGTGTGTGGCTCCAAGATGGTATACGGTATTCCACTGGCAGCAAGGTAAACTTCTATGGCGTGATGCTGCCGACTAAGCAACAAGGGCGAGTCTTCTGCGGCTGTCCAGGCGGATAATTGGGTAATGCCGTTTACGCTTGCGTCTTTCGCCAGGTCGATGATATGGTTCTGGACTTCAAGCTACTCTTCAGACGGTGCCATTAACAGGAATAGCTGGTCCAAGCCCGTGAGAAATGTGTGGAGGCCGACATCGTTGGTGTAGTCTCCAATTTGGACCTCAACATGAGGGAGAGCAAGCTGCGTTGCCGCTTTAGAGTGGTGAACAAGCGCACGAGTTGCATGTTCTTGACCGCTCAGCTTCGATACCAGTAGGCTGCTAATCGTACCAGAGGCTCCAAGAACGCCGATCATGGTTTGATGGTGTTTAGAAGCCGTTGCAGGAGTTGAATGGAAGGAAGATTTGATGCTGGTGAGCTACCGTTGGAAACTTGAAAAGAATTAGGCAGAGGGCGAGATCGGTATCAGATTCATGTAGACTGAGAAGGATTGCGAGCATCATGAGGCATAATCTTCGTTCTTATACATTTGGAGAACCAAGGTACAATCTAGGCATTACAGTTCGATGGCATGACCAGCAGGGTCCAGCCCCCTCACCCTCGGGCTCCAGACGGGACGAGGATGTGCAGGTGTGATTGATCGGTCCAGTGTGTTCATGAGACAACCCCTGCTCCCCAGAAACGGACCACCTGCAATCCTTTATCCTTCATTTCCGAGTGACATTAGCCATAGGCAGTTGTATTATGAATTAGTACGTAATCTGTCGGTGTCAAATCCCCGGAAATAAAGATCATTCGCGGGGTACCCCAGTCTCTGCTCAGAGACATTGGGATACCATGGGTTCCAAGACTTATACTAAACCTCATATAGTATAGCTCCTGTATATTAATATAACTAAAGTTAGATCTAAGTCTCGCCATGGGTCAGGTTTGATTCAAATATTAAAACCTGTACTAGAGTTGATTGGGTTCTCCACTAAACCCGACCCGATATCAACTCTAGATACAGTAGTGGTTCTTGCTGTTACAATGTGCGGGTGCTCTTTGGATGAATTATCTGACTGCAGATGTATGGGAACAAATAATATAAGACGTCACAATCTTAGTCGGGCACCTATCGGCTCCTGGGCTTTTCTGTCTCAGCGGACCCCGACCATGGATAGGTGTAGTGGGAGTGGTGTGACCGTTAAGCCATGCATATAATAGGTAGCCAGCCGCCATAGTTAATCTAAGCAGACTAGGCTCTTCAGTTGTCCAAGAGCCGTACCAGCCGGTAGTATAGGAATGTACAACGAAACGACGTGATCAACGACTATCGGGATTTGACCTACTGGGCTCGATATAGTAGCCGTGTGACGACCTACACCCGCTTTACAATAGCAGGCCTATGTGGGCCGGACATACCGATATATAAAGTATTATCGCACAGTGGCAGGTCACACCATGGAATCCTCAAGTTTGAATCAATCGCTCTCCCGTTTGACTATTACAAGTGGGCTAGAAAGCGACCTACGCCCCAACAAGCCTGCTTCTCACGACCACCCGGTCCGCGAGGCTCCGGAATACAGATTTGCCAACATGACCGCCGGTAGCGTTGACAGTGCGGTACGCACGTTGCACCTTTCACATAAACTGAAAGAGGCCACGGTCGTCGTGCGGGACTTCTTGCGACGTGAACCGAACCATCGGGTGTTACAGTATAGGCATGCTTACTTGTTGAAACAGCTGGGTGCCAATGCTGACGCCCTCGTGGCCTACGAGAAATATCGTGCTCTGTCCACCAGGACCCCGGTTGGGGCGTTGCTTGACATCGCTGAGTGCTTTTTGGACGAGCAGGATTACGCCAATGCTTTAACAACGCTCAACGAAGCATGTCTCAATGAGCGCAGGGGTCTAATCATTGCGAGTCAGGCTCTGCGCTTCTTGGGACGTCCTGCAGAGGCAGAGGCGTACTGCTTGCGCTTGCGGAACCGCGGCAGCTTGTCCGATGAAGAAGTCGCGGAGTATGGGTTGTCGCTTTTTGAGCAAGGCAGGGATGAGGAAGCGTTGTCCTATTTATCTGGACATCCTGAGGTTGAGCAGCTTGCCGTGCTCCTCTGCAGCTTGGGTCAGCACGAAGAAAACATCAACACGTACAACTTGGCATCCGTTGCCGAACGTCCCAGTTTGGCGCGTTGGCTGGCCATCAGTCACGCTGCCCTGGGAAATTGGCCCGACACAGAGCTACTCGCACATGTGGGACTTGACAGGAATCCGGAGGACCAAGAGCTTTTGAGCCTCCTGGAAACGGCGTTGGCCAACCAGAATGCCGGGGCGGGCGATGCTGAAGCGCGCATGCGTGCGCACCTAGCGCACGTCAACGCCAGCGAAGCGCTAGAAGATTACCTTGTGGCACTGGCAAAGCGCGCTGGGGCAGCCAAACCATCCTGGGAATTTGTGTTGGCGTATGCCGACTATCACGGTGCCCGTAAAGCATTACCCCTCTATGAAGAACATTTCAGTGGAGCCACTGATGCCGGGTACCTGCTGCATGTGGGCGAGCGGTTGATAGATTGGAGTGTGTTTGAAGTTGGCGCATCCATGGCTTCCCTTGGAACAATGCGCGATATTGTTGACGGCGCTGCGTTGCTTAGAGCCGCAGCGAACAAACAGTTTCTCGGCCACCGCAGTGAGGTGCGCCGCGAGCGTCTCGAGGATCTTTTAAAGACGTTGGATTCCCATGGAGCCATGTTGGCACAATTTCGCACCTTGACGACGCCGGTCCCCGACGACGCAGGCTGCGCGGAGCACCTTGTAGCCGGCGCGCGAATCAGTGCCTACTACCGAGATTACAGCGCAATGCGAGACTGTCTCGCGGCCGCGATGGACTTGGGTGCAAATCCCGCCCTGCTCGTGGAACTCGGAATGCCTGGTGCGGCCCCGCGAGCACGCCACCCAGATGAGCAAAAAGCCCTGGACGTGGGACAGGCGTGGATGGATGCGGGCTTGCCCATCGATGCAGGTATTCTTGCGTCACTCTATGCACGCGCCTGGAAGGACAGTGCTGAGCTTCAGGCAATGGCGGCCCACGCCTATTTCGCCGTGGGAGACTACGCCACGGCGCGAAAGCATTTCAGTGCGCTGAAGGACCTGCAATGCCTGGCGTTTTCCATAGAAGACGGCGGTAAACTGGCTGAGTGCCATGTTGGTTTAGGGCAGTACCAAGACGCCTACGATGTCCTAGCAACCTATCCCCTGGTGTTTGACCGCCGCGCTCGTTGGATGAAGTTTATCGCCTTATGGGAGCTAGGTCATGGATCGCTCGCGAATCAGCCTAGTGCGCCTTGCAGTGAATTGGAAGCGGCGGAGCACCGACGCATCGCCGATCTATTGCGCGCCCACGGTCATGTCAGACAGGCCGATGAGGAAAGCGAATACGAACCCAGAATAAAGGATATTATCAATGTCAGCGCCAGCGAAATACCGCCAATCGCAGATTCTTCGCCAGTAATGATTGCGCGCTTGGAAGCAGATGTCCAATCCAACGCCGCCGCGCGCTGCTACGTGCAAAAGTGTATCCCATACCTCAGGCGGATCCCGAATCTAAAGACGTTCGTGTCGGAGTACACGCGGGCAATGATCACGCGGCGATCCTATGTGGAATTGGACGGTGAGATCACGGCCGTGAGTGGTAAAGAGGGCAACAGTCGTATGGTGGAGATAGCCATGAGCGTCGCACCCCCCACCCTCGCATTGCTACATGCCGCCGTATGGAATACAAGCGATGGTGCAAAGTATGGCAAAATGATCGCTGACTGCCACGGCGACTTTGAACCGCTTCTTAAACTTCATCGCCAAAGCTTTTCTGGCAAGAAGCTATACCTGGAGACCTTGCAAGTGGCCGCGCAGCGGTATCCGGACCGCTACAGTCGTGCGCTCAAAGAAGCCACCAAAGAGCAGAAAAAGGACGACAAAGAGATGAGGAAGCTAGAAAGGGCTCGAGAGAAAAGCCGGAAAAAAGCAGAGTTGCAACGTCTTCGGCATCCTTTACCAGCCAATTATCCTGAGATGATGATCCTGAGTGAAAATGCGACCAGGGCCCATAACAATGAACGGTTTCTTGTATATGGTAGCGGCCGCCCTGAGTGAGGGAATCTCTCGCCAAATTAGTGCTATACATCCTTCCTTTCGGCTAAAGAAGCAATGAATTCGAGCCAAAGGGATGTCCATCCGCTCATAAGGTACGTACACTCTGCTGGCGGACAGATATGCATCCATCCGTGTAATGATATGATCTTGGTTGATTTGGTTATAGCCAGGCAATACTGATAGCGGAGTGCGGGCTGACTTTCCAATGTTCCTGCTAACCATGTTCCTATGCCTATAGGGCCCCATGGTTATGGTGCAAGACGACTACCACACTACCGCCATCGAAAGACTGAAAAGCGCAGGATTCGATCGAAGTATTCCAAATCGTGGTTTTCCTATGTGGGACGAGTCACTGATGCCATGGGTGTCTGGCAGGGCACCTTACATGGGCTAGTACCGTATGGCGCCAAATTCGGTGGTTCATAATAGCTAGTGTCGTCTAATATGTAGTGGGACCCTGTCTCACGTGCGAGTCAGGGAAATTATAAAGGTCGAGCTTCAGAATTGTGCCATGGTGGGTGCTACTTCGCTCAATTCTACTCGACTAGCTGTCGATCCAGTACTGGAGCAAGTGCACACGACAACTGTACCAGATCCTGAAAAGCCCAGTCGTTCAGCGTCACATGAAAAAGAAGTTCCACAAAGGATCAATAAGATTGAGAAGAATGGAGCGGCTGGAGTCGAGAAGGGCGAAGCTGCAGCTCTTGTCTGGAGTAAAAATGCTCTGTGGGCGATCTATGCCTGGTACACTATCTCCCTCTTCTCATGATCATTGGGGCTGCATGAAAAGTTAATAGCTAACGGCCCGGGATGTCTCCTAGGATCTGGGTATCCTTTTTCATGTTGGTGTTTCATTCTTCGATCGGCACCAATGTACTCGTGAACGCATATGCAAATTTCAAGACTGCTCCGGAAACTTCGACTGCGGCTATCTTAGCGACAGTGGTCGGGGGAGTGGGGAAGCTATCTATTGCCAAGATCCTGAAATATCTGGGGCTGAGTAGAGGGTATGCTGGTCTTTACGGGCTTGTTCCTGCTGGGGATTATTATCTTGGTGTCCTGCCACGGGCCTTGTGGTTATGCCGCCGGGTGTGGACTGTACTAGATTGGTTACAATGCTATCTATCTGATTCTTGATATTTTTATCGCCGACATGTCCGGGCTCTGTAATCGGGTATTTGCCTTTGCTTTCTCGAGTGTATCTTTTATCTATACTGTGTTCACCGGTCTGTTGGCCGCCCAATCCTTCTTAAATATAACTATATAGCGGTAGGCATATGGCGTGTTCGCTATTATCTTCCCTGTTATCTTTCTGCCCCTTGCGATCGCTTTCAAGCTTTATAAACTCAAAGCGAGAAAACTGGGCCTCTATACACCGAATAGCCCTGGTTGTACCTGGACTCATTCGATTCAATATTATATCCACGAGTTCGACGGTATGTAATGTCTTTTCCCGCCGCTCCTGTTATATTAACTGTTTATCTGGTTATAGTCGTTGGTGCACTTCTCTTAATGGCCATATTTATCCTTCTTCTACTTCCCTTCAGCCTCACGGTCTACAGACAGGCCCAATATAAGTCTGCGACATTTATTGCTATACTGATTATCGATTTTTATCTCTCCTTTGTTTTTATTGCCTGGGAACAATTCTTTATCTCTTAGCAATTTATCCGGTATGATCTACTAAAACAGCGAATTGTACTCGGTACATATATCCTCTCTGCAGTCCTCAATCTGGGCTATACTGTATAGGACCTCTATTTTCTTAACTTTTGTATGATGGTGTATAATCTCAGCGTCTTAAACAGAGGATATATAAATTAGATTTATAATATAGAATCTTACTTCTGAATATCCTTGTTCAGAATCTATATTTACCAAAGGAAATACTTTAATAATATATATCTTTTCTTTGAACTCTTCTTGATACTTCTCGGTTCCGAACTAATAATTTACTTCCGGAGTAAGCACGACCATAACGGTTATTCTGTAATATATCAGATTTTTATTACCTTTACCGGTAGTATACTAGTGATTAGACAAGATATAGCAGTACTAAGTATCGCCAATCATAACAGTATATCTATAATACTCTCTATCCTCGGTCTTTTTACAAGTCTTAGTAGTACAACAGAGAATGATATTGTATCTACGATCTATACAAATATCTTTCCGAGCCGGTTGCGGCAGAATTTTCCGATGGAGGTGAAAGATGACTGGGCCGAGATCTATCTCGGTGGCTAGTCTATAATATAGTTGACCTAGATATTCGGGTATTGAGAGGTCAAGTAATTACTGTCGACGTGTTAGTAATAGTCCTTTCTTTGCTATTGTCCTCTCCCTATCGTATTATTCCACTGTTAATCATATCGAACAATTTAGAATGCTAGGGTGGGGCCTTAACCATGACCATACCTCACGTGAAGACACTTGGATGTTGTAAAATATATATCTCGAAATCCTTGAAGTTGGAACAAAACTTAAGTCCAGGGAAATAGCGCGAACTTTGTAGCAACGTTCGTCTTCATAATTATGAAAAAGTTTCCTTTGTCTATAGAGACCTAAATTAATTAATTAATTATTACTTTTACTTTTTTTTTTTTTTTTTTTTTGGGGTAAATTCTCCGGAATTTAAATAAACAACCGTAGGTCCGCAGATATGATTGGATCCTCGTGATGCCGGTGTCAACCGGTGTCACGTGAATATGTTGTTTACTTTTACTTTTGACTCGGACTATAACAATTTCTCACTCCCACTCTCACTTTAACCACGGATTAAGGTCCCGTTCACGCACAGGATACCTACGCGATGCTGATTTCTTCCAGTTGTTCTTCTCCGATCAGAAGAGTAGTCACGAAAGTCTTTCAATTATCCATAGTACCAGAGACTCGGAGCCCAGCCCGAGTATGGCACCAACCCAGTCCCCGCCCAAGTCCACACGACCATAGGAATCTAAGCTTCCGGACAATCCACCCGTTCCGACTCATCCACACTGAGTCCGATTCAAACCACAAAAATGTACCTCCAACTCAACGATTGTTTGATTTATCCCTCAGCTTCTCGCGAACACCGCTGAGCGGCAATACGAACATGCGATACACGCGCTACAATGGCCATGGCGTGGCGATGCCCTTCAGCAAGCTGACGAAGCTCGACATTGTTAACAAATATGGTCTAAGCGCACGCGATCTGCGCACGCTTGATGTGCCATCCGATGGATTCCCACATATCCTTATCCGGGAATCCACCCTGCTGATCCATATGTTCAATCTGCGGCTGCTGGTGCAAGCCGACCAGATGCTGGTCTTTCACCTGGACGAAACATCTCCTCAAGAGTCCGATACGATCTCACGCGTCTTCCTCCGTGATCTGGAGTCGAAACTACGCGGCGACCCCGGCTTGGGAGTGTCGGTGGGCTTGCCCTACGAACTGCGCGTTCTCGAGGCGGCGCTGGCGGCGGTCACCTCCACTCTCGAAGCGGAGTATGTGCTAACCAAGGATCAAGTCATGCAGACCCTACGCATGGTGGACAAGGAGGAATGCGAGATTCATTCCAATTTACGAACATTATTAGAGCTGGTGCGAAAACTCGCGGCGACCGAAAAGCGCGCGCGGCAGGTCCGCAGTGCGGTTCAAGACGTATTGAATACTGATGAGGATATGGCTGCGATGTACCTTAGCGACAAACAAGCCGGGAAGCCTCACCATATGGAGGACCATCAGGATGTGGAATACTTGCTGGAAGCGTACTACAAGGCGAGCGATGCGGTCGTCCAGGAAGCGGCGAGCCTGATGGGAACGATTCAACAGACGGAAGAAAGTATACAGTCGATCCTGGATGTGCGACGCAACCAGATCATGGTGCTGGAAGCCAAAATCGAGATCCTGATGTTAGGAATGGCCGCGGCAACGCTTGTAGCGGGCTGGTATGGCATGAATGTCGTCAACTACTTCGAAGAGAGCGGCACGGCCTTTGCCGTGCTGGTTTCATCCTGTCTGGTCGCCATCGCCTTCCTTTCGCGATATGGCTTCCGGCAGCTGCGGAGGATTCAGAAGATGCATCTATAGAGCGACGATCTTTGGCCGCCACCGTGCCATACACAACTCGGGGTTTCCAAGGACAAGGACAGCATGCCGGAAAAATGGGCGTTTGAGAGAAACAACTTCAATACGCCAATGATTTTGGGGTCTCAAGGTGTATATTGAGCGGCATACTGCTTGGGCACAATCTACACATCGCAGGTTCAAGTTACGTCTTGAGCTTCCTTTAGACTATTCGAGAGGATTCTGGATCACCGCACTAATCATGAAGTGGGAGGGTTTGTTGTGTCATCCCTCAACCTCCGAGGTCAAAGTGTTAACGGTTTAACTTCTAGACTATCCACAAAGGTTGTAGGCAACAATAATCTAATAGTCATGTCTGGACAGAATGAGAGGGATTTCACTCGCGCCCCTTCCACAGGACAGTGGAATATTGGAAGACATCATACAGCTCTGGGTCGCTGTAGACAGTGATGCGGATGTCAGCGGGTACGATGCCATAACGCTGGCTACAAAGTGCGGCATTACTAGACATCTCGAGGACCTCCGAAACCAGGAACGCGACGACTCGAGCAATGCCCCTGACAGATTCCTCTTCAATGGTCACAAACTGACCGGCGACACGAGACTCTAGGAAATGCTTGACCTTGCGACTCATATAGTCCGCATCGAAGTTAGGAATTGGCTCTGCACCCGATTGTGTTAAGCAGCAGTGGCAATAGATATTCAGTAACTTTCCCGCTGTGGGCTTTCCGAACAGAGCATCGGCGATCAGCGAAGGCGTCCTGAACGATACAGAGGGAAAGACAAGTCGCTCCAGATAGCTGAGGATAAGCTCATTGATCAGGTCAACCACGCGATCCTTCCAAGGGTCGACAAAAACTGCAAGTTGCCGGGTTTGATTCGCGCTGGTCTCGATACAGACGCCTTGACTGGTCGCTATCTCTGGAGGCACATGTGGCATAAATGGGTGAAGTCGTAACGCGTCAAGTTCCTGCGCCCGAAAGATGTGCGCTCCCGGGGGATATGGTCCAAGGCAAGCGGACTCTGGTGGGGGTGGCGGGCAAAGAGAAATCATGTCGGCGTTGTCCGGAGGCGCGGAATGCATCTGCAATAACTGTAACCCCGAGAAGTCAAAGCCCTCCCGAAGCCGCCGCTCAAACCGTTCTACATCTGTCTCTGGCTTCCGTAGAGCGCGACTGTGCCCGACAAACGATGTTTGAGTGAAATCGGTGCTACCGGAGAAGAAAAGAAAGGAATGAGCAACGCGGTCGTCGTTGAAACCAAATCGGCCGAACTTGTACTCGGCCATTGGAATTCGCATCCACACTCCAGCTTCGCATCCGCGCCGTCCATCCGGCGATTGTACCTTCCAAGCTGCAACTTGGCTCTTCGCTTTGGCGTAGTCCACAACACCGACTGCTTCAGAGGCCTCGACGTCCACACTTCTACACTCTAGATATGGCCCGTCCGACTGTTCATTGACCTCATCCTGACCGCGAGCATCGTAGTAGCCCCAGTCATACCGATTGATCACTAGCACACCCGCCGCGTTGGTCTTTTCATTGTTCATGGTACTGCCACAGTCGGGTTCGTAAGGAGAACCCGAAACGCGAAGGATCCGCGCAATCTCCCGGTCGGGGTCAACGTCAGAGTGAGATAGAAACCAACCCGAAACCATTTTGGTCTCAATGTCAATCAGATGGAAGGCTTGCCACCGTCCGTTTCGCGCAGGAATGTTAAATTCCAGATGATGTGCTGTCACGGTCCCAGACCGGTCAGGCTGAGTGGTAGGAAACTCTTGGATAGGCACCAAGCTACCGGACCATATGTTGTGTAGTTCGCCGAAGCATAAACATCCTGATTCTATAGAGAAGGTCGCGTAACTTTGAGGAGTGGCTGTCATAGTGGTGGGTGAATCTTTGGTTAATGTACCAAGGGCTCTAGAAGCCAGCAATCAGGCCACGTACTCTTACGAGATGCAGGCCGCTGGTCACATCCTGGTAGTGAAAGGTTGTTCAGCGAACTGACGACTAGGAAGTCCCGCTGTGGGTCATATTTAATGCCAAGAGAGCCGTCTGGTTAATGTCAGTCTGAGTCGATCTCATGAAGTGGGAAGCGAAGGTAGAAGGTCTAAACCGATGGAGAGGAAATCACTGCGTGTCACTGAAAGGTCTCTGGGAAATTTCCGACTGCTTTGATCCCAAGAGGGAATGAAGATAGGTCGGAGTAGGCTATATGGAGGAGGTTCTGAGTTGCGCTTCCTTCTAGTATGTATGTATATGATGATTCTAATGGTATCACAGTGATCAACGACAAGCATCTAGTACGTTAGACTGCACTTCTACGCACATTATTCCATTCAGCTGCCCTTTCACAACCCCCTATCTATCTTTTTTCTCATCAATATGATGCTTCATTCAGTGACTAGACTAATACTATGATGGGACCCTAAGGTCTCCCACGCAAACACTTCAAAATCCGTAATTGCTATTAGACATCAGTATTATTTTTTGGGTCCAACAATAAAGTCAGTCCCATACCTCCTAAAAAAAATATCGCTCGGAGGTCTGACTCGAAAGTTATAATTCTCCTTCACTGCTACACAGTTGAGAAAATGCCGAGGTAAATCAGCCTCTAAGAATGCTCGGTAATAGGCCTCTCTGCTAGGAGGATGTGGATGCCAAATGGTTTCCATGCGTCTCCAGTCACTCGCATTTCCCTCCTCCCAGTGATATGTGCAAGCCCTGCAGTAGGTGCCTGGCTCCAAGATTTGGGTCCGGACGTCCCAGTATGGAAATGTCGCTGTCGCCTGGATTCTCCATGAAGGCTCCTCACTGGCCTCGTCCTCGTCCAGTGATGTAGGCCTCAACCGGCGCCGGGGACGCCCACCAGTGTGGGTTCCTTGACGCCTGTGTTTTTCCCATTGCTGGACCCGACGCTGATAATCTCTTTCACGCTCCTTCAGACGAGTCTGGTATGCCCGCTCCATTTCCTTTTCACCCCCATGGAGCTCTATACCCAAGGCCTTTGCCTGAGTAACATCCACTAAGCGGGGTCGATGCCGTTCAATGGGGTGAATAATTGGGAGCGATGATTGACGAAGATCTTTTTGAGTTACTCCAAACCGGAAACAGACATCACGCATGGGTTCGACTTGGTAGTCGGGTCGGAGAAAATTGCATTTATAACAGGAACGGGTCAGTGTTGGGAAATAAAGAAGAGGCCCGAAATCAGTACATGTCCGGCACCAGGGATAGCAGAACTCAGTAAAAAGCCAACCGATTGGGAAATATGAAGAGCACTTGATAATATCCATGACCCGTAGCGTATCGGAGGCCAAAGCCCTCAATAAGGAGTAGGCAGGAAGCGATTCGACTAAACGCCTTCCTCTCCTACTCACCCGACGTAACATCCCTAGACTGGGTAGATCAAGATTGAGAAAGATCAAGTGGAGGATTTCGAGTGGAAGCTGATCAATCAGAGGTGTATACTTCCAATTGATTCTTGATTTCTTGTCCGGCGGAGCGTTGTATAATCTCACATCTGAACTGAGCTGGAAATCAAGGGTTTCTCTGTACGGCCTCTGGCACCGAAATGCTCTGCCTGAAGCCATGTTGGTATTCGAGTGGATTTGATATCATGAACCAGATGCATGATAAAATAAACAAAATACTGTCCTCCCTCTCTCCTGAAGTTGTCCCGGCTCCTCTCTCCAGTGTTAGCATCACAAATACGTCTACAAGGCACGATCCTGGGACGGTGGCCGGTAGGAGGTGGTTCCTTGGTTGAATGAAAGGGGGATTATGGTAAAGGACAAGCTGTCTATTAAAAATGGGGCACTTTGACCCTTGTGTCAAATTCCTGGACAGTGATTTGTACTTAATAATTACTATCTTAACTCATCATCACTCTCATCATCCTCATCCCCCGCATCGTTTCCCCCCTCCCCCTCTTCTTCCCCCTCTTCTTCCTCCTCTTCTTCCTCCTCTTCTTCCTCCTCTTCTTCCTCCTCTTCTTCCTCCTCTTCTTCCTCCTGCTCTTCCTCCTCTTCTTGCTCCTGCTCCATCCCCTATTCCTGTCCCTGCTGCCCCTCTTGCGGCTGTATATTGGCCCCTCCTCCCCCTCCACCGAGGGCTCTAACTGGCTGCCACGGGCAGCCATCCTCGTGATCATAGGTCACTGTGGCCACCCGTCCAACTAGGTGGTTGGGGCAATAGTTGCCCACGGCCCGGGGTTGCGGCGCACCAAGGTGAGCGCATTTGCTGTTCGTCCCGTCTTCGTCGACATTGAATAAACGGGCCTCGTACCGAGCACCCGCAAGAGTACTCTTCCCTCAGATAGAAACACCTCCGATATATAAGACAACATGCAGAGACGATGGGGTTTGTCCGACTTACATAGCTAGTTTGATTTCGAATTTGCGTTGCTATTTTGGGTTAATTCTTTCAATTGAGTATTCCATGGGCATACAACTTACGAGCGTTATGATGTAATCTTTTGCACGTAAAGGGAGAAAGCTGGGAAGCATAGTGACTACGATGCCTTAAACGAATTGTATTTAATATAGGGCCTTCGTAGATGGATTGTACCTTCCATATTCTGTGGAATACAAATGGTTCATTAAAGGAGGCAGCCGCGAACATGGACACTGCCATCGGACGCCCAAATTTGTGGATATGAGTACAAGTAAGATTAACCGAAGAAGGAAGGCAAGCCTTGGTATCCTGTTGACCCTCTTGTCGATGAGGATTCCGAGGTGCCTTGCACAGTGGCTCCGGAGATCTTGATGGTGTAGTCCAGCCCTAGCTGAACCTCCTCAGTGAGCTTGAAGGCATTATACTGGTAGAGTGTCTTGGGGGTATTGGCAATCACGACACTGGCTTCTTCATTGCTCGTAATGGTAGCCGAGCCTGACCCATTCTCGAGCGAGACATACCGAACAGTGCCCGTGTTGGTGTTGCGGATAGCAAGCGTTGCAGAGAATACTCCGTTAGATGTAATAATAACTTGAACGTTGCCGGCTCCAGTGTTGCTGAGGGGGATGATGTTGGCACCCATGTACTGTGGCTTGCGAGAAGACTTGACCACATAGGCACCGTCGCCTTGGGAGTCCACATTCGCATAGTTGAGGCCGCTCCTCTGGTTGAGGAATGCGTTCTGAGCAATTGCGTGGCCGATATCCACATAGGCCATGCGAGCCCAGTAGCGACCGACGATTTCCTGGACAGATGCGGCCGTCGAAACGCGTGCAAGGGTATGGAGAGGAGTTTCATTGCTGCCCTTCTCATATTGTTCGAACAGCTGGCGAACAGCATCGCTGCCCAGACCCGCATAGTTGTCCGGGTTGTTGGTCAAATAGGTCAAGAATGGCCACGCCTGGTAGTAGTTGCCACTCCCCGTCGAGCCATCCACAATGACCTGAAATGAGTCTCCGATCACTTTGTTGAGCTCGATCATACTCTCGCCCGTCGGTTGGTTGTAGTTGGACCTTGCCTTGGCACATAGTGGAGAGGTGTTAAATGTATCGGCTACCCAATTGGCGACTGTTTCCCACCATGCACCTGTCGCGGTCTGGTCCACCCAGTTCCGACTGTGATAGGTGAGGGCATGACCATACTCATGGACGGTGACTCTCGGATCCGTGAGTGAAGATGGAATCACCTCCAGCCAGCTGAGACCGGTGTTAGGGTCAGACTTCTGCACGCCTGCGGCACCGCCCAGATCATTCACTTCGTAAACATTTTCCTTCCACAGTGTTGTCACGGTGTTGGGTTCCGCGTTATATGGGATTCCCGAAGTCGTCCACCCGAGGTCACCGACATAGCAGCTATAGGCAGCTTCAAGAATGGTTAAAACCGCGTCTGCATTGCTCTGATCCGACGAGTAGAGCCGGAAATGATCGGAGTCCTTGTAGCTAGTTCCTCCGGGGCCAACATTGGGATTAGCCGTGAATGATGTTGGCTGAGCACCAGAACTCGCTTGCGGGGCCGGGGCTGCAGAAGCCTGAATTGCCGACAAAAGAAGTATCGGAATGATCTGTTTCTTGGACGCCATGGTGTTCGAATAGAAGGAGATAATGGCTTATTGCCTTCGTGTAGGCGCCAGGTCCCCATTTATTTATACTTATCCCGGTAGTTCGAAACGCAGGATCCTTAGAGTGCCAAGAATCACTTGAAGCAGCAATGGCGGTGGTCGATCACCTGCTTCAGGGACCAACATTAGTTTGAGACATTTCAAGACAGCATGTCCTACCGTGCTCCTCAACCGCAGTACCCGAGGCCGGATCTATCTGTTCAAGCGTCTTGGCCAAGGAGGAGCAATAATCGAACGGCGTCTGAGCTAAGGCATCAGGGTCACGGTAATCGAGTGGGAGTGAAATAGCCCCGGTGATGTGATGTGATGTCTATTGCTCTCTGAAGCCATGACTGGGTCCACTACACTGCCTCTTCCAGTCATGTAAGTCTGCTTAGGGATCGAGTGTAAAAGCCTCGTTGCGGATCTGAACCTAAACCACGAGTTTTGGCCAGGCTCAAAGGAACTTTCGGGGCAACGGGACATAGCATAGGAGAACCTTAGTACCGATGGATTGAGCTTCGAGAGAGTAAGCAGGCTCCAATCAACAGACATGAAACAGAAAAAGGGGGAAATTGTGGAGATCATCCTCTGTCTCAATTTGAAATCTTTTCCGTCTCCCCTGGTTTCAGATTTATCTTGCTCGGAGCATCTTCGGTATTACTGTTGCTTGCTCATAGCTCAACCCTATCAATAAAGCCAAGATTTGTACCATTGCCCAGCACCTGAGCAGACATTGTCCAAGCTATGCTTGGATCAATCTAGCGATCGATACTATACCTGATCGCTCGGAAAATGCACCTTGCGGAAGTCGGAAGTGAAGGCTCCCCAGCCAGGCACGGACATGCTGAACAGTCTTGTTCTCTGAGAAGTTCCCGTAATTTGACCCGTGAGCTAACGCTTGTTACTACTCTAAAAGTCTAACAGGGACGGCTCTCAGGAATGAACTGAGCAGGATTGTTGACTAGGTTCTCTGGACACTGGGAGTTGAATGACTAACAAACATGAGGCGTTGTGAAGGGCAATCAAAGAAATGAGCCCTAACCGAAGCAATGCGATACGAGCCGAGATAATCACTGCCCGATGTAAGGGGTGCAGTGCATATTTATGCTACTAATAGTCTTTGTTACTCGGTCTTATGCAATGCATGACTTGGAGTTATCCTTGTCTTTTACCCCGCAATTTCCTGGACTTGCATGCACTTCAGATCCAATCCGATCAGTGGATGATGCCTGTCGATTGTCACTCCACCTGCCCTTGCAAAAGTGCAAGTCACTGGTTGTACTTGAAGTGTTCGTATTTCGAGATCATATGCAATGCTTCCACCGAACAAAGGCGATCCCGAGATTGAGGCGGTTGTTCAGGTTGAAAAACAAGATGGGGACATACTGGAGTCAGCAAAGCCCACTCCGGAACAGAAGAATGTCGGAACCTTGCAACGCCGCCTGAAATCTCGCCATGTTCAGTTTCTAGCGCTGTCAGGGGCTATTGGAACAGGTCTCTTTGTCGGCACGGGCCAGGTGCTGTCGCTGTCAGGACCACTGTCGATGACTCTGGCATTTGCCATTAGCGGCTTAGATCTCTATGCCGTGATTAACAGCATGGGAGAGATGGCGACTTGGCTGCCTCTGCCGGGTGCTGTCCCTGTCTACGGGGCAAGGTTCGTGGATGAAGCCCTCGGCTTTGCACTCGGCTGGAATTATTGGTATCAGTTCGCCATTGGCGTGCCCATTGAAGTCAGCGCTGCGGCGATGGTTATTGAATACTGGCCTAATTCCGTGTCGCCTGCGGTCTGGATCACGATTCTTTTTGTCCCCATGGTCGTGGTCAATAGCCTGCCCGTCCGGACCTACGGCGAGGTAGAGTTCGTCCTGGGGGCGATCAAGCTGACGACGATTGTAGGCTTGATGTTGCTCATGTTAATCATCACCCTCGGTGGCGCACCCAACCACGATCGGATCGGATTTCGGTATTGGAGCCACCCCATGGAGGAGTATCTCAAGACCGGTGCGCTGGGGCGCTTCCTCGCCTTCCTCAAGGTGTTTGTCCAAGCGATTTTCAGCTACGGTGGAAGCGAGATCGTCGTGGTGGCCGCAGGGGAAACAGAAAATCCGCGACGGAATATCCCTAAGGCTGTACGTCGCGTGTTCTGGCGCATCACAATATTCTACGTTGGGAGTATTTTTCTCGTTAGTATGTGTGTCTCTGCACGCGACAGCCGCTTGCTGAATGCTATCAAATCCGGTGCGAAGGGCGCAGGAGCCAGCCCTTTCGTGATCGCAATTCAAAACGGCGGGATTCGAGCACTGCCGTCCATCATTAATGCGGTCATTCTCTCCTCGGCTGTGTCAGCCGGCAATTCCTTTTTTTATGCATCGACGCGGGTCCTTTACTCGACGGCTCTCGATGGCAAGGCACCGCGGTTCCTTCGATATGAGAAGTTCGGCGTCCCATATGCCTGTGTGGCGATCACCACCGCACTGAGTCTCCTCGTTTACCTCAATGCGTCCTCGAGCTCCGCCGAGGTCTTCTTTTGGATCAGTAACCTAAGTTCCGTCCGTACGTTAGTTGTGTGGACTGCTATTGGGATTACATACCTCCGATTTCACCAGGCGTTGAAATATCATGGTGTTCCTCGGTCGAGTCTTCCTTTTAAATCGCCATTGCAACCGTATCTGGCATACTTTGCTGTCATAGTATCCTCTCTGATGGCACTTTTGAACGGATTCGACGCCTTTTTCCCTGGCCGCTTTAGTGCAAAAACCTTCATTCCGCCCTACATCGCTATCCCCATCTTTGGAATCCTGTATCTCAGCTACAAGTTCGCTAAAGGTACCTCAATCGTCAAGATAGAGGAAATCGATCTGTGGTCAGGGAAGGAGGAGGCCGACCGGCTGGAGGCCACCTGGGAGCAACCGGAGCCTCGCAATTTCCTAGGTATGTCCAATTTATGGCCAATACCTCAAAAGTGTATATGACTGACTTCGGCTAACATGACGTAGAAAGAATCTGGTTCTGGATCGCATGATGCGACGCAGCTCCTCTGCACGTTCTATTTGTCCTTCCTATGTGGTCTTGCCGTGAGCTGTTATGGATCGCAATTTGGCTATCTTTGCTTTAATAGCAACTGGGACCACTCAACCTCAACATCCTCTGTCCTACTCATTTGAGCATCTCCAATCTCTCTTGATAGTTTCATCACTGCCATGCCACACATGTTTCAATATTGCAAAAGTTTGATAGGCCTCACCCAGCCACCTTGGACGTATTGGTGATAACTAGTCTTTTACGTGTTTGGACCTGTATGCTACCGAAGAAATTGGTTTATAAACCAATTACAGACTCGACTGGGTGTGGATTCAGATTTTCGTCTATAGTGGGAATTACCAGTACTGCATCCATCTATTTGAATGAAGATCAGAGGTCATTTCAACAATCCTTGTCACTTGGATGAGAACAAATAGTACAGAGTACTCCGTAAGGGTTCACCGGTTGCACGCTCGTGAGTAAGAAAGAAAACGATGGGTAGTTGGCCCCAGAGTTCTACCACTTCTTAATCGATTAAAATTGTGAAAGGAAAAACAACGAAGTTTTTGTCGTACGACGCAATCTATAACCAAGAATCGAGTGAAGAGAGTAAAGAGAATGCGTCTGACCAAGTCTACAACTATGTAGGAAGACTGAGCACATGAGCATTGACTGTACAATCGACGTCCTTACGTGAATATAAAGTATATCCTTTATGTTGGTGCTTCTGGGACATGTGTTCTCCGCTGTGATATCATGCCGGGTATGTACCTGTCCCCGTGATATCTCTCATATCTCCGCCGCCCTGAACTGTGGGTACGTTTCCATTGATGGAAGATCAGCTCAGCCAAAGTCTCTCGAGAGTGCTCTGGGAATAGCTTTCACTGGCCGCTTCGACACTCTGATGCACATACTGGTCCCTAACATGGATTGTATTCTTGGCCTTCGATCCGCGGGACAGGTTTGGAGCATGGTCCCGAACGCACGATCTCAGATGATCAGTAATCCTCCAGTAGACATCATCGGCGGTCGACTTGCCGACAATCGTGTCCAAATGTCCGTATCCCTCAGCCTAGAATCTGCGATAGAGATGCTCTCCAAATCGTCGTCGGAGCATCTCATAGTCTTGCAGGGTTGATTCCGGATCGAATACCTCATTCGCAGTTCCAGTGATAAACAGCACTGGCAAGCCATGTAGACGTCGTAGATTTTCTGGGGTGATAAGTGGGTTCAATTGGTTATCCAAACATCCGCCACGAGTACCCATGCGGGTAATATGCTCGAGAATCTTTGTGTGAGTACCTGCGAAAAACTGGCCAATATTTTCATGGATGTGAGCATCGAGGTTATCATTATTCCAGCATAACCCGAATGCAAATGATGTTCTGTGACAGTCAGTCGATGTACATATATCTCGACGTCGACGGACAGGATACGAGCGTAGGACGACATCGAGCACTCTCTGGATAAGACGGTTGTCGTGACTCGTACCAATTGGAAAGAAACTTCCCGCGAGGGACTCGTAAAGATGAATCAAGAGAGGCGTGGCAGCTTTGACTGAGTTCCAGTAAGCGAACCTTTGGTTAATGAGAACCGAGTTCGCCGTGACACCGAGCAATTGCGTGCCATCAATGGTACCATCCAACAGCCCCATCGCGAGGGCTACAGACCCTTGACAGTGAGCCACCACGTAAGGCTTTTGCTCCTCTCGACTTGAAATGTATTGCAATGCTGCTGCAACATCTAAGCGGCATTAATACACAGTATATTCCGCTGCTATGTTGTTGTCACAGCCCCATCGTGGTGTTAATACGTAGCACTGGTAGCCGCGCGCTGTGAAATATTCCACCATATTGCGACGCTGGAAAGGAAGAGCAAAGATGCTATGTCTCGCACCAACACCGGTGACTCCGGGTAAAAACAGGATTGGAGGATCACCAAGGTTCTCGTTTATGTATCCCTCATCGGTGACTGCTAATGGCTCATATACCTGAAGAAGCACCGTGGTACCATCTTTAGCCCTCACGTCAAGTTGGGTAGAGGGTCCCCGTTTCGCTGCTAAGGTATTACGGAGGTAATTCACAGGTTGTCGCATTGAAACAAAGGGGCGAAAGAAAAACATGCTTAGCCGGAGGGCAAAGTATACTAAAAAGACGAGCAATGCGAAAAGAGCGCTTAGTTCTAACGGCTCTGTAGCGCGAAAAGTCTTTATCTGCTGTCGGAATGAGGGCCAGGATATGTGAAGGACTCCTGTTTCTACCTTCGCCGAGTCTTCTCGTGCGATGCGAACATTGACCTTAGTTGTAGCCTTCCACATCTCACTCGGTGAGAACGATGCGGTTGAGTCAATGGCTTTGTGACCCTCAGCTTGGAAGACTTTACCTTCCACTGAAAGTAACTGTAATGAATATACCATAGTTGTTGTCTCTGCTTCTGTCTCTGCTTGGTCGAAAAACCGCACTTTGCCTTCGGTAACCCTCATCGTTTCGGCTGATAGCGGACGGCAAGACACGGTACCGGTAAAAATACCCTCATATCCACGCTTGTCAGGGCCTATCATGGTAAGCCTGTTAGAGATACTAGATATCGTGGTGGGCCTACCTCGTTTCCGATAAATCTCTATGGTAAGGAACATACGCATCTCAGATGACGCGCTTTTCCCTAAAGCCTCAGACACCACAAAATCCACATTCTTTCGCTGCGTGCTGACGTATCCAACTAAAGCCTCTGTAAACTGCCACCCAATAGATCTGGTTTGTTCATATACGTCTGTGTGATCCTGAGGGTCAGGCAGGTCATGGGTCGATACGCTTGGTTCGGAGCTGGTATCCAGACCACCCTTCGTACTCGACATATTGTTAGGATATTTATACTCTTGAGAAATCTTCTCAAGCGATCGTTCGGCGAGTGCAGATATCGTTGCAAGAGGGTTAATACCCAAAGAAGTCGGAATAACCGATGCGTCGCAGCACACAAGTCCATCATGGACTGCACTTCCATGACCTGTGAACACTTGGCCGATGTGGTTTGTGACACCCTCACGGCCTGTGCCATCTCTGCTCATATTAGCGCCTCCTAGAGGATGAACTGTAACTTCATCCTCATAAAGACCTACTTCATATCTTAGCTGGGGCTTAAGATCCCTGCAACACAACCTTACCATAGAAGTATGAATACCCTAGTGTTGCCCCTGTGCGACTTACCATGGTGCGCAATATCTTCAATATCCGAGCACGATTCTCAGAACGACCTTCCGCAGGCCCTCGAAAGCATGGCTTGTCATTCGTCAAGGTCAACGTCAATTCATTGCTGTCGTGAGACATAACTAGATATGTTGCCGTGCGTTGGATTGCGCCCCCTGGCACTCTGGGCCCCAGGATAAGGGAATTGATACCTGCAAAAGCCTTACAAAAGTGTTGCATAGGACCGTGAAACCCAGGGGAAGTATAATCTCTGAGACTTTGCAGCATAAGCATGATTTGGGTGATTGGCAAAAATGGCACCGGAATACAGTCATCTTCAATGACATAGCCTGCTAAAGTCTCCTTCGACGAACTAGCTTCTCGGTTATCAATTACTCCAGTGATCAATGGACCAGAGCCATTGCTAAGACCCGTCAGATTTCCTGAGATTCCATTGATCTCATCGTTACCGTTGCACCTTAGTCCATCGTATCAGCAAACAATTACAGCTGTAGGTCAATTCAACTCACCAAAGGCCAACATATCTCCATTGCTGGACATGTTCCTGCCAATCATTGGAGAAGTTGACAAGCCATATTTCTTTGAGCGAAGCAGGATCTCTGTGGTCCCCAAAGATCCAGCGCCAAGAAAGCATAGGTCGTTCTATATCCGAGATAGAAAAGATTAACCATTGAAATGATAAAGCCCCAGATCGCGGTAGGACCTACAGCCTTTACCCAGAACAGCTGAGTCTTGAAATCCTCCTCAAACGCAGATCTCCCGCGTCCATGCCAGGCAAAGTAGACCAAGTATCCGTGGCCATCAGGCGCTTGTTCAATATACCGTACCTCGCAGCCGCAGAAGATCTCAGCGCCCCAGTACCAAGCAGCTGTCAGGTACGTGGTGGCGACCGAGTGTTTAGATCCATCGTTTTGACCAGTGCATTCATTTCCTGATCCACTATTTGGCTGTATCGTGGCACCTGCGCTATTGCGACCACGCTTAAAGGATGTTGTCAGCGGTACTCAGTAGAAGTTCCTTTCCTTTCCTGGGTACGTAGCTTGCTTGCGTAGATGCTCTAATTTTGCAAGGGGTGGATGATTAGCCGGATAGGTCGATGGCTGCAGCATATCTGCTGCACGCGAGTAGTCTAGTGCGCTCAGTGTCAAGGAGCGGCCCCTTGATAGGATACAAGGGTCACATACACATCTGAAGCCCGGAGGGGTCATTCTTGATCTCTGGTGGCCATGGTCCCCGCTGCAATGTTCCTTGATCTGCTTCAAGAAAGACTCCAGCATTTACAAGCGAGCAACCGCCAAGCGCTGCAGGTCGTGATATTAACAGTCAACATTGAACTTCCACGCTGAGGGTTGACAAGACTTTGCTACAAACTAGGAACCATACAATGCCAACGTACCATGAGCGACGAAAGCGTGTTGTCCGTCGCCAAGGATTAACTGAAATAATTGAGTGGGTTTGCCTGCAAACAGCCAGCTTGAACTTCCGGAAATGTTCAGCTCTTTCAGGCACTGCGCTGAAGTGTATGGGTATGCGCCAGCTATGAGACAGTTTGGTCATCACATCAGGATGCAACTCTAGAGAATACAACTCGGATTGTACTCACGTCGCCACTCCCAACCCAGCTCAAGCACTGCGACGCTCTTTCCAGATCGTGCCATTCGACTCGCCGCAACTCCCGCTCCATAACCAGAGCCAACGACTACAACGTCGTAGGCTGCCTTCATGGACTGAAAAGAACGACTCAACCTAGGGTAATCATCGGGCCTTGTGTTGTTGGAGTCGGCCATTGTAGTCTGTGGCGCTGATATGTGGGCAGATGCTGGGCGGGACAGCAATGGAGAGCAACGGGGGTGATTGAATCATTATAAGTTGGAGGAGTGAAAGCTCACCAGATGCTTTCAGCCACATAGTGCCGTAACCTAAATGGAGGAAATGAACGTTGCTCATTTGCTCGGGCATCCAAGCCGGCTGAGGTGAGACTGCATGCATGCATCCAATGCCCGAGTGACAACGATGCGCCGCTTATCCAATCACCCCAGGGTTATGCTGGCTATCTGTGGTCTCGAATACATTAGTTGAGTTAGGTTTCTACGTTTTCATATCGAAAGGTAGTATACCACATCCCATCCATGCAGTTCAGCAGGTCAGGTTAAGGGAGATGAAGAATTAAAAAAGGTTGTTATATTTATCAAACAATTGACGGCCTCCATGAATCCGCCAATAATAACTTTAATATACAAACTCTAGCAAGCATCGGAGGGCACCTTATCGCTGCCCACCCGACGAGATGCATGATATTCAGCGCCTTCACCCAAACCACGCTTAGCAAACGCTTTCCAAATCTCGCACTTGTTAGCACCATCGGTAAGAGCCTTATCGGCATCAAGGATGGCATCGCGAGCCTGAACGCAGTTGGGGTTGCAGGGTTGCCTAAATGCCAAGATTAGTTCGTGGATTAGGTAGAAGAGAGAGAGGACGGGGTTGTCACTTACAATGCCATGCCATCAACCACCAGCTTCATGGCAAGATACTTGCCGTCAGTCGGAACTCCATCCTTGAACTCGGGCTTAGGGCCGTCGTTCTTGCCGTGTTTATCGATCAAGTTCCACAGCAGCTCGTACAACACAGTAGCCCACACGGTGCCGATAGCATGCACTTCGTCCAATTCATTGAGACTAGTGTAGGTAAGAGGATTGGTCTCCAAGGAGGTTGAGAATGGGTAAGCACGGATGCCCCCCTTCTTGTTTGCAGCCCATTCACCCATAGTATAATCGGTCGAGTGAGTATCGCCGGACTTCAGCCGAATTGCCGTGGCCATGAAGTCTCCCCAGCCTTCACCCATTCCACCGGATTCAAGGGCATTCAAGCAGCGGGAGTTGGCTGGTCCTCCGGTAAGGCGGTTAGAGACTGCGTACCGTGGTGTTAGTCGAGACTGTCTTATCCTGGGGTTCAAAGAGGATACATACGACCGTGAGTGTACTCATGAATCACGATACCCGCCTCAAAGGAGCCATCGCGATAAGGCTGGGACTCAGTCCAAATGTACATGCGCATGCGACCGGGCTGTCCATCGGGTGGCGTAGCGAAGTTGGCGTTATTTGTGCCAGAGCCATCCTGGGCATTCAGGATCACATAGTCTCCTCCAGCGCCTCCTTTTCCGTTGTTGTCGTACTGGAAGTTACCAGCCTCCTCATTGAAGCCCAGAGTGTAGAGCAGGTCGTGGTACGTGTTGGCAGTGTAGAAAAGCTGAGTAATTGACGCATCGATATAGGACTCTGGGGGTGTCGCGTTGAGCGCATATGGGTACTGGAATTTCAAATCGGGACTATCAGGCCGATAGTTCTTTAGGTATTGCGATCCACCAGTAGGGTTCGACTGCGCGATCCCGTTGTTACCGCGAGTGGTGGTATAGTTGTTCTCACCGTCGCTGATCCAGGTAAATGCAGATGCGGACGAATCCCATGGATCGCTGATGACGGTGCGAGAGCCCTCGGTTGGATCATTCAGGCCCCATGCACTATGCGTATGTGTCAGTCTAATTGTCAAATCCCATGAACACCCTTCGAATACTCACTATACTTGGTAGTCCGCTTCAGCTACGTAGTCCACCACACCATGAACATCTTTGCCGGTATTAGCATCAATGTACGTCAACAGCCAGTTGCTGTCAACATCGGTCTCCACCCTCCAGGTCAAAGCAAGGCTACCATCTTCCTTCATCAAATAGACTAGCTGAGCCTTGGGATCCGACACGGTGCCGGATACTCCCTTGAAATTGAAGGACTCTTTGTCCTCGGCAGCCTCAGTGGACACTTGATCCAGAGTGATAGAAAGCTGCAGAGCTTCGGAGGTTCCCCTGAGAGCCACCACAGGATCGGTATAATCCCGCTTGGTCAAAGGGTTGGCATCAGGAATCTTGCCTTCATAGAAGGAGTGGCCATAAGAAAAGATCTTGCCATTTTTCCCAACCTTAATGATGCGGTTAGCATGGAACAGAGTATAGGTGGGCGGTAACATACATTGACATTGAAGTCCGCATTGTCAATATCAAGGCCATGGGCTGTTTGACGAAAATTGACGTGAGCGACCCCATTGCTGCCAATGTAATGATCCTTGACGAGACGAAAGGTGGCGTCTGGCAGGATATTCTTCACGAGCTGAGTGGCCGTCTCCACGTAGCTTTGCTCGACGAATGAAGAGAACGAGGATGAAACATCACTTGAAGACTCAATCGCGTTGATATACCTTGCCACCTGATGCAAACGGAAAGAATTCAAGTCAACTGTGCGACGTTGAAGCCCATGTGCATGATGAGTAGGATGCGCAAGGACGGCCAAAGGTAGGCCAAGGGCTCCAGCCAGTAGAAGACCTCGCATCGTGGACTACGAGGACGTTGGATTTAATGCAAATGATAGAAGATGATCTGTGGAATGATTCTGCCTTGAATGCTGCGACGCGCAGGTATTATTTATACCAGGTCAATTGGAGATCTCGACACGCTGAGTCCAACGCAAAGAAGCATTTCTTCTTGGCCCGAGACAACCCCGGAGCTAGACATATTGTGTACCATCCATCATGATGGTTAATACAGCAATCACCTGCACATTCAGACTCCTGCAATATCCGACAAACTTCATCTATAGCTGCTCGGGGTTACCTTCATGCACCTCAGGGTGGAGCAATCACCCGGGGGTAGACCACTCCGTGAAGAGCTTGAGAAGAATGTCCAGGGCCATTGAATAATAGGTATCTCCTCAAAGCAATTGCGACATTGCATTGAAGAAACCACTCCGTCGGCTCTCCGATACATTTATTCAGGGTCTTCCCAAATGGGGCAGGTTGCTAAGACATTAGATTGCTCTTAATACCACTTTAGCGCCAATTCTGTGATGCGGGAAATGAATGCCGAGACTTTTATGCAAGTGTCCAATGGGGGAAAGACGGTGATTCCTCAGAATCATCTTGGCATTCTCTTGGGTTACATGCAGGTACAAACCTCGGCGGCGCTTATCAACGTCCAAATTGTTAGTCCCCAGAACACAGAACAGGGCCACAGCATTTTTACCCCACTATTCACACTTTCCATGAACTATCCTTGTCATCTAACCCCAATAATGGTCAGGAGATTCTGTGCCGCAAGTTTCAGACATCATGCCAAGCCCGATATCGAGCGCTAACCATGTACTGTACAAACCCCGGCATGACCTAGGGCCACAAATGTATACAAAGGTCGCCTATCACGAAGTATGTGCACGTGAGGAATTTCCTTGCTAAGTTGCCTAAAATGGTAATTCCTGAGGAGGGGGAATTGCCGAAGTATACTGAATGTACTAGGAAAACATGCCATACAAGAAGTGGATCCCAGTCAGGGGCTACACATTATGCATGTCAATTCACGGCGAAGGCCGGATTCTGCCCGGCATGGGCTTAATACTAACAGATATTGGGCATTCTCACAAGTCGAGGTAGGCCAAGCAAGATCCATTCTGACGTGAGCTCGATACACCCGTCATGAGCAGTAGCCTCAAGATCAACAATGATATTTGAAGAATATGACATTTGATTCTGCCCTTCAACTAGAGGTATAGTATAAAAGGTGCTAGCGCATGCTATCTATCGTAATCATGTATATGTACACCAACATGGAAAAAAAGAAAAAGTAACAGGGAAGGCAAGGTCTGAACATGGAATAAAGACAAAGGACGATCGAAAACAACCACCAGGTCTAAAGCCTTAAAGGAGTCCTATCCGAACTCCGATCCTTATCCCAATATAACTCCGCAAATGCTCCTCCGCGCTCGAGCAGAACCGCCGGCGGACCTTGCTCTTCGACGCGCCCGGCATCAACGACAATAATCTCATCGAAATCAACAATGGTTTCCAGTCGATGTGCAATGGCGATGACAGTATGATCAGCAAATTCACTCCTGATGAGCGACTGGATGAGGTCATCCGTTTTGGTGTCGATGCTAATGGACGGTCAGGTTAACTATCGTATCAGAAGGAAAATCACACTGCGGGATCACTGACCTGCTTGTCGCCTCATCGAGGACTAGAATCTTCCCCTCCGGTCGTACCATCGCGCGGGCGAAGCAAAGAAGTTGCTTTTGGCCCGGGGAGAAAGTATCAGGCGAAATTGTAGCATCTAGGCCACCGAGCCCTCGAACGGCATCCCATAGTTGAACCTTCTTTAAGGCATCAATGATGATGTCGTCATGGATTGAAATGCCAGGATCCACATTGAGGCGAACCGAACAGCCGGGCAAGATGAATGGCTCCTGGGGGATACAATTCAGCTGAGCGCGCAGGTGGTTGCGGCCCAGCAGAGATATGTCTAGCCCGTCAATATTGATCGTCCCGCTGGTCAGTTCAATGAGGCGGAAGAGTGAAGATACTAGTGAAGACTTTCCACTGTGATTTATTATTAGCCTGGAACAAACAAAAGAGGTTCTATAAGGGGGGAGCAAAGGATGAGAACAAACCTTCCGGAGCGACCACAGATCCCAACCTTGGTGCCTGGCTTAATCGATAGAGAGATATTATCAAGTGCACGGGTCCAGGAGTTTCTATTACCGCCGTATGTTAGCGGGGGGAACAAACTAAAAGGGACGAGAAGACATAGAGTCATACTTGTAGGAAGCCACCACATTGCTGAACTCGATTGCTCCCTGGGCTGGCCAATCTGGCGGAGGCACCGCTGTCTCGTCTTCCAGGTGCTCCGACTCAATAGTAGACTTGAAGTTACGAATTCGTGCCACTGCCCCGATGGATGTCTCCAAAACTGTCCATTGTTTGATTAGACCCTGCAAGTTTTCGGTAAAGGTGACAATATTCAGCAGTGCCAATCCAATGAAGCTCGCGCTAACCTTCCCACGCGTGGCGACGGCTATGGATACGAGGACGACGGCAAACCCGGCCACCATCAGGGCAATGACCAGTTCGAGCCAGCGTTGAATGGCGAAAAGCAGGTAGAAAGGCTTTTGGGAATCGTTGAGCAATTTACTGTTGCGTCGACGGTAATGGTGTTCCCACTTGTAGCTCCGGATGGTGGACAGGCCACTCAGACTTTCGAGGAAGTGGGAGACCAGCGGGGCTTTGGCTTCGATATCTAAATATCGGATTTGTCGTGAGGTGCGAAGGTAAAACCGTTGGGTAAAATAAAAGGCGATTATACACGCTGGGATGGTGGCGGCGATGTAGCCCGTGGCGGTGCAAATGACTACCATTTGGGCAACACAGGTGAAGAAGGTAAGGATCGTATTCAGGACAGAGAGGGGGAGCTCCATGTCGATCAGCTGCAGGTCCTGGCTGAATCTGGGAGAAATGTCAGCAACCATTCCCGTTCACTATGTGAAGCTGCTTTGGCTGGTACTCACCGGTTCGTCGTGTTGCCTAGATCGGTGGTCTGGAAAAATGACATCGGGGCACTGAATGGTTAGCTGAGGAAGCGAAAGACAGGACAATAAGAGGGGGGGGGGGCGTACTCTAAGACACTTTTCAGGAGCTCAGCATGCATATTTCGGGCACCACGAGCTACCAGATTCGCCATCAGGTGCCTAGTTGGGATCAGCACGAGGGAAATGCTAAATATTAGACATCAGTTCCGGATCTGAGAACTCACCAGCAGGAAGTGACAAGTGTAGAAGTGGCCATAACGGCGATAAACGCATAAATCCCGAGCCAATATCCCAGTCTCTCGTTGGGATGATCAACATTTGAACTTGCCCATTTCTCCACCCAGATGGCTAGGTTCGTCAGTAAGCGCTCTTTTCACCATTTCGACGACACTCACAAGGATATGTAATGGTAACCACATAGGCCATAATCAAAAGAACAAACACTGCTGACCGGAACACTCCCAGGACTTGGGCATAGTACCAATAAATGGACATATCACCCGTCCGTCGCCCATCCTCCTGCGGTGTCGGTTCTAATTGAACCTCTGGACTCGCCAATGAGAGGCGATGTTGAGAGAGCCGATTTTGGGAGAGGCGGTTTGGCACGAACTGACTTTGGCCAAACTGAATCTGGGAAAACTGATCTTGTGAGAACTGTTGAGAAAACCGCTGGGAAAAACGCTGAGAAAATTGGTGGGAGAATTGCTGAGAGAACCTCTGCGAGAACCGCTGCGAGAACCTGTTCTGGGACAGTCGATTCCGGGCCCTAGCCCTTGGGATCGGGATCTCGGGGGCCTCCAGATGGACCGTGGCCTTCCGTTTCGGTAGGGCTGCCAGACTACGAATGTAACTGTCGGCTCTGGAATGGAGGTCTTTGTATGTTCCTTGTTCCATGATGTTGCCTGATGGGCCCAGGGCGATGATATGGTCCGCAGCAGAGAGGCGAGAGGCTGGCACTTTGTTAGAATAGCGTGAAGAGTACAAAGCATATCGGGGCAATACGTACGACTGTTTGTCGTCATGATCACCGTCGTACCCAGCTTCCGTAAAAGCCCCCCTGGGGCTAACAGCGCATTGAAGACCGCATCCTCCGTGGTGCGGTCCAGTCCGCTGAAGACGTCGTCTAGGATAATAGTCTCTGTTCTGGAGTAGACAGCCCGAGCCAGGGCCTTTTGTAATGTGCTGGGTCAGTATAGGACTATGCATGAAAGGTGCTGTAGATCAAAGTAAATAAAAGGAGGCATACCACGCGTTGCTTCTGGCCTCCACTAAGAATTGCGCCCTGAGTCCCTAACATGGTCTTATCCCTATTGGGTTGTTTGCGGATATCGTCATGTAGGGCACACGCCTCGATCACAGTATTATACCAGCGCAGGTCGAAAAGTGACTCTCCCAAGATATTTTCCTGGATGGTATTGTTTGTTAACCATGGTGTCTGCGAGCAGTACGCAATCGAGTCGGGATCAGCCTTCAACCCTCCCGAAAAAATGGGCGTCTCCCGCAGCAACGCACGCACAAACGTGGACTTCCCAGACCCGACGGGCCCAACGACAAACGTCACCGTGCCTCGATGGATCTCAAAGGTCAAATCATGTACGACAGCTGGCTTGCCCTCTTCCCAGCCAGCGCTGCGGCCCTCTGCCACAAAGACTGGACCAGTGACTTCGTAGTACAAGGGTAACTTCTCACGACTGGAGATACTGGGCACTCCTTCCACAACCGACATACCCTTTCCGTCGTAGACGACTCCAATCTCCGTCAGTGCGCTAGATAAAACGCTGGCGGGGATGCTGATGTTGCTCCGAGTCCCTCGGGGTTCATGTGCGTCGTCCCTTCGTGGGTCTGACTGCAAAAACTCGTTCACTCGTTTAATGGAGCCGATTGCGGTGGCGACACCCGTTGCAGCTTCAACCAGGTTAGAGATTGGAGTGGCAAGAAGAGTGAATAAGGTGAGCGATGTGAACGCCTTGGCAGCCGTCAGGGTTTCATTGCCTTTATGTCGTGCTATGAGGGCGTAGATGGTGAATGAGGCCAGCGGGGAGAGTGTGACGTTGCTGTATGCCACACCAACTACCAGGATCAGCAGTCGACGGAATTTTTCGGACTTGACGACTTCTTCAACGCGCATCGTCTGGACGAGGTTGAACAGCTTGTCGGTCAATCCAGCCGTGCGGACCCCTTTTACAGATCCCAAAACCTTTGCAGTAATATCAACACGTTTCTCAATGGCCTCGAGCCAGACCTGTTGGCGAGGGCCGGCCAGTCCAGAGATGAGCAATGACAAGGCCATACAAACTACTTCACGTTAGCGATGTGTGAGGTAGTAAAAGGAGGGGCATCACATACTAAACACCACGATGATCGGGGCGATACTGGCGACCCCCAGCTGACGCCATAGCAAATATAGCGCAATAGGAATCTCCACAATACAAGCCCAGGCATCGTGAATGTAGTGTAGACCGCCTGAAATACGTTCCATATCGGCACTCATTAGAGTAACGGGGGCGCTGGTTTCGACGTCAATGTCACGCATGACCATGACGTGACTGTAGAGCATGTCGACCAGATCGGCCCGTATCATGGAGACCACTCGATATGCCTGATGATGGGCGAAGGCCGTAGAAACCTGAAATAGTCAGTATCAGATCTACATCTTCCTGCATTTTGGAAATTGAACACCCACCGCGATACCTGTGTAAACTATCCCAAAGGCACCGATCAGTGCGTATCCCTGTGCCTTGGGGTGAGTAAGCTCGTTCGATGCCACCCAGGTCGTGGTTGCTTCGACCAGAAAGGGCTGTGCGAACGTGAAGGCCACCTGTAGTGCTCGAGGAAAGACGCCTAACAGGATTGGAACCAAGTAGTATCGACAGCATGCCCAAAGCAAACTGTGAGGGGAATTCCGGTTCGGCCCTAGAATTATAACGCTGTCATCAGCCCCGAGTCATTGCGCAGAACGCAGAAGTAGAACAAACAAACTTACTCTTTCTCCAGAGCGCATGCAACCCGCTTTCACCATGCCCTGTAGACCGAAGTGAGTCCTCGATTGGGGGAAGCAGCTCAACCGTCAGATCCATGCGATTGCCGAGCATTAAGAGCGGGTTGAGCCAGCAGAAGAGACATTCTCCCAGAATCCCCACGGTCGATTCCGGAGGTGAATCTTTGTAGTTTCGTCTTAAAAGGGACCTCTTTGACATGGTTTCGGTAATCAACAACACCACCTTTATGCACAAGGTCACCGTATAGAGAACCGCAATCGATCGGTTCTTCTCCAGGAAGAACAATGTGCGGGTCTCGGCCAAGGACATGATCGAGGAAAGAAACAGATAGCCACAGTTGATGGTAGCAGGTCGAATAGTACAGATATGCTCATAGTGCGAAAGAATACCGAAGATGATGGAAGCCAGCCAGGACACGACTGCCGTTGCGACGGTAGCTCGAGTGGTTTTTCCCGACGGCGCCGCCCAGAGGCCGACGAGGGTTAGCTGGAGGACGGCCAACAGAGCATATCCACCCTAGTAAGTAGGTCAGTTTTCATACTTTCCTCATGAGCTCTTTCGCTTCGGGCGCATCATACTAGCTTTACGAAATACCGATATCCTCCCTGCACCTTTATCGTCTGTTGTCTCAGGTGGTGAATGCGTGGCAAGGCCCAGAAGAGAAAGAAGAGTGTCACGGGCAGTGTGAGGACGGTCTCTTCGAAGTATAATGTGAAATCAAATCCATCTTTGCACTCATGGCTGACAACAGGCCCAAAGGCATCTTCGACAGCAATAGGGCATGCTGCCGCCGCTCTGGGATGGAGCCAGAACGAAGACATTGAGACGGTGAACTAGTAACGTTTGATTATTTTTTTTTTCATCTATGGTCGTATCCTCCACATTATGAGATAGAAAGTAGATCATGGGTGATCATCTTTTGTTCATCAGCAATTGAAACTTGAGGGTTTGACTCGTGGCGGTGCTCGTGGGCCCGAAATGACGGTAGTTCATATGCACGGTGAGCCGCCCAACTTAGGGTTTACGACGCCTCTTCTATTAATGGCACTCCACTGAGATCCCACTCCCAATATCATATTATAAACTCATTGTCTAGGCGTACATGACATGCAGGCTCATCAAATCTCTACCAGTTCCCCTTAGGTTCTGCCAGATCTGCGCCCCACCACCCCCCACCAACCTCTGACGAAAGACTACTACTTCAGGCCCCTCTGAAACAATTATGCCACGCGATGAAGACCATCTAATGCGGCGAGATGTGCTGCTAGTGCTAGACCACATTGTCGTTTCATCTCTATGTGTTCCTGCTGATCGTCTTGGCCTCTCACCTTCGGCCCCATTTCCGACCGTCCAATGCCAGCATCAGCGTGAGCGTCAGCATTGGAGTTGACATCAGCATCAGCATCAGCATCATCGCCATCTTTCAACAATTGTAGGAACTGGAGAACCTCCTTTGGTGCTATCGTCCGTCGACCCTTCTTGAAAACATACTTCGAGATAGCCGACGCAAGAATATTTTCCTCCGAGCTCGCCATACCGGGCTTCAGGAAATGGCTAACAATGTACAACCATTTGTCATCCCAGCACAGAATTCGTGACTCGACATCATACCGCTGCCAGGGCTTGATCTCCCTTCGGAAGATACACGACACGCCGCCAAGAGCAGGAGTGAGATGTTTCAAGGTTCCGGTTTGTTTCTCGTCGCTTTTGTGGGCTCTTTCACTGTGGGGCTTTCTCGATGGGGGAGATAATGGTGTAATAACATCCTTGAAGAGTAGCAGTAGTAACTCGATCCGGCTAATATCGAGATCGGCGTAGAATGTGCTGTTGGACTTGTGGAGGTTGAAATCGACTTCCGCCAGAGAGCAATAGGATCGGGTCCGCAGGGGCCGAAAGAGGGCGGATGAACCATCGCCTGAGGAGGATTGATAGCGCTTCCAAACGAGGTGGTTCATGAGGATTGCGATAATTCGGGCCTATTAATTTGTGATCATGCCGTCATAGTTAACCCAATGCTTCATTTGAGGTCAAACACGGCGGGAAATGCAGAGTCTATCACTAACATGCCATAATCCAGGAATAGCTTTGGAGTCATAGACGAAAAAGAGAAGCAGAATGCCGCCCAACGCGGAGAGAAAGGAGTAGGCAGACATGGCAATAATTGTATATTGGGAAATGCTAGAGAGAGAGGAATTGTGGCAAAAGATAAAAAGAAAATGATGGGGGCCACCGGCGATATAAATAAAAGCCCCCACGATTGAGCTGAAGGCCTCGGAGAGTAAGAAGTAAACAGCCCCATCCTTACCAATTTTAGCACTATATTAGACGTCCGATGTTTACCATGATACGATCTGATGCTACGCTGGTGTTGTTTTAGACAGTTCAGTGCGGTAGAGGGTATATTGAAGGATGTAGGTCTATCGGTACAAAGCAACAAATCAACAAATCATGGGTACACAAAAAAAAAAAAAAAAATATCAAAACACTTTCATCGACTGAATAACAGACTCAATCTTTTCCATTCCACAAGTTCCAGCAGTGCTCATATAGGTTTCCCACTATTGACTACATTAGCATTGCTCTAACAACCTCGAGCGATATGGAATGGTAACTCACCTCGTTCAAAACTCCCATCAGAGCAGCAGACCCAGTCAAATCTCTGACCATCTCGAAATACTCTTTCGTTAATTGGAACGGCCGCGCCGTCAGATTAGGAACGTACTTTCCGACCAATCGCTTCGGGTCCAGCGCATGACGGTCGATCAAGTCCAGCAAGCAGCGTCGGAAGCCAGGCACACCGGGCAGGAGATGCGAGGAATGGAATGGAATGTCGATACCCTTGAGAGGGATTGTCGCACAGCCTCGCGTGAGGGCTGTACTGGTTTGGGTAGTAGCAACTTGTGATTTTACTAGCGAGGTTAGCTGGTCGGGAGACAGGACGTTCGAAGGGAGAAGAGAGGCAGCGGTCGCATTGATGTGATCGAGGACCGATTTGAGACACTGGAGGGGTTGCGTCTGAGGAGAGTTAGCGAGTGAGCAGGAGAGAAGAAGAGGAACTGAAGCTTGCCTGTCCAGCGCACACATATTGCAACCCTGCAACGTTGAAGTTGACAATCTGCAGCAACTGTCCCGTCTCGGCTGCAATGGTTTCCACCACCAGCTGCAGTGCTGCTTGATCGAAGCCTAGAGAGTCCATGTGAGTACTGACTGAATCCAACCTGCCAGATGCGTCAGGACGACTACACCTACCCGCACAGACCCGGCTTGGATCAACCGCGCACATCCGGAAGTCGGATTGCCCCCGGTCGTCGCGCTCCACGGCGAACTGCATTAACAATCCACGATAGAATACCACTTGCACCAGGCTCTCCACACTGAAGATCTTCCCGACCGCACCGAGGGCTGCATACTCGCCTAGCGAGTGACCAGCGTACGAGCTCCGCTCCGAGATTAATCCTCTCGCCTGGAGATCCGCAAAGATCGCCAATTCCATCAGCGTCAAAGCTGGCTGGGTGAACTGCGTAGCCGACAGCAGCCCCTGGGGTGCATGGTACGTGTAGAACTCAGTGTCCTCATCGATCTCGGGGAACAACGGAAGAAGTTGGACGTTTCCATCGGTGCCCGCGGATTCTCGCTTCATGCTCATGTATTTCTCGCGGATGTGCCGACCTTGCGGGCCTCCGAAGTACACGGTGAGCTCCTTTGGGTCATTGCGGACAATATCAGTTATGCGGAAACCTAAGTATCGTTTAGTAAAAGCCCTAGCCAACCAAAAGCTCTTAAGACAGGGAAGATGATAAATTGAAACCCACCGTAGTTATCGGAGAAGTAGGTATCAGCGTAATCCCACACTTGCCGTGCAGCCTCGCTCTGGGTATACAGCTGCATTCCCATCCCCTTCTGCTGACTTCCCTGGCCCGTGAACAACAGCGCTGTCTCCTCCGGTTCCACTTCGGCCTCCCCACGCAGCACGGTCTCTCCGCGCTGGACATGCTTCGCCTCGACGGAAATGATCTTGCGGCCCGCCAGCATACCCACGTGCTGGAAGATAACCTCAATTTCATCCCCGGGGAGCACCATACTGGTGAACGAGCAGTTGAAGCTACGGAACGCACCAATGGCCGACGCGCAAGTATAATGCTCGACAAGACCACGGACACGTGCCGATGTGTACATGCCGTGCGTGATGAGCCCCGGTAGATCAGCATACCGAGATAAGGAGGACGAGACGTGGATGGGATTGAAATCCCAGGAGACATGGGCGTAGGCCTCATTCGAGTCCGGCATTCTCATCATGAGTGACGACCCATCGCCGGTGAGTGGCATAGGGTTGTTAAACATGTGCCGTTTCTTGACTGGGCTGCCATGGCGCTGTAAGTAGTCCATGACTGGGTTGCCACGACAGGTGGCGGCATAGAAGGCTACTGTGGCAACAGAGCTAGACCGACCAGGCAGTGAGGACTTCAGACGCACATCACCAACGGTGGTAACGGCCTTGAACGTGTCCCTGCTGGCGTATTGATAGGTCGACTGCAGTACGAAGATTAGCGTCTGGTCCTGCAGATCTAGGTCAGCATCCCGTGGCTTGAACCACGGTTTGGACTTCAGCAGGGCCACCTCCATGGGTCCGCTGAGGCACAATTCCATTTCTTCTTCATCGACCTTACGGAAGGTGTTTTCCCAGTCCGTGTGCGTGCCGCGGTACAGGAATTGGCTGGTCAACTCGAGGACGACCTTCCCTTCCTGGTAGACGTCACCGCGCACTTCCACAAGCTTACCAGCATCTTCAATGGTGATAGCCTGAATGCGAGACTTGGTCTCAAGGACAGCGCCCTCCTGGATCGGCTGCGCGTCTGGCGGGATGCGGAACCCGTTAGTGAGATGCACCAAAGTCAAGAGATCTACATCCAGCTCGTGCGAGAAGAGTGGCTTCATCAGTGCCTCCCAGCCTACGACAACGCCGAAGTCAAGCGGTGCGTACAGGGTCTTTCCACGACGCTTGCTGGATGCATCACTCGCGTTCTGCACACAGTGCGCAAACTCTGCAATCGAATCCGCTGTGACTTCTAGGCCATTCTCGCAGAATGTATCGTGCACGGATGTCCACTTCTTCGGCTGCGAGCTGGTGAACCACACACGGTAGTAGAACTCCTTGACCCGCTCATTGCGACCCTCCATGATCTCATGGATGGGCGCGTACACCGCGTCGCGCCGGTACTGGTACATCAGCCGCAGGCCGATCGCCGCACCACCAGCGTTACGGTAGTTGATAATCTCCAGCGTGATGGACCCAGATTCGTCAGCCCGGATATCGACAACCTTGACTGGCTCAGAGTGTGGGCGGTATTCGAACAACGAAACAGTCGTGTCGGACCGGTGACCAGTCTGGACCATCACATAGGAATCGCGCGTCGGCTGGAAGAGTCGGCGGAGTGGGTTCTCAGAAATCGCCCGGCCCTGCACAATCGTAGGGGCATTGAAAAATGCCTGGCGCCAGCCACCCTGCGTCCCACCTAGCGCAGCTAACCACTGGTCCAGCGATGGCATCGGGGTATTCATCTCAGGAGATACCTCGTATAGAAGCGAACCAGTGTTACCAACGGGGACGCAGTGGATACCTGCCTGCGCCATGCTCCACTCACTGACAACGGGGTAGGGTCCAAAGCAATGAACAATGGGGATCCCATCCTCAAAATAGTCGGGGTCCCGCATCTCCAAACGCTCAATATGCCCCTCATGGATGGTATCCAGGATTTTGCGCGCTGGCTCATCGACTGCATTTGAGTGACGCGCTGCGACTGGTCCGTGCAGAATACACACACGCTCAACATCACCATCGACAACGGCGTTGAGATCCTCCGACTGCCACAGCGAGTCCTTCTTGAAGTACTCCTCGAAGTTTTCGTCCAGCACGGGCACGAAGGGGACCGGCTTCTGCCCGCGTCGTCGGCACAAATGCAGGAAATACTGGGCATCCTGTGTACCCATGAGCTGGTCAGCGGCGTAGGGATTCTGCTCGAGGAACTTGTCAATAGCTGGTTGGGGATCACGAAGGTCGTCCACGCTGGCGACCACAGAAGAGGTAATCTCCATGTCGTCACCCTCCTGTTCCTCCTCTCTCTGATGACCGATTCGTGCTTCTACGCGCAAGAGGAAATCGAACAAAAACTGCTGGAATGAAGGGTCAATCCAACGGCCTTCGAGTTCAACGTATGTCAACTCAACCAGCCGCGAGATGACCTCCGCATAGGTCATCTCCTCCAGATCCACCACGTTCCCTAGTTCGTCGCGCCCAAACCAGACTTTGTGTGAGTCGGCGTTCAGTCGGCGGATTATGTAGTCGCGCTGCTTCTGCAGCTGAGTGAGACGCTGTGCGCGATCGAGTTTGAAGATTGTCCGGTCCAATTCCGCCCAGAGACGCACACCACGCGTCGCCAATTTGTGGATAGGCTCTCCCATCTCGGAGGTCACCGTCATAATTCCTCCTGCCGGTTGTGTGTAGGTCTGCTCCCAGTCGGCCTCGTCAACCACACCAGGTGCCGCAACAATCGCTTGCTTCACCGCTGGGCTGGTATGGGCCTCCTTGGCGGTCATCAAGCGGCTACCCAGTAGAATGCCGTCGAAGGGCATGAGTGGCCGATTGTAGCGTTGCGCCCACTCACCGGTGAGGTAGGGGAAGGTGTCATCAACGCCTCCGAAGCCACTGCCTGCCACCAGGATCAGGTTCGAGCAGCTGCGTACTGCACCATAAGCCTGAAGGATTGGCTGGTGGAAGTCTTCGAAAGAGTGGTGTCCACCCCCGCGACCGCCAGTCCATTGGAGGATGACCGGGAAGTTGGGATGGGCACGCGCGATGGCAATGACCTGGTGAATCGCCGGGAGCGAACCTGGTTTGAAGCTGATATGGCGCAATCCAAGATCACGGATGTAGCTTGTGGCGACTTCCAGTGAGGGA